ATGCGAGCCGCATTATTCTGTGCTATTTGAATTTTATCCAGGAGCGTAGCTGGAAGACCCACCATGAGAGCATTGCAATAGTCCATGCGTGATAGCACAAATGCAGACATCAGCCTCTTTGTTGTATCAATTGTTCGGAAGGGCCTGATTTGACTGATGTGCGTTAGAGGTGAGGGAGGCAATAAACTTCAGTAGTGAGATGTGCGTTAGAGGTGAGGGAGGCAGTAAACTTAAGTAGTGAGATGTGCGTTAGGGGTGAGGGAGGCAGTAAACTTCAGTAGTGATATGTGCGTTAGAGGTGAGGGAGGCAGTAAACTTCAGTAGTGAGATGTCCGTTAGAGGTGAGGGAGGCAGTAAACTTCAGTACTGAGATGTCCGTTAGAGGTGAGGGAGGCAGTAAACTTCAGCAGTGAGATGTCCGTTAGAGGTGAGGGAGGCAGTAAACTTCAGTACTGAGATGTGCGTTAGAGGTGAGGGAGGCAGTAAACTTCAGTAGTGAGATGTGCGTTAGAGGTGAGGGAGGCAGTAAACTTCAGTACTGAGATGTCCGTTAGAGGTGAGGGAGGCAGTAAACTTCAGTAGTGAAATGTCCGTTAGAGGTGAGGGAAGCAGTAAACTTCAGTACTGAGATGTCCGTTAGAGGTGAGGGAGGCAGTACATATCAGTAGTGAGATGTCCGTTAGAGGTGAGGGAGGCAGTACATATCAGTAGTGAGATGTGCGTTAGAGGTGAGGGAGGCAGTACATATCAGTACTGAGATGTGCGTTAGAGGTGAGGGAGGCAGTACATATCAGTACTGAGATTTGCGTTAGAGGTGAGGGAGGCAGTACATATCAGTACTGAGATGTGCGTTAGAGGTGAGGGAGGCAGTACATATCAGTACTGAGATGTGCGTTAGAGGTGAGGGAGGCAGTACATATCAGTAGTGAGATGTGCGTTAGAGGTGAGGGAGGCAGTACATATCAGTAGTGAGATGTCCGTTAGAGATCGCTAAGTGAGGAAAGAGCATAGAAAGCTTCCGCAGCCTTCGTTGTTTTAGTGTGCGCCTTTATGGTAAACCCCATTTCTGGTGTAAATCGGGCACGGAAATTGTTACATGTCAACGTAGTGATATCGGTGTATCGTCATCACAGGGTTGTAGATGGGGTTGAGAAAAAGGCAGTGACAACTACAAGCTGCAGAGTTTGAAATTTGGTGCACCCGCCAACCCTCTAGCCCCCCCCCCCTCTAGAAAAATATCTGTTAAATGCACTTAAAAATTATTTTGCTTTAAATATGACGATTTGGTACCGTTTAGGGTTGCCATATCTAGCTGGGACCTAGCCGAGACACTCTGAGATGGGGGTGTAGAAATGAAGTAAAATTATTAATTAATATAATTATTGCTTATAAGGTCCATAACGGGGATAGTCCCGATATATCGGGATGGATGGCAACCCTACGCCCTTTACTTGCGCCACCTTCGTCTCCAAAACCCCTTTCGCATGGGCCTGCGGTTGAGACCAATTCTTGAACAGAGATGTCTTTAGCAGTAGGAGCAAACGACAGTCTGTTGTCGAAAAAAGGAGACGCTTTGTACAACTTTAAGACTTAAAAAATGTCTCGACATACTTGAGAAGACTTCAGACTGTTTTCTTTGTAGTAACTATTAATGGTGAAATCGGAGATTGTGCCGGCAATGATCTTGGAGACCCCCCTGCAACCCCCTTCCGCCACCACCCAAAAAACAAAACAACACACAAACAACAAGGGGCCGTCCATAAAGTATGTCACGCTCCAGAGGGGGGGGGGGGAGGGGGTGTAAGAAAGTGTGGCAGTTTGTGACAGGGGGAGGGGGTCAGGCCATGTGTGACGTCACACATTTATTTTAAAAAAAAAAAAATTCTATTTTATTTTTTTAGTAAAATTTAATAGCTTTAAAAATAATTTTCAAATATTTTGTAAAACATTTGAATTAGTTTTATGTCAAAATAGCATGAAACGCGTATCTCCTGAATGTGTTGTTCGAGATTCCTCTCACTAGGAGCGCTAGTAAGCTCCGTATTCACCATTGTGATACGTAATACTTAACAAACGGCGTAATTATGTCTTTATGTAGAGCTTAATAAACACCAACAAACCTCCCCACTTTATAATTAGCTTAGCACTTGTTCATACTAAAAAGGAAACAAAAAAATAGTTGTAACTGTAATTTTTTTTTATTGTATCTTTGGCCTAGGCCTATGTCTAGTCTTTGACTCTGTGATTTTTAATTATTAATTTTAATTTTATCCGTATGAATAATATGAGTTTGAAAAAAAGTCGGTCACACCTTCAAAATTTGTGTTCACTGTAGAAAGGATTTAGCCTTATAATTTTAAAAAAATTAATTTAAGAACGAAAGTTATTTGGGTCTAAAAAAAAAAATAATTAAATAACAACAAATGCCCAAGTTGCAGACGTACCGGACTCACCGGAGTACCGGAAAATGTTTCGGAGAATAGCCTAGCCTATAGTCCTATAGGTGATAGGGCAAAGTTCACTTTTGATGGCATGTTATTGTTTATTATTTAAATACTTTTTAGATAAATCTATCTTTCTACTTTATCTACGATACTCTTCATAATAATAATAAATTAAATTAAGTGAAAAGGCATAGACCTAACTTTATTAAACAATCAATGACTATGACTATGATGATGTTATTGTTATCATTATTAACGAGTCGATAAAAACGACTTCATTTTATTTTTAATAAAATTTGTAAATAACTTTACTTATGAAGTTAGTTTGGTTAGGTATCATTAGTATTAGACTTGAGTAAAGTATAATAAAATATGCCTATCTGTATCTTACTATTATTATTATATTATGTTGTAGTATCGGTATGCTAGTGTCTAAGTTAGTCTAGTTAGTCTAATAATAACTAATAATATTAATAATTAATAGTATTAATAATACTAATTAGTGACTATACTATATAACTTTATGCTATAACAATAATTTAAATAATTTAGTTTTTATTTAGTTATAGACATTGACTATATAATTAAATTAGAATAATATAATAATATATAATATAGACAATTTAGACATAAATTGACAGTGCCTACTTGAAACTACTATTTATTATAGTAAAATTATACTATTAAAGTAATTTAATACTAATTTATTAGGCCAACGCCTATCAACTAGTTAATTTAGACATTTCGACTTAGGAAAGTTAGTAGGCTAGACAATTAAAATATTAATATTAAAATTTGTATTTTAAAGTTTAAAAAGTCAGAGGATTTAAATTGTATTAATTTAATGATAAAATAAAGGACATAGAATAGACATAAGACATGTCTTACTTAAATAACTAAAAGACTACGTTAGTAAGTTACTCATTAAATTTAGTCTATCATCTATACAAGTGGCAATCAGCAGCAGGATCATTAACAAATTTTTGAGAGCCGAATTTCTTTTCAAGAACCTGACATGAACCATGTTTTTCAAAGTCAAAACCAATTAGTGGCCAACTTGCCGAGCCGCACTCAGGACATTAAAGTTTAAAGAGCCGCATGGGTCTCGCAAGCTGTGATTTGCCGACCACTGGTCTATCCTATAGTCATAGTATAGTATAGTCACTTTATTGATTAAACTTGAAGGCCTAAATAAATATTGTATCTTTATAAAGTAAATCTTTAAAAAATGTTCCCAATATATCTATTAGTAGTATCTGGGCTATTGCTATATTCAGTTTAATATTTTATTAGACAAGTTATTTTCTAATTATAATATTAGTAATTAGGGGTCATCCATAAATCACGTCACCCGTGTGGGGGGGGGGGGGGGGGGAGGTGCTTAACTAATGTGATGTCACATGAAAAGGGGAATATTATAGTAAATAATTGCACTTAATAACCCTAAATTAAAGACATTTTTAACTTTATTCTTTAATACAAGAATTAAAATTATTTCATTTTTCAACTACAACAGTGAGAAAATCAGTACAGGTTTGCGCGGTATAAAAAATGGCCTCTGATCAAGTTACAGGCCACATTGACTACAAGCTACATTGACAGTCGGGAGTCATAGGATTCTGACCCCCACATGAAATTGGATGGAACGAAAAGAATGGTTGAGGGGGGGGCTGATCTTAGTAAATGCTCCAGGGCAGGGATTCTTAACCTTTTTTGCAGCGCTGCCCTCCCATGTCCCCTAAACTGTATAAATTATATAGTAATAAAATTTAAAATATGAAAATAATTAAATAATTTAGTTATCGTAGTTTTATTTCATTAATTAACTTTTTATAAGCAAGAAAAAAATTACCTATACAAGTAATGTGCAAACAAAATTCACCAGAAAACATTTACTGCTGCTCATCAAAATGCGTAAGAACTTATTTTTTTTATTTTAAAAGCAGCAACAACTAGCAATGACAGCAAAAACAATTTTTTGGTCTTCCGCACCTTAGGGCTAGGGAGGTACTTTTACCCCTGGCTAAGAACCACTGTTCTAGAGAAATGTGTGACACAGGTGCCGTAATTTGATATCCATGGCAGGTGAATTTCTTAAGGGTTTGTAAAGGACAGTAGTGTACTCAGGGAATTTTTATAGGGGTGGGGGGGTGCAGAGATTTGTGACGTTATATTTGGGGGGGGGTCTATCTTTTTGTGACAATTTGTGACAAAAGAGGGGGTGGGGTCGAAAATTGGCAAAATTTGCGTGATGTCATTTATGGATGGCCCCTTAGGCATCAGTTGGGTACCTAAGCCTAGGAAGGGCCTAATCATATATAGAACAGACAAAAGTTTTCATAACTTTAATCTTCAATGTGATTTTCAATTTTTTTACTTTTAAAAGTCTTATTAGTAACATGAATTAAAATGATGTCACACTGTTTTGGACCCACCTCCCTTATCAACACAAATATGGCACACAATTTAGACACCCTCATAATTAATACATCTTCACAAACTCATGAACCCTCCCTAATGCATGACACCATTTATAGATGGCCCCTTAGGCAGGCTCACATGATGCTAATAATATTACAATAGCACACAAGTTATTGTTAATGAAAGAGAATATCACTTTATAAATTATTGGTTACCAACTTTGAAATGTCAATGAAGTATACTTTAAATTTATTTGATTTAATTTCAAATATTCAGAGAAGGTAAGTTTTTGGTCTGCCATCATGTATAAAAGGTTTTTCTCCTCTTTGTCTTTAAAAGTGTACCTTTAACTTTTTGAATACAGTTCAGGATTTCTTGAGTCAAGCAGAGGCAGCATGTTGAAAGCTTTTCCTGCAATAGGAAGAATGCCAACTCATACAAGGTCTATTTTTCCAGCCACTGCATCCTCCAGAAAATCATCAAATAATTTCAGGAAATCACAACGCCCCAAAGCTGTTATATTTGATATGGGAGGTGTCATCATTGCCTCACCTTTTCAGATGTTCAACGGTAGGAAAAATGTATCATTTTGTGACATAATCAGATACCAGACCTTTTTACTTTTACGATTTTGGATTACAATGTATGATTTTGAGGTGTATATACATTATATTTACTGCATGTTTATTTTTTACTATTAAGATAATGTATTGAACGATTTTGTGATAATATTGTACGATTTTAAGAGTTTGAGAGTAAACAGGTTTGAGATACTAAATATTTGCATTGGACATTCTCTGATTAGAAAAACATAATTTAAAATTTAAGAGTATCAATAAATGAATGTTTTATTAAAATTCAGTTATTTTGTTAATGCTTAAAAAAACACATTTATATATATATAATGGATACAAATTTGATTCTAGCTTCCTAGTTTCTTATATTTGTTAAAATATAGTCTTTTAAAGACTATAATTTTTTTTAAACTTGTTCATAGGTGTTTTTTATAGTCATTTGATTTTTACACTATTTTAGATTTTGAGAAAAAAAATGGCTTACAAAATGGGAGTTTGTCTCGTGTGATAGTTGGGGGTGGCCCTGATGGATCTTGGGCCCAACTGGAAATGGGAAAGATCAACTTAACACAGTTTGCTCAAAGTTTTAGTCGTGAACTTTCAAAACAGGTATTGCTTCTTGTCTTTTTCCTTATAAATTTAGTGAACATCTGATGCGGAAAACTTCAACATCAAAAGTTTAGTCTAGTTTTCTTTCATAATGGGATAAAATTTTTAAACCTAATGAATAATTGCTTTTAAATTGTATTACCAGCATATTTATTAACTGCTTATTAACCGCTGCTTTAATTTCAAATTTTTTGTGTAAGGCTTATGTCACCATTTGGGAACTGTATTCTCATTTTATAATACCACTGTTACCATTTGCTTTTAAGAATATTTGATGGAAAATTTATTGATTACATTTCCTTTTTAAAAATGCTTTGAAACAATATTTGTGCTCATTTGGCCCAATAGAATCTGAGAGCACATTGAATACCATAATTGTTCTTTTAAACATAAACAAATCTTTAAGACATTTGCTGTGAGTGTAGAAATTGGGATTTCATGAGTTTTTAATGAGTGTGGAAGGGGTAGGGTGGTGTGCTGTCAAGTACTGACATTTTAAAATAGAAACACATATAGAAAATTTACTTTTATTTTTGTTAGCAAAAAAAGCTTTATTAATTTATTTTAAAAAATTATTGACACCTCTAAAATTTACCAACCAGAGGAGCTGCCCCAGGCTCATGGAATGTAACTTTAATTTTAAAAAAGTATACATTTAATATATGCAATTTATTTGAAGGCTGGCAAAGATGTTGATGTTTCCACACTGGTAAAGGGACTTCGCTCTGACAAGGTCACTCCATTTCCCATCATGCTCGAGGCCATCAAGTGTGTCAAAGCAGAGGGGATCAAAACAGCACTATTAACCAACAACTGGTTTATTGACGACATCAAGACTAAGACGATTTTGTTAGCTGAGCGTTCATTGTTTGATGTGGTGAGTTGATTGTTTGATGTGGTGAGTTCATTGTTTGATGTGGTGAGTTCATTGTTTGATGTGGTGAGTTCATTGTTTGATGTGGTGAGTTGATTTTCTGATGTGGTGAGTTGATTGTTTGATGTGGTGAGTTGATTGTTTGATGTGGTGAGTTGATTGTTTGATGTGGTGAGTTGATTGTTTGATGTGGTGAGTTGATTGTTTGATGTGGTGAGTTCATTGTTTGATGTGGTGAGTTCATTGTTTGATGTGGTGAGTTCATTGTTTGATGTGGTGAGTTCATTGTTTGATGTGGTGAGTTCATTGTTTGATGTGGTGAGTTGACCAAAAAAGAAACGATAATATAGTTTCTGAAAGAAAAACAGAAAGAGGATCTCCAAAAAACATAGAATGTTGTCAAATGGCTTATTGTGACTCACATACTTGCATTTTGACTGTCGATACATTTCAGAATGAGTTGGCAAACATTTAAAATCTTAAAATTCTAAACAAAAATCTGATAGAATAATCTTAAATGAATGCTTGGACTTAAATTTAATTCACTGAAGTGATGATGTCAGAGTGTAATGATTTTTGGAATTGAAAACTTAATTATTTTTTTAAAAGAAAGATTTGTGTGTAAACATACATAAGAGAATGAGAAAGTAAGCAGGTCACATACAAAACATAATGACAAATCATTCTTTGTTTTCCAACAGTTGCACAGCACGTATATTATCATGTTTGAAATTTCCCAGTCTATGAAGTACTGCTCATTAATTTAAACTCATACACTTGCTGTGTCTAGCTGTCATGCTTAGAAACTACTCTTTGGCCACATCAAGGATCTACACATCTGTTCCTGATTTGGTAGACATCTATACTGATTTTTAAACAAAACTTTTACTGATTTTGTACACATCTATTTCTGATTTTGTGTTTTATTTTCAGCATACTTGAAAGGCTTCACCAGGGAACCCATTGATAATCCAATTTGCCTCCTCCATTGTCCATGCCCTTTAACACCATCTCCCTGCTCGATATTCAACCCTCTAACTTTGAGAAGAATTGTTAGAAATTATTGTAACCTAATTTCCAATGTAAAAGGTTTTTTTTAATTGCTATTCCCAGGTTGTTGAGTCCTGCAGGGTTGGGTACCAGAAGCCTCAGCCACAAATCTATCAAAGGTGCCTTCAAGAACTTCAGCTACAACCCGAGGAAACAGTCTTCCTTGATGACCTGGGCCACAATCTTAAGGCTGCACAAGCTCTAGGGATCGGAACAATTAAAGTGGGTACATGTTTATTACTATTTATTTCTGCGTGATTTATATGATTGCCGTAACACTCTAATTGCATCAGTCCAATTTTGAATTACATGTAATTTCCATTTAAAAATTGGAGCGTTTTCCCTTCAAATTTATTAGGATCTAGGTCTTCCCCATTCCAGTGAAAATATTTTAAAAAATTTTATTTGTGGCAAGTACATTTTCTGTCACTTGATCTAACCAAATATTTTAACAAGTTTGTTTTTAAGTTATTTTTAGTGTTTCCTGTACAATTTGGAAAATCTAGCATGTGAAAAATAGGAAAATTATTTTTTAAAAAGTTTTTTAAAATGATTGAATTATATATTTGAACATCTGATGAACATGTTTTGCAAACTTATTATTGTTAAGTGTTTAGGGAGTTGCAATGACCATATGTTTATTGGATTTAATTGTTTATTTAATTTATATTTATTGGATGGATGCACACATTTTTGGGTTTATATGTTCATTAATTGTTGGTAATTAATAATTTGATAGTTGTTCACATTTTCAATCAGAAGTAGAAATAAAGGGTCACAAATTATCTTTATCTTTCCTTACTTTTGCACTTTAACAACAGTGCAGCCATGTGGAAAAAAAAAATAAACCCCCAATTCTCACCTCAGTTTATACAAAAAGCTGGTACATAAACCCTGGGTAACTCGATGGCTGAGACTTGAATTAATTGGGATATTTTCTAGAAATTCATTTCTCCTTGATGAGATGGACTTTTCACACCTCTGTTGTATGAATTATCTGGAGAGCACTGTACTTTTTAAAAAGATAGATTTTGGTGTTGCTCTCTTGTGTCAGCTGTGTCAGGTTAAGTGTTCTTGCATTTCAAACGTTAGTTTTAGAGTGCCAAACATACTTTAACTTTCCTCCATTTATAATACTTCCAATCTAATCATTTCCATGGATTGCTATTCTTCCAAAATCATCAACTTAATTATAAACAAACTAATGACGTTTGATGTTTGATTTTATCGCCAACATTAAACAAATTATTTACAGGTGACAAGCCCAGAGCAAGGTGTGGCTGAGCTGGAGCAGGTGTTGGGCGTCAGCCTTCATGACTTTGTCCCCGGCACCACAAGCGTCCCTGATCATCTGAAGATCAATGAGACAAACCTGGAACAATATTTAAAATCTCAAGGATTACAAGACTCTGGTATTGCCATTAATTAATTGAAACTGGTAGAAAAATTCATCCTTTACAAAATTACGAGACTATGGTAATATTTTTAACTCTTTTAAGAATTACCCTTAGGTTTGCTCTGATACGAAAATACCACTAAAGCGGATGCCAATTATTTTGAAAGTTATGGACTTAGCTTTGAAAAGTCCACTGTAATTAAAATTTATAAGTATTTAAATAAAACTTTTTCATAATTAATCATAATTATAGAACAACTTTCTGGGTGCTCTCCTAATTAAACGTTTATGGTTGCTGAAATAATTTGTAAACAAATTAGCAAGTGTTGAGGTACTTACTGTTTTGAGAGAATTTTTTTTTTTCCAATTCATATTGACACTATATTATTTGATGCCTAATGTTGTTTCTCTAGCCCCACTTGCAGTGAAGGTGTTTGAACATGGACAGTCAAACCCCACATATTATGTCTCATATGGTGGGAGGAAGATGGTTCTAAGAAAGAAGCCTGTAAGACTATACATAGGCTTACACTGAGACTGTCTTTTTAAAAAATATCAATTGAATTTAATGAATCTTTTAAGGTTATTCTTAATTTAAGATAAGAGCAAACTTGAATTACTATATTGAATGAAAATCTATTCTTGTGTTAAGTAAAATCTTATTTATATCTACTACATGTAAACATTTTGTTTATGTATATATTTCAGCCTGGCAAGCTCTTGCCATCTGCCCACGCAGTGGATAGAGAGTTCAAGGTAATGTCTGCAGTTCAGAAGGGTGGAGTACCCGTGCCTCCTATGGTGGCTTTCTGCGGTGACGAAAGGTAACCGATGTTCTTAAAGATAGAATAGGAACATCATGAACTTCAGCCACAGACACTTTTTTCTTCAGCAGATGCAATTAAGACATTTACATTATTTCCCATAATTTTTTTGTTGTTTCCCCATCTAATTATGTTAAACTGAAAAAGTGCAGTCAAAAATAAATTAAAATTCATTAGAAATATATTTTATAAGCTACAGTTTATCCATGAAATATAAAAAAGGATTTAATTTTTTTATAAAATATCCACACCAAGGTAAAGGATAAATTATTTAAATTTAGTAATATTGTACAACATTCTGTCATTCATTAAAGCCCATAATGTATTTATCTACCTCTTTTTTTGTAGGAGCAGCTCTCCCTCAAATGTACATGTACCATTCATGTCACATGGTCTCATAGATTACAAAATCCCACTGTGGTTTTTATCTGGTCAAATGTATTTGTTATATTTATGAAATGAAACTGAGCTTTTCTTTTATTTCTGTTAAATGAAACTAGCATCATTGGGACACAGTTCTATCTGATGGACTACGTGAAGGGCCGTGTGTTCAAAGACTTAAAGCTCAACGACCTGCCCAGGGAAGCCAGGAGGGAATATGTCATGGCCATGATTGGGACCCTCAGTAAGATCCATTCGGTTGATATTGACAAAGTGGGTCTGTCCGACTTTGGAAAGAAAGGTGTGCACTGTTTATTTTGTACATTTTAAATATCAAATTAAGGGTTTAAAAAAAAGTTTTTTTTTTATGTTTCATATTGTGGATGCGGTTTAATCTTATGTATTATTCAACTGGTAATGGAAATTCAGATGCCAAACTTAAATCAGTTTGTCCATGCGTTGGTACTGTTATTTTAATGCACTAACACTGGTACTATTATTTAAATTCACTCACATTTAAACTATTTTAAATTTCACTCACATTGGTACTATTATTTAAATTCTCTCACATTGGTGCTATTATTTAAATTCACTCACAATGGTACTATTATTTAAATTCACTCACATTGGTACTATTATTTTAATTCACTCACATTGGTGCTATTATTTAAATTCACTCACATTGGTACTATTATTTAAATTCACTCACATCGGTACTATTATTTTAATTTACTCACATTGATAATATTATTTTAATTCACTCTCATTGGTACAATTATTTTAATTCACTCACATTGGTACTAGTATTTAAATTCACTCACTTTGTTGCTATTATTTAAATTCACTCACATTCTGCACAGTTAGCATTTGTTTAGCCTTTAACTAGGATGCTATAATCATTCATGTCTTATTGGGACTTGAGAGTAAGCTAAGGAGTTTATTGTCAATATTTATAGTGGGGCCCCCATGTGAATAGTGGTGCCCTCATGTGAGTAGTGGGGCCCTCATGTGATTAATTATGACCCATGTGAGTAGTGGGCTCCCATGTGAGTAATGGGGCCCCCATGAAAGTAGTAGCGCCCCCATGTGAGTAGTGGTGCCTCCATGTGAGTAGCTGGGTCCCAATGTAAGTAGTGAGGCCTCCTTGTGAGTACTGGGACCCTCTATAAGAAATATGGCCTCCATGTGAGTAGTGGGTCCTCAGTGAATCATGGGTAGTGGGCCCCCATGTGAGTAGTTGGGCCCCCATGTGAGTAGCTGGGCCCCCATGTGAGTAGTTGGGCCCCTATGTGAGTAGTTGGGCCCCCATGTGAGTAGTTGGGCCCCCATGTGCGTAGTTGGGCCCCCATGTGTGTAGTTGGGCCCCCATGTGAGTAGTTGGGCCCCCGTGTGAGTAGTAAGGTCCTCATGAAGATAGTGGAGCCCTCGTGTGAGCAGAATGCTTTCATGCTGCCTTAGCTAGAGTTTGTGACCCTACATTTTGCAAGCCATATTATTATTGTAGTCATGAACTTAATTTTGAATTTAAAAAATACAACTGGTATTTGTGTCCATCTACCATTACATTATGCCCATCTCTGTAGGTCAATTCTGTGAAAGGAACTTCAAGAGATGGTCTTCGCAGTATGAGCTGAGCAAAACTCACGAGATTCCGGCTATGACTAAGCTGATAGACTGGCTGCCTAAGAACATGCCTCTGAATGAAAGAGTCACTGTCATCCATGGGGATTTCAGGTAGTTTACTGTTGATTTTATGTTTCAGGTGATATGTTTCAGGTGATATGTTTCAGGTGATATGTTTCAGGTGACATGTTTCAGGTGACATGTTTCAGGTGATATGTTTCAGGGGATATGTTTCAGGGGATATGTTTCAGGTGATATATTTCAGGGGATATATTTCAAACTAATGACTGAAGCCTCATGGGATTTCTCATAATTCAGTACGAAAGATTGTGAAACTTGCATGCAAGACTTAGTTCATATATCATATATGCAGAATGTAGCCAAAGCTCAGCACTTTAAACAAATAATTCCTATACCCAATGACCTCATGCACCATTTCCTCCCCATCCCATTTTCTTCTCTGCCCTCTTTCCCTCAAACGCCCCTCCCACCAATGACCTCATACACCATTTCCTCCCCTATCCACCCTTCCCCTTTTCTTCTCTGCCCTCTTTCCCTCAAACGCCCCTCCCACCCAATGACCTCATGGACCATTTCCTCCCCCATCCACCCTTCCCCTTTTCTTCTCTGCTCTCTTTCCCTCAAACGCCCCTCCCACCCAATGACCTCATGCACCATTTCCTCCCCCATCCACCCTTCCCCTTTTCTTCTCTGCCCTCTTTCCCTCCAATGCCCCTCCCACCCACCTTCCCCTTTTCTTCTCTGCCCTCTTTCCCTCAAACGCCCCTCCCACCCAATGACCTCCTGGACCATTTCCTCCCCCACCCACCCTTCCCCTTTTCTTCTCTGCTCTCTTTCCCTCAAACGCCCCTCCCACCCAATGACCTCATGCACCATTTCCTCCCCCATCCATCCTTCCCCTTTTCTTCTCTGCCCTCTTTCCCTCAAATGCCCCTCCCACCCAATGACATCATGGACCATTTCCTCCTCCATTCACCCATCCCCTTTTCTTCTCTGCTCTCTTTTCCTCAAATGCCCCTCACAACCAGTGACCTCATGCACCCCTCCGCCAGACTGGTGCTAGCTTATTCCTCACTTAACCCATATGCCTGCCCTAAACACTTACTCTCTAACCCTTTCAGTCAAAAAAATTCAACGTGTAAGAACTTGCGAAAGCGTACTCAGCGACAAGCGTGTTCGCTATAAATAGTATAGGTACTGCAACTTCTCTCTTTTGTTTGCAAGCCTCTTGCTTCTTGCTGTGTCAAGTTATTTGTGCAGACAACGATATTATCTTTTCATTTAAATTGCTACAGTTTGAAGTAGGCACGTTTCTGTTGTATATATATTTTCAAAGGCCAACTATTGGTCATGGAGGTCGAGATAACCAACGTTAAGTGGCAAATTCGGCCTCCTTTTATGCTCAAGATATTAGGGTTCGGATACATAAAAGAATCCACATAACCGAGTTAACCGAGGTTGACATAAGTGGGTTCGACTGTAAAGGAATCTAATTATCATATTATATGAAAGAGTAATGTTTCGTTTATGTCAGTGTAAGAGAGAAGTACAGCAGGAAATAAGTACTTCAAAATTCATAACAGTTTATGTGGTACAGAAGATAAACAAACAAAGTCTATGTCGGCAGAAATATCCATGTCATCCAGAGGCATTCTTTGCTGTGGCCTCCTGCTGTTGGCAGTCATTAAATTTGCTGTACCTAGATTGTCATTACATTTGTTGTACCTAGATTGTCATTAAATTTGTTGTACCTAGATTGTCATTACATTTGTTGTATCAACGCTGAAACTAAACTGAAGGTATATCAGGCGGCTGTTCTCCATAAACTTCTCTAGACCTGTTGGCAGAACAGCGGCTGCAGAGCGCAAGAGACATGCCAAGACGGCCCGGTCTGACTCTGCTCCCGGGGATGCGCCATCATTCCCCTGCACCTACTGCACAAGAGAATTTCGTGCCAGAATCGGCCTCATTAGCCATCTGCGCACCCACAGACAGAACCAGCACAAACTCTGGTGATTAAAGTGGTCATGGTAGACTCCCGACTGACGAACATGTACCTAGAATAAAAATGTGTGCTTAGGGTTAATTTTTTGGGGTAACATTATTCCATACCAAGCCTAAAGAAAAATTATTCCAAACTTGTAATGGATTCTCTTCAGAATTGACAACCTGATGTACCACCCTGATGGGCCGGAGGTATTGGCAGTTATTGACTGGGAGCTCTCCACTATAGGAGATCCTATAACTGACCTAGCCACATGTTTGCTGTCCTACTTTACACCACCTGAGAGTCCCCTAAATCGAGGTATGATTTGTGACCTAACCCTTTATCTAGAACAGTGGTTCTTAACCTTTTTGGAGGTACTGAACCCACCAGTTTCATATGCTCATTCACCGAACCCTTCTTAATAGGAAAAATAAAATATGATTTTTAACAATTTTTTTTTTTGGACCTCCGCCAAACCCCTGAGACTGACTCACCGAACCCCTGGGGTTCGATCAAACCCAGGTTAAGAACCACTGACCTAGAAGCTTGACAAAACTTACTATAACATCAGTTAGCATCTGCTGTACTTAATATTGGGCTATAAATAGCTTTTAAGTACCACAGAATTTCAACTGTTATTAAATCAAATAAAAAAGACTATCACAAAAATATGAAGTTTTAAAAAAAAATATAAAAAAAACCACTACTACTTTAGTGACCAAGACCTTGGCCTACTTCAATCTTCATTCTTGTTACATTTAATGACTCTGTCCGACTTTGTACTCTTTCTCTTGCTAGCTTAAAGCTGATAACATCTCAAGATGTGTGTTGGTCATTCATTCCCCCAGTGTGTTGTTTCTTTTTAATACAAATGCAAAAGTTGATAATTTTCTCTGCTTCAAGCTGATATTTCTGACATGAGCCTGGAGTTAGTGAACGTCTTTGATTCAACATTACATTTTATCACTGTGGTGCCAGTAAAACATTACCTGCCTTTATCTGGCTTTGGGACCTTGTGTTATCTTACGCTAAATTGAAACATGTTATGGGGAAAAATTTAAGAGTTTTATTAGATACTCTTCTTTCATTCCGTTCTCAACTCACTAAGAGATAAACCAGAAGAACTTTGGTATGTTGTTAGCATAATTCTTGGACTTGTCTATGTACTGAGTTATAAAAAAAATTAACATTAATTCCCTGCCTGTTATGTGACATTGTTTGGGAGACCTGCCTGTCATGTGACATTGTTTGAGAGACCTGCCTGTCATGTGACATTATTTTGGAGACCTGCCTGTCATGTGACATTGTTTTGGAGACCTGCCTGTCATGTGACATTGTTTTGGAGACCTGCCTGTCATGTGGCATTGTTTGGGGAACCTGCCTGTCATTGACATGGTTTGAGAGACCTGCCTGTCATGTGACATTGTTTGGGGGACCTGCCTGTCATGTGACATTATTTTGGAGACCTGCCTGTCATGTGACATTGTTTGGGAGACCTGCCTGTCATGTGACATTGTTTGGGAGACCTGCCTGTCATGTGACATTGTTTGGGGGACCTGCCTGTCATGTGACATTATTTTGGAGACCTGCCTGTCATGTGACATTGTTTGGGAGACCTGCCTGTCATTGACATGGTTTGAGAGACCTGCCTGTCATGTGACATTGTTTTGGAGACCTACCTGTCATGTGACATTGTGTGGGAGACCTGCCTGTCATGTGACATTGTTTGGGAGACCTGCCTGTCATGTGACATTGTGTGGGAGACCTGCCTGTCATTTTGCATTGATGGGGAGAGTGCATGATATCAATACTTTATATTGTTTGTTTGAAACAAATCAAAATCACCAGTGTCTGCTGCATTATGTTTCCCATTGAAAACAAAATAAACCATTGAACTCCCCATGAACCTGATCTCATTCCCTGTCAAATCTCTCAGTTATTTAATTTCTTACCTCGGGAAGGTGTTACCTGAAGCTAAGCTGGTGATTAGCGCCAAGGGGTGAGACACGCTGGAGGTTCATGCTGAGGAGTTTTAAGGCAACCTCAAGACACTCCTTCTCCGTCCCTGAAACCAGAGTACCTGTAATTGTAAGCTTGCAATGCAGGCTGGTTGATAGGCAATCTGACCAGGTGGCCCAACCAATTCATTTGCCAGTTTACTTATCTGTCTAAATTTAGATCTCATTGAGGATCTATCCAATATGTGACATTGTTGGCATAAATCAAGACATATTCATATGCCCCATAGTGGCAAAAAGGATACACCATCTTGTAAACAAATGGCAAAGTCAAAACAAGCATCCAAAGACAAATCAGCTGGGACAAAAGGAGTCCCTGACCTTTGGTTGGGGGGGGGGGTACATGAACTCCTTTCAATAAAAAATGCAAGACTCTGTACGTAATTACAACTGGCTCTCAAGAACTCAACAGTTATGCTGCACTGTTGTTCGAACAAAGTCTGGCTTCAAACATTTTTAAGGAACAATGAAAAACTCAAACAAGGATTTTCAAGACGGAAAAAAAATATGCACCATGAATGAAAATTATATAATTTCCATTTATTTTGATCAATAAAAATATATCTTATCTTAATCACTGATTTCCAACATTTGGTTAAGGAGGATGTTACCAAATTGACACAAGCTAAATATCTTAGTGTTTCTCTAGATGATTTCTAGTTGAAATAATGTTTTAAGTTTTGATGAAACCCTCAGTTATTAAAATATTTTTGGACTGTGATAATAAAGCTTGAAGCAAATGAAAAGACACAAAAAGAAGTGATAGAGAGAGAGGGGGGAGGGATAGAAAGAGGGAAGGAAGGAGAGAGGGTGAAGGGAGGGAGATTGATTGATTGATGATTGATTGATAATTTTGGTGAAGTTATCTCATAGTTTTTTTTCCTTCTTTTGATGTTTTATTAAAACCTTTTCTACATGCTGATAGACCTAACCATCTTAACTCACTTAGGCCAGTGAACCCAATGTATTCCTTGCATTTATTTCATGACCATCTTAACTCACTTAGGCCAGTGAACCCAATGTATTCCTTGCATTTATTTCATGACCATCTTAACTCACTTAGGCCAGTGAACCCAATGTATTCCTTACATTTATTTCATGACCCTCTTAACTCACTTAGGCCAGTGAACCCAATGTATTCCTTGCATTTATTTCATGACCCTCTTAACTCACTTAGGCCAGTGAACCCAATGTATTCCTTGCATTTATTTCATGACCATCTTAACCACATGCTGAATTCCCTTTTTGCAATACCAACACCACATTTTCCCCCCCCCCCCCCTTCCCTAAAAAAATGATAAATGATTTAAAAAATTACATGTTTAGAGCTGAACTTCAAAATTTCTTTTTAGAAAGACTTAATTAGAATGAACATGGAGGTTAAATCAAATTTATTTATAATTATTCTTTTAAATATTTTGAGCTTTCAAATTCTTTAAGTCTCATTAGAGCCTGATGCGCCTCATGAACTGAAATTATAAGCTTAATGTATCACAGTGAATGATGTGCCTGATGAACTGAAATTATAAACTTAATGTATCACAGTGAATGATGTGCCTCATGAACTGAAATTGTAAACTTAATGTATCACAATGAACGATGCGCCTCATGAACTGAAATTATAAACTTAATGTATCACAATGAACGATGCGCCTCATGAACTGAAATTATAAACTTAATGTATCACAATGAACGATGCATGCGCCTCATGAACTGAAATTATAAACTTAATGTATCACAGTGAACGATGCGCCTCATGAACTGAAATTATAAACTTAATGTATCACAATGAAAGATGCGCCTCATGAACTGAAATTATAAACTTAATGTATCACAATGAACGATGCGCCTCATGAACTGAAATTATAAACTTAATGTATCACAGTGAACGATGCGCCTCATGAACTGAAATTATAAACTTAATGTATCACGGTGAATGATGTGCCTCATGAACTGAAATTGTAAACTTAATGTATCACGGTGAACGATGCGCCTTATGAACTGAAATTATAAACTTAATGTATCACAATGAACGATGTGCCTCATGAACTGAAATTATAAGCTTAATGTGTCACAGTGAATGATGTGCCTCATGAACTGAAATTATAAACTTAACGTATCACAGTGAATGATGTGCCTCATGAACTGAAAGTTTAAATTAATAAATTGATTTTTCTTACCAGGACTTTTAGGAGAGGACCTCCAGTCTCTGGGGCTCCCCACAGTTGAAGAGATCCTGGCTGAATACTGTCGGCTTAACAACCTCAAATCTATTGACAACTGGGAGTTTTACCTGGCGTTTGTCTTCTTCCGGTCGGCTGCCATTTTACAAGGTGTTTACAAGCGGGCCATTTCAGGTGTGTGGTAGAATGTAGTCAGATCTTATCCATTTCATGTGTGTGGTACAATGTATTCAGATCTCAGCCATTTCAGGTGTGTGGTAGAATGTATTCAGATCTTATCCATTTCATGTGTGTGGTACAATGTATTCAGATCTCAGCCATTTCAGGTGTGTGGTAGAATGTAGTCAGATCTTATCCATTTCATGTGTGTGGTAGAATGTAGTCAGATCTCAGCCATTTCAGGTCTGTGGTAGAAAGAAGTCAGATCTCAGCACCTTGAAAAGAAACTTTCCCACACCCTCAAAGATACACTTTTTCCCCTCTCCCCCCACACTCCCCATTTCTTCTCTGCCCTCTTTCCCTCAAACAACTCTCCTGCAGACCAGTGCCAGCTTCTTTCACACTTAAACCCTATGCAAGTCCCTCATTGCCTAACAACCAACCTCCTCAACTGAACCACTCTCCAAACCTACTCCACCCTCTCCTCATTGTAACCAAATGAAAATAACTTATTGACACCTTTACCTTGACAAGACCTGAGGAGAGGTAATTTTCTCTCGTTTGAATACCATAATCATGGCTGTATCATTGTATGGGCATTTGTTATTAGCCAACCCATCATGGATGTATCATTGTATGGGCATAAGTTATTAGCCAACCCATCATGGCTGTATCATTGTATGGGCATTAGTTATTAGCCAACCCATCATGGCTGTATCATTGTATGGGCATTAGTTATTAGCCAACCCATCATGGCTGTATCATTGTATGGGCATTAGTTAATAGCCAACCCATCATGGCTGTATCATTGTATGGGCATTAGTTAATAGCCAACCCATCATGGCTGTATCATTGTATGGGCATTAGTTATTAGCCAACCCATCATGGCTGTATCATTGTATGGGCATAAGTTATTAGCCAACCCATTAAATACAAGAGAATGTGGGGAGGGCATAATGACATTTTTTTGGTTAACATTTTAACTGTGCATGTTATACTTGTCTCTGTTACTATAGGTCTTATGGCCGTAACTGTGGATGTTATACTTGTCTCTGTTACTATAGGTTTTATGGCCGTAACTGTGGATGTTATACTTGTCTCTGTTACTATAGGTCTTATGGCCGTAACTGTGGATGTTATACTTGTCTCTGTTACTATAGGTCTTATGGCCGTAACTGTGGATGTTATTCTTGTCTCTGTTACTATAGGTCTTATGGCGGTAACTGTGCATGTTATACTTGTCTCTGTTGCTATAGGTCTTATGGCCGTAAATGTGGATGTTATACTTGTCTCTGTTACTATAGGTCTTTTGGCCGTAACCGTATTTTTACCTCCAAAACAGACTTTTGCATATCACACTCACCACCCACAACAGACTCCCTATAGTGAATAATTCACCTTGGCCCTCGTCCAGAATTTTTGTGCTTGCTTGCTTACTATTCAATGAAACTCATTTTAATTACTCTAAAAATGTGGATGTCGTCTAAATAACTGGCCATGCACACAGATGTGTCGAGACATCGAAAAATGGCAATATCTTGTTTGTACAAATGTGCTTTGGTTGGGAAGAGTAATACAGGGAGCACTGCATTCAGGTTGAAGCAATAAGAAATAGACACAGGGTATAGAGAAAAACCTGAAGGCTGGGAAGAGAGGCTAATATAAGTTTAGATTATTGGACGCTGCATGTTGTTGCACTGAGATTTTAATTTAAGATTCTTGTTCTCACGATTTTCTAAGTATTTCCACACTGATCTAGAATGAGCCCAATTTTCTATAGCTGCATTTTAATTCTCTGTTCAAGGCCAGGGCAGCTCTTCAGCTGGTAAAGTCTATGGACTTTATGCCGAACCGATGGCCAACTTTGGATGGGAGATAGCGTCTCGGAAAAGCTCGTCACCAACAACAAACTGCACCAGTGCCAGATCGGACACTGCACAAACTCGTCAATACTCTACCCTTACCGTGGCTGGACGTAGGCCTGTCATGTCAGTCTTGGCTCGTCCACTGTCTTCTGGCTCTAATCCCCCTGGTCAAGTTGGTAAGTTTATGCCAATCATGTCAGTCTTGGCTCGTCCACTGTCTTCTGGCTCTAATCCCCCTAGTCAAGTTAGTAAGTTTATGCCAATAATGTCAGTCTTGTCTCGTCCAATGTCCTCTGGCTCTTATTCTCCAGTTTAATTCGGGAAGTATAGACCAGTCTTGTCCAGTTTGGCTTGTTAACTGACCTCTAGTTCTTGTATTCCAGGTCAGGTTGGTAAGTGCCACGCAAAATTTAATAGATTATAAATTTTCAATAACTATTAATGTTTACATAGGCTGTTCAAATCATCAAATAAATTTATGTATTTTGTTATTTGACTGTTATTTTAGCAAACTGTTACTGAGTGAACTCAGTTTTTAAATTCTTGACTTTTGGAATAGAACCTGCTCTCTCATACTAACCTGCTCTCTCATACTTACCTGCTCTCTCATACTTACCTGCTCTCTCATACTAACTTTCAAAATTTGCTTAACATCATGTGCTAATCTTAGCCCTTTTACTGTATTAAATATCATATAAAGTCATTGTGGGTATATCTTCACATCTCATCTGCATGTTATACTTGTCTCTGTTACAATAGGTCTTATGGCCGTAACCCTACGTGTTATTCTTGTCTCTATTACTATAGGTCTTATGGCCGTAACCGTGGAGGGGCTGTCACCGCGTGTTCAAGATCTTCACGTTAGAGTGAAACACTTCATACAGGAAAATGTGATGCCGCTTGAAGAGCTCCACAAGAAACGTGCAGCAAGTGACAGGTGGACCATCATGCCAGAGACCGAGGCCCTTAAGGTGGAATAAAACAATTTTTACATCAGATCACTCACTTACTGTAAGATTCTAATGAAGGATGTTAAACAATAATTGGATTTACTGTTATCATTATAAAAGAACAACAACCCCTTATCAGTTGTTACTAGGATTTATAAAAATTATTGAAAGAAAATCAATCAGCTGACAAATGACACGCACTGCACACATGAAAAGAATGTTATTTACAAATATAAATGCACACTTATGACATACACAATGGTATTTACAAATATTAATGCAAAAATATGACATGTACAAAATGGTATTTACAAATATAAATACATGCAGATGACATATTCCAATGGTATTTAGAAATTTATATGCACACGTATGACATTTACAAAATGGTGTTTACAAAAATGATATCACCCGTTTGACATGTACAAAATGGTATTGGCACAAAGGATGCGCACATTATGAATGATGTGGGAGTTAAATCATCCGTTCCACATTTATTTAAGAAAGTATTTTTTCCTCTTGCCAATGCTCTTTTCAATTTGTTCTTTATATTTATACAATTATTTTAATTCGTCATTTATTTTGTCGTTCAGGCAAAGGCCAAAGCAGAAGGGTTATGGAACCTGTTCCTACCAAGAGATTCTGATCCTGCAGGGAAATATGGGGCTGGTCTCACCAACCTTGAATATGCATTCCTGTGTGAACAGATGGGCAAGTCTTTGATTGCCCCTGAGGTGTGTATGTGCTAAAATAGATGGGCAAGTTTTTGGTTACCCTTGAGGTGTGTATGTACTAAAATAGAGGGGCAAGTCTTTGATTACCCCGGAGGTGTGTATGTGTTAAAACAGAGGGGCAAGTTTTTGATTACCCCTGAGCTGTGTATGTGCTAAAACAGAGGGGCAAGTCTTTGATTACCCCTGAGCTGTGTATGTGCTAAAATAGATGGGAAAGTTTTTTACTGCCTATTAAGTGTTTTTTTAATGAAATAGATGTGAAAATATTTTATAGCCCCTGAGATGTGTATTGATAAAAAAGATGAGCAGCTTTTGATTGCCCCTGATGTGTATGTTGCGTAAAATAGATGGGAAAGTTATTAATACGCATGAGGTGCATATGTGATGAAATGGATGGGCCAGTCGTTGATTGCTCTTGAGGTGTGCATTATATCAAATAGATTGGCAAGTTTTTTATTGCCCCTTAGGTATGTATGTGCTCAAATGGATGGGCAGTCTTTGATTGCCCCTGAGGTGTGCATGTGCTCAAATAGACCATTCTAATGGGAATATAAATAATTAACTGAAACTGCCATTGGTTTCATCTCACTGCACCTAATTTCAATATTTGTAATTTAAAGTTGGTTATTGTAAAAGCTAGTATTTTGGTCATGAGAGAGGATAAAATTTTTGTTTTTTCAGTATATATCATTATGTAAGTTATTACTTTACAAGCAATGTTTGTCAGATTTTCGCCAACCCTAGAGGACAACGCTTCATCAGCTGGATCAAAATAAATTGATTAGTTACTTCCCATCAGATTTTCAACTGCAGTGCCCCAGACACAGGCAACATGGAAACACTCGTGAGGTACGGCTCAGAGGAGCAGAAAGAAAAGTGGCTGAAGCCCTTGTTGGAAGGAAAGATCAGATCGTGTTTTGCCATGACTGAACCAGCTGTAAGTCACTATAATGTTTCAGATCTGACTTTTAGTATTTAGGTTGTTATTAGTTGATTTTCAGGTCAGACTTTTAGTATTTAGGTTGTTATTAGTTGATGTTTCAGGTCAAACTTTTAGTATTTAGGTTGTTATTAGTTGATGTTTCAGGTCAAACTTTTAGTATTTAGGTTGTTATTAGTTGATGTTTCAGGTCAGACTTTTAGTATTTAGGTTGTTATTAGTTGATGTTTCAGATCAAACTTTTAGTATTTAGGTTGTTATTAGTTGATGTTTCAGGTCAAACTTTTAGTATTTAGGTTGTTATTAGTTGATGTTTCAGGTCAGACTTTTAGTATTTAGGTTGTTATTAGTTGATGTTTCAAATCAGACATTAAGTATTTAGGTTGTTATGTGTATTACTATCACATCATGGGCTGTAATACAAATATCAAATTTATCTCTTTCAAAATAAACTATTTTTAATTGTAAAGCTGAAACAAAAATGAATAATTAAAAGTTTTATGCATGTGGAAGATTTTTCACAAAAAAAATATTAAAAGCACCAATTTGTCATCCAGAAATTATTTAAGATTTTTTTAAAGTTAAAAGTTCATGATAAACCGATTGTAATATCCTTCTACATTAAAGCTGTTGTATTCTTTTCCATGAATTATTTATTTTATCTTTTGATTTATTTCTTTGTATAATGTCTAACTTGGGCACAAACATCAGTATACTTGATTCTTTTCTTCAAACAGGTGGCTTCATCAGATGCCACAAACATTGAATCATTCATTAGGAGGGAGGGTGACCACTACATTGTCAATGGCCACAAGTGGTGGACATCAGGTCAGTGTCGACTGTCAGGTTATCATAGAACTTTTTGTTTTGTGGCATCTCAAGTTGATGGTGTGGTTTTCCCCAGGGGTTGAATAATCACCAGATCTGGGATTTTATCAAAATCTACATATGTCCAAAACTGCATATGTCCCATCCTACATTTGTCCAAAACCACATGTGTCCAAATCTCCATATGTCCAAAACCGCATATGTCCAAATCTACATATGTCCAAAACTGCATACGTCCAAATCTATGTTTTTCCAAATCTACATATGTCCAAAACTGCATTTGTCCAAATGTACTATGTCCAAAACTGCATATGTCCAAATCTACATTTGTCCAAAACCGCTTATGTCTAAATCTACATATGTCCAAAACTGCATATGTCCAAATATACATATGCCCAAAACTGCACATGTCCAAAATATACATATGCCCAAAACTGCAAATGTCCAAATCTACATATGCCCAAAACTGCAAATGTCCAAATTTACGTATGTCCAAAACTGCTTATGTCCAAATCGACATATGCCCAAAACTGCTAATGTCCAAATCTACATATGTCCAAAACTGCATACGTCCAAATCTATGTTTGTCCAAAACTGAAAATTTCGAAATCTACATATGTTCAAAACTGCTAATGTCCAAATCTACATATGTCCAAAACTGCATACGTCTATATCTACATTTTTCCAAATCTACATATATCCAGAACTGCATTTGTCCAAATCTACATATGTCCAAAACTGCAAATGTCAAAATTTACATATGTCCAAAGCTGCTTATGTCCAAAACAACATATATCCAGAACTGCATTTGTCCAAATTTACATATGTCCAAAACTGCATACGTCCAAATCTATGTTTGTCCAAATCTGCATATGTCCAAATTTACAAATGTCCAAAACTTCATATGTCCCTATCTAAATTTGTGCAAAACTGCATATTTATAAAGCTGCACGTTTCTAAAACTGCATATGTTTGAAACTGCATATGTTTGAAACTGCATATGTTTGAAATAGCATATGTTTGAAACTGCATATGTTTGAAACAGCATATGTTTGAAACTGCATATGTTTGAAACAGCATAGTTCATATTGTTTCCTAACGCTAAAAATAGACTGAAAGAAAAAGCCTATCATAACAGTTAATAAACATCTTCATGAGAGAAATAGCAGATCAGAAAACTTAGACAGAGTCTAGCAATGTCTTCTAACAGGACATCGTCTATGTTGTTTTTTTTTTAATTTGTGTTTCTCTTTCTTCCAGGTGCTCTAGACCCCAGATGTAAGATCTGTATCTTTATGGGAAAGACAAATACTTCGGGTGAAAAGCATCGTCAACAGTCCATGATTCTCATCCCCATGGACTCACCAGGTGTCAAGGTCATTCGGCCACTTACCGTATTTGGCTATGATGATGCACCAGGTAACCACAGGTGACAGTTTTCATGCATCGTTACAATCGTAAGGGACAGAATCGCTACAGATGATAGTTACTCCTTAATGAACTTCAAAATACTCTCAAGATCAAACTTTGTTAGTTGTTAGGGTTAAAAAATAATTTACAGCATCATTGTTAGATGCCACAAGAATTTAAAAAAATCAAATGCTATACACTAATTATGATATCAGAAGAAAGGTCAGAGTGCTCCATAAAATGTAGCTATACAAAAATAAAAGGGGACAGTTTGTGTGGTTTATCTTAGATTTTAATTATTGTTTTTGTAAGAGGTAATGAACGAAACAAAGAATGGGAAAACATGGCTCTGCTGTCCTCTCTGATACTACATTGCAGCTATATGTTTATTTTTACTTTATATTGTTTTTACTGTTGTCTGTTCACTGAAGAAGGCTTCTTGCCGACACGTTTGCTCATTTCCTTTTACCTAACCTTATTGCTGTCTCTCCCCCTTATTACTATTTTTGCCTTGCTTGTATCTTAATGATGCACTGTGTCATTTCATTTTCTTTTCACAACCATGATTTTTTTATTAATTTTAAAACTTTAAATTATTTGAATCATGACACTACAGCTATTCATTTTGTTACGGTACCCAGAGGGCCATGGTGAAGTAATTTTTGAAAATGTCAAAGTCCCTGTATCAAACATCTTACTTGGAGAGGGGCGGGGCTTTGAAATTGCCCAAGGGCGTTTGGGACCTGGAAGAATCCATCACTGTATGAGGTTAATAGGTCATGCCGAGAGGGCTCTGGACTTGATGCTCGATAGGGTAAGAAAGTTTAGAAAGTAAATCTCTATTCACCTGCTCTCTTCTGTCACTCCCAAATATGCTAATGTCCTTGCTTATATCAGAATGAGGGCTGATTCCAACAGGGCCATGTGGTCGACCTCATTCTGATGTGGCATTTGTTATATAATACTGCAGAGGTCACAAACTCAAATTTTTCGGGGGCCGCTAACCCTATTTTGAAAGTAACCAAGCTGACAGGCTCGGAATTTCCCTCAGTCTTTAACACTAGCTGCAATTTTAATAGAGATTCTTTGATACTGTGTCAGATTGCTACGATTTCCACAATTATGGTTGTGCATTACCCACTAACTAACTTTAAAAACTTTTCTCAAACCACACTTTGGCCATGTTTGTCTCAAAAAATGCTATGACATAAAAAAATTTATTAATCCGATTAAAAAATGGTTTTTACCATTGTAATCAATGTCCAAACCTATACAAACAAAGAAAAATCAGAATGAGACTAGTCTGTGAGATTCGACTGAAGCCGTCGTGGAGAGTCACATATAGAAATGATAATGGGGAAAGCCCACGGGCCTCATTAACATAAAACTTTGATGTCAGGTATCGGGCTGCAAAATATCGTCTTGCGGCTGCAAATGGCCCATGGGCTGTGAGTTTGAGACCCCTGTCATACTATATGCCTTATGGCTCTCCGGCATTTTTAAATTACCCTTTTCATGTTTTCCATGCATATGAGATTTATTCCTACCGCTTTAGATCTTCTAATAAGTTGTTTAGTTAAATTTTTTTAATGCCTAAGGCAGATAAAAGAAAGTTATTTTGTAATGCCTGAAAGAAAGATATTTTTAGCATTGAAATGTTAAGCAAACCTTGTGTACTGGTATTGCTTATTTTCTTTTTTATGCTTTTTAGACTATGAAAAGAGTGGCTTTTGGTAAACCTTTGGCAGCCCAAGGGTCCATCCAGCAAGATGTTGCCAAGTCAAGAATACAGATTGAACAGTGTCGATTGTTGGTCTTGAAAGCCGCCTACATGATGGACCTCTATGGAAATAAGGTGGGACTCTGGCATCAAACTGTTTTAAGGTTTAAAAGCCATATAAAAATTACACATTTTGGTCGTGAACTTTTCTCTTACTATAAAACTGATGTTTGTTCTGGAGTGCTGGATATCTGAGCTTGTTTAATGATTTAATTTTTTGCTGATAATAAATTTCTATTTCTATAGAGTCACATTTAGGTAAATACAAAACACTCTACTCAATCATTCATGCTTTCAATAAAAATACCTCTATTTGTAGAAGTAGATTTAGAATTTCACTTCTTGAAAACAACACATTTATAAAAACTTAATTTTAGGATGCTTCCATGGACGTTTTGCTTTTGGCTTTTCTTGGTCCACATTTTTTTTATTTCTCATAATTCCTTAAAGGTCGCAGCTCCAGAGATAGCCATGATCAAAGTAGCTGCTCCAAATATGGCACTCCAAGTCATAGACAGAGCCATCCAGGTAACAGTATTAATGTCTGTCTTTAAGCTGACCCTATTCACCACTTAACATAGACCAAAGCTGTGATAACCATAATCAAGGGAACAAGGGATGGTAGCATCAGTGGTGTAGCTAGGGTTAGTGCCACCCTGGGCGGGCAAGATTTTTGCCTTCCCTACATAACAAAAAAAACCCACCGTTTGGCCAAAAATCCCCCCCCCCCCCCACTTTTTGTCAACTCCCTTCATACGTTAGTACATCTGATAGTATCAAGTTATTTCTATGAGAACTAATCTTAAGAAGTTTTTCAAAAACATTGTGGGGGAGGGGGAGTGATTATAACTTTTGATTTAACGTTCATCTATTTGTAATTATTTACTACAACATTACCCAGTCTTCATTAATTCCCTTTTATAAAAAAAAAATCCAAGATTTATTTTTAAAATTTCTACATTTCTTTATAGCGATATTACTGAACGACATTTAAATGTGATTAAAAGACGTATGTATTAAATCTGGTTAAAGGGATACCATTTACCTCTAAATTACACAGGCACATGGTGGTGGGGGTTTAAACCAAGACTTTCCCTTAGCCCAGATGTATGCCTGGGCCCGCGTCCTGCGTTTAGCAGATGGACCCGATGAAGTTCACATGCAGAGTTTGGCAAGAGCAGTTTATGCCAAAAGTGGCAAGGCCAAGATTTAAAATGTGGGATTTTTTTTTAATTTGTGGTCTTGCATTGTTCTTGTTCTCGATTTATCCAAATTTCTACTTACCAAGATCTTTAATTGTGCAACATAACTGAAGCCATTTTAAACTATTGAATATAAAGACATTATTTTAGGCTTTTTTAAAATCGTTATTTTCTTCAAGTTATTCCTTCTGAATTATTCTTGTAGCCACAATCCATAACAAAATTTAATGCTACACAATTCTTCAATCTCAATTTTGAAAATAATGATTTAATTTGCTAATTGTATTTTGTTTGTGATTTGGTATTCCTTCAGGCACATGGAGGGGCTGGACTGGATGACCAATTGCCCCTTGCACATTTGTTTGCAGCAGCCAGGACGCTCAGACTAGCAGATGGCCCTGATGAGGTTCACATGAGGACCATTGCTAGATTGGTGTTTGCAAAGACAGGAAAAGCAAAAATTTAACTGACTTATTTCAAAACACAGCTGAGACCTGACTACTATTAAAATAAAAGTCCATCTTCTCATATTTTATTGATCCAAAAAAGGGAGTGACTAGGCCATTAGAAACGTAATTCTTTCCCCCTTATGATAAAGTCATAAAAAAGTCCAATATACTTTTTAAATACTTGGATGTGTCTGCATCAGCAAATTTGAACTATGGAGATTTTTTTGTAAGCACAAAAAAATTATAATTTTTGAGCCAAATACTAATGTTAAAATGTTAGAATGAATTATAAATTACAACTAAGCAGACTTACTTTAAGATTTCCTTAATTATAAAATAAATGCCATAGTAATTGGTATGATTATTTTAAATATTGAGAATAACTTAAGTATTGGTTGCATAGTCCTCTTATTCATTTGATTGCAGCTAGAGCTACAGCCCATTTTTTTAAAAAATCATTGTAATATGACATGCTATTTCATTTCTCCCCCCCCTCCCCCCCCCCCTCCCACCCAATATTTTTTCTTAGTTTTTTTTTATATCCATTTGTATTTACTCATGTTAAATTTAAAACTTATTTTTTAAAAAATCATTGTAATTTGACATGCTATTTCATTTCTCCCCCCCCTCCCCCCCCCCTCCCACCCAATATTTTTTCTTAGTTTTTTTTTATATCCATTTGTATTTACTCATGTTAAATTTAAAACTTAACAGAATCAAGTAAATGCGTCATGTTGTGTCGATTTTTCTTTATTTATTTTATTACCTTCCTGTTCCGAAATTCAATAGGAAAGACCTTGCTCTATGCTGTGCCTTTTAAAATTATGGAACCTTTTCTGGTTCCTGGTTCAACCATGGGGAAGGATGCCCTTTGAATTAAGATATATTCTAGGATTACTCTTAACTATATTTATGTAACATATAAAAATATCATACAACTATATATACACAGGGAGACACATCCCATTTACAAGAGCTATTTACAATAAGTTTTTTTTTTCTACCCTAATGTGTGAACATTTTGCATGTAAGTGTAATTTTATTAATTTATTGGTGAGTTTGATGTATGTTGTAGTTGGTGATTTTGATTTATGTTGTATTTGGTGAGTTTGATGTACATAATTATTAATATACCCAAAATTAATAAGTAGTATTTGAAAGTTTGAGTGGTGTAGAAGTTGGCGGTTTGAAAGTATATGGTAGATAGTACATGTTACTGGTCTGTCCTGATATTTATGTACTCTAGGTTATGTTTTCTACTATATGTCAACCCTGTCAACCTTGTGTGTGTTTCATGATGTTAATTATACAATAAATATGAATGAGAAAATAAAATGCAGCATCGATCCAAAAAATGCTATCTAATTTTTTTTTTTGGCTGGAATTTTGTAAAAAATTAGCTCAAATAAATATTTTCAGTAAATTAAAAAATAAACCTCATATTTGTTGCCTTTGTTTCATTATGTTTTTTATTTTTTCTTCAATATTTAGTTTGTTCAAGTCATGTGACAGTAATTATTGGTCTTTTTTTATTTATATTGACTGATATGATTCTAAAGGTTCATTATAAACATCCTGTACCGTACAATAAAAGATTTTAAAGAGGCCGGGTTTATCCACATTTTCTTATCATCCCATAGTCTTCCAACACATGCAGCAAGAGCCGCCGCATGACTTTTGGAGGCCCCAAGTCACTTATATTTTCTAATATTTATGCTTTCAATATTTTTTTTCTTTAACAACTTTGGGCTTTTTAAATATTCAAGGCCATCTGCAACCCCAGGGGTGACCAGATCATGCGACGGCTCTGTACCCATGGCCTCATTTCTATAGCCTATAAAAGGTTGTACACTACAACAGACAAAATACAAATAGGTCAATTTATTGTTATATCACAATCTCTTGACAGGTAACTAAAAAAGGATGTATTTCAAAATTTGTTAGAGATCAGATATTTAAAATAAAAGCATTATAAATATTTTGTAAATAAAGTTAACTTCTTTTGTTGATATTTAAATTACGGAAGATAATAAATCTAGGTGTACTTCTTTCGAATTTAATGTGGCAATTAAGGGCTATTGATTTGATTACAAGTCTTAATATATTATAACCAGGTTATTCGTATATGAAAATAGCTTGCAATTTTTTTATCATCAATAAAAATTTAATTTTATACTTAACAGCATCTATTCATTCAACTAATGATAATAATGTTTTCTAAAATGCAATGTATAAATATCAAAAGAATTAAGCTCTAGAACAGTGATCTTATATTTATTCAAACTGAGGGTGTAAAAAAAGATAAGTAAGTTAATTTTCTACCACTTGGATTTTCTTTTTATCATTCAAATTTATAAATCATATTTCTTTTATCGAATCCCTAGTTACATTATTCTTTTTAGATTAAAAATTATAAAAGATATTGTACATTAGCTAACATGTTTCAATATAAAAAAATTTAATGGAAATTATTCATAATGTTGTTCCTTGTTTCACATTTCGATGGGGCAGGTTGTCATAGTGTATAATCAAGCTATCCCTTTCAATTATAATTTGAAACAGAAAATTTTAGTTAAAAAATATTCCTCGCATGATAATTACATTAGATAGGATTTTAAAATATTTTTTCATTTTCACATATTAATCTGTGTATTTTTTTAAGTGTGCTTCAGCTCACTTATGGATTAATAAATGTTTGCTTCCTTTTAATGGCTAAACCCCCCCAAAAAAATAATTTTTTCTATGCATGACTTACTGTTTGTACAATCAATTTAATGAGGCCTACTTGATTTTTAAAAGATATAGGTTGTTAAAGATGTACTTTTGACTGCATTCCAATGCGGTACGAGTCTAAAAGTTTAAAATGTCATAATTTATTAAAATGTAATAAACAAAATAAATTTGATGACATTGTTTTGTGAAATCAATCACTGCTAAGGGGAGTAGTTAAACTTTATTTAAGCTCTTTTAGAATACTGAATTAAACAAAAGAACATTAATAACAATTTTTTAAAACCTTTATAAATAATATATTGAGCCTAAAATTATATTTCAGATAAGCGAACTTAGCCACGTAGATAATCAATAACTTTATTTTGTCTAAATGCACTTACATAAACTGAAGTACTGGTATATAAATAAAAATGCGACAACCTACCAGCCTACCCAACACTATGATGTTACAAGCTGGAGACCTTTTAGAAACATATATATAGTGGTACCTCAGAATCAGTACCGGTATCCTAAAGCTTATTCCAACTCTTACCATAATAACCGTATATTAATAAACTACCTATGAGTAGGCTTACAATTTTACTTAGTTTAGGTAACAATTAAATTATTGCATAAAAAATGTAAAAACACAGCTCTCTCTTATTTTTTATTTTGTTGCCCGGTGCCATATTGCAGAACACCAGAAGAAAACGGCTCAAAGGAAGACCTAGGCTTAGATGTATGGATGATGATCATTGATATGGAAAGGGATCTACAGCAGCTGGGAATCCAAGCATGGAAAAGAAAAGCATAAGTTAGGCAGTTAGGTCTGAGTGGAAGGATGTGGTGAGGCAGGCCAAAGCCCTACATGGGTTGTAGCTCCACAGGGATGGGATGGATGTTGCTGTATCGTGATCAGGCATTCGGGAAACACTGGCTTTTTTAAAGACAACTAAGATAGATTTATTTCATATTTTCAACAGTAGATAGATTTATTTCATATTTTCAACAGTAACAGGCCAGTGTTCATGATTCACTGGCTTTTCATTTTCCATTACTGAGAATTTTCTGTTAATCTTTCGAAGAATTAATTATTTTAATTCATTTTCAGTACTTGTCCTAATAGGGAGTCATGACAAGTATTCGACATGTATTTATATTCATGTGTTTATTTGATTATTTTTTTTCCAAATTTAAGGAGAGAAAATTATTATTTTTACTTGGGATAATTGAAACGCACAGAAGCGATATGAAAAAGTTACGCTTTATCTGTTACTTTTAAAAATTAGTACTTCCGGAAACAAAAAAAACATGGGTAACGTGTGAGCACTAACAAATAATAATTAAATAAATATTACAATTCATATTATTTTGAAAATATGACACAAAACATATTTTAATCCTACTTAACATTTTATTTAAAGAATGCTGCATATTTAAAGGGCGTATTAAAAGAAATTGATATTTTAAAACGAGTTCTTGAAATCGAAAGTGAAGTGATTGCACAACCAGCCAGAATTCAGCAGAACATGGCGGACACTCACACTGTGACAGCTGTAAGTAAACCAAAAATGTAAAGTTAGTAGTTTAAAAGCTTATAATATGACGTATCTAAAATTCTTATCCTTTTATACATTTTATATTGATTAAATGACTGTTATATTAGTAATAATAATATTATAAATTATTATGTTGTCATGCAGAAGTCTGAGAAGTGAGAAGTTATCTTGACTTGACAGTTCCAAACCTTGGTATTAGTATTTGTCCTATTAGTATTATTAAATGATACAATTTATTATTAAAATATTAATATTTAGGGGGCAATAAGCTTGAAGGCTTGGCCAAACCCGGACAACTCAAGCGATTAAGGGCAGTTTAGTCTATTCAAACTATTCTCAGAATGATTTTGATTATTAGAATCATTCTGAGAATGTTTTAGTTTTAGTCCTGGTATTAGTACTAGTAACTAGTAGTGAAATGAAACTGAAAGGGTAAATTACCAGCCAAAAGCTTTAGTTAACAAGACTAAAAGAGTATCTGGGCCAGTTAACCTAGCTATGGCTATATGTAGGTACTTGGGTAACATTTTCTAAATGAAGGTATAGCTTTAAGAGATAGTTGGTTAGAAAGAGCCTGAAAATGCAATTCATTGATACCAAATTTATGTTTGTAGGTCAATTCTAAAGAAAGTTATGATTTTTTTCGTGAATTATTTTGGGATAACTCTGTTAATTGAGACATATTCATATAGGAAAATATAAAAGTGACTAAAATAAAAATTGGGCAGAGATATTAAAAAAAGCAGTAAATTGAAGTTATTTAATGACTTAATGAAGATAACCATAACAAACCATATATATCTGTGATCGTCATAACATTATCCAAACAGACGTCATACAATAAATTCTATGGTATGCTAGATGAGCTCATTAATATTCAAAGTGGCCGTGAAATTTCCATATGTCATATTTGAATATGAACATAACATGAACAATATTCTTCAAAATATAGGGTCATGTATATCAAATTGTTCATATTGAAAAAGGGAAAAATAATATGTAGCATATGGAAGGGTGAACCAATGTGTCCATTAAAAAATTTAATTTATTCTATATCTCCGATAGCAAATCAATTTTCGGATATTAAATGTACAATATGTAGATTATAGTAGGAGTTTTTCTTGCATAGAGGGTATCTTTAAATTCTATATTCTTTTTGCTAAGTGTAGCATTAGTTTTTATTAGAACCCCTACAATTAAAAAAGAATTGTGCTGCTTCAACTAAGGCCTACAAATTGCAAATATGATTAACATTATGATGTCATTTGATAGGCCTTTAAAAAGATAAAACAAAGTATTTTTGTGTGTGTGAAGCATTTCAAAGTATCAATTCATCTAAATACTAAAGAAATCTTAATTTTAAATCTATTAGGAAGATAAAATATACTTTTCTTAATATTTCCATGTTACAAATGTGTCAAGCATAAAAATGATAGTGAGGGTGATAAATAATTACGGCGGGGAGGTGGATCGTTTACAAAGAAATAGACCCTACGTCTTAATATCTATATAATATAGGGGCAATATAGTGTTCTGTTGGGGTAGCCTACTTCTCACCCAATATTAATAGTCTAAAATTAAAAATTTTTGACTGCAGATCTATTGACAGTCAACTGGCAAGTATTGGTCATATTTTCTTTGGTTCATATTTTAAATTTAAGCTACTAGGTAGAACTTTATTAGATATTAAAACCAAGATAACAGACTTTGCTTTTTTTTACATTTTGCCGGCGAACTCTTGTCTTATGACATTTCTGCTGGAATAATAATACCCACTAGTCCGGCGGTCACGTGACATGCTCACGTGAATATCTCCCACACTATTTGTCCGGTCGCCGGATGTGTAGACATCACTGGTCTCTGAAACAAAGGTTAACTTTTTGGATATTACAGTCACCCTTCCCAAAGACAGCCTTCTCACTCCACCTGCTTTTAACCTACTGACAGCCACATCTTTTTACGCTACTCTTCTTCCCACCTTAAATTCTGTTAGGACTCTATTCCTTTTGAGATGATTGACTATTTCCGATGTAGGTCCTAGCCGGAGACAGTACTTACCTCAGCCCTTTTATGGGTTAAAAATATTACTTGTGCTGATGCCTTCAGGTCTTGTCCGAGTGACAATGGTGACAGGTCGAAACTTATTTTCACATATCATCCTCACAATCTCATAGCAATCTCCCACGCCAGATGGTGTATCTAGGTGAGACTGGATCGCACCTCTCTTACAGATGTACACCTATGAAATATTGCACAAGATAATCAGTGTCCCATCTCAAAACACTTTAATAGAAGCGACAACAAAGGCTCAAGAGATTTCATTTTCTTTGCCATTGTGTCTTGTGCCAATATACCAAATGGGGTTGACTTGGAGGACAAACTGATTCAGACTTATGGGACCTTGAAACCATTCATGAATGTCACGTTCCCATTCAATTTTTAAACCTTTTCTCCACTCCCTCCTTGTAACGACCAATTGCAGTGGGCTTACTCTTCTTCTCTTCCGTCCCCTTTTGCCTGTACTAACTTTCAAATCTACTTATGTTCTATCACATTCCTCTTGCTGTCCTCTCAAATACTACATTGAAGCTGAGTGTTTATTTTATATTGTTTTTACTGTCGACACATGCATCCTTTTTTTTTTCAGGTTTTACCATACTTTGTTTTGCTCATTTCCTTTTGACTTGGTTATGTCATATTTTATGTGATGTAGTAAATTAAAATAAAGGCAAAGACTTTTTGTCTTTCAGGATTTGTAAATGGTTTGGCATTGTCACTACCAGTGTTAGTGAACAGTGATTGTAGTTTAGCCTAGACTTTGGACTAGCAATTTTAATTTTAAAAAGACTGCTTAAAACCCATTTTTTGTAGGAACAAAAGAATACCAGTGTATTATGATAATTATTTTTTCAATACATTTTCAAAATCATCCTAAATTAGATCTATCATTTAAAGTTTAGAAAATTTCAAAAAGAATTGATTACTAGCTGTCATTTGGATGTTGACATTTTCTTTTAGAAGATCATCGAAAGACTGAAGTTAAAATGATATTCATGATTGACATTTCTTGCTATCCTGAAGATTAGGATAGCATTTTGAATACTTGTTCTGCATCACTCATTGATGCATTTCTTAGTGTAGGAAGGCAGGAAACAAAGTTAACATGGTACATTTTTAAAAGCGGTATTAATATATATATATATTTTTTTTTCAAAAATAGATGTTGTTTCCAGGAAAAGCACCTTAAAATATTAACTACTGAAACTAAATTTAAGCCTATTTACAAATACTATAAAAATAAAGATATGTTTCATTTCAGAGTTCTGAGATCCTTAAAAGATATGCACTTAAAGTCTCTGTGTCAAGCGTTAAAGAAAGGACTGCCGCCATTAGAGATGTTATAGATATTATAAACAAAGGAGGTAGTAACAGAGATACCATTGAACATTTATTTTCTGTAGTTTAAGATATTAAATTAAAATGGTATGATGGTCTCCTCAGCCTATGCCTGTTGTTCATCAGCTTTTATTCCAGATTATTTCATTTTAAGTCCATGCAAAATATGCCAGTAAATATTTACCTCTACCTAACTACCTTTTTGAGTCCTATCATCTCATTTATTTCATTGACCCACCTATGAAAAAAACAACTTTAAAAAAATTTTTTTTTTATTTTTGTTCTTAAGTAGGAAGGTAGTTTAATGACACCTGTATTGCTTGCAAAAATATAATCTAAAGTTTTGGATGGTCTTTTAAAAAAATTCAATTTGAAAAGTTTTTTTAAAAAAATTCAATTTGAAAAGTTTTTTTAAAAATAATCAACTTATATATATATTTTTTTTAAAAAAAAAAAGTGATGGTGGATTATCCTCACTTATTTTAATTTATTTCAACAGTTGTCCCCGAAGGTGCTGTTAAAGGAATATTCCGATACCTGACCCAGGCTATTGGGATTTACAAAGATGGTGCTTCTAGACATGCTGCCCTTACTCTTGTTAGCAGTGTCACTAAAGCACACTTTGAAGCATCTGTAAAAGGATTAACTGGAGCTTTAGAAAAAATTGCCCAAGATCAGATAAAAATTGTGGTGCCAAGGTAGCCAAAAAACATTATTTATTCTCACTTTGTTTTTATAATTAAGGTATTTGAATGCTAAATATATATTAAATATTAAGATATTTTAGCTGAATAAGTACTACAATTAAGGGGAATATGATAATATAGATGTATACATTTCAAATGGTTGTTGTATATTCACAATTTTACCAGCCATAGCTCATCTGGGGATGCGTTGTTGGCACTTTCTTGGACCTGCATAATCTTAAGACATGCTTTGGCTGCACCCAATGGCCTCTCAAGTTCAGCCCTTCAGCAGTTGGTGGGTTTGTTGAATTATTATTTAAATTTTTGAACTTTCTAAGTTTAATTTTGTTTTCCCATTGGCTGTTACATAAGAGTAATAGAGCTACCCTTTTTAGCCAATAAACTGGGGGAAAAAATATAAAAGAACTAATTTTAGATTTTATCTCATTATGAAAGGTGACTCTGCAATCTTTCCTTGTCTATGGGGCATTGGCTGGAAATGTTACTGTCATCAAGAATGCAACTTATCGCAAGCTGAGGCGTGTGTGGAAAGAGGTAAATCCGGTATAATCAAATTAAACATTTATTTTAAAAAGAATTGTTTACAGCCTTAATAAGAAAAAAACAAAAACTATCATATATATAAATAAGTTAAAATTTGTTTTTGGGCTTGTGCCGCTTATGTTTCTAAATGGATTTATGAATCTTGACCAAACTTGGCACATATATCCATCATTATTCAGAATCAAATACTGGGGGGTTTTGAACTTTTTTATTTTATTCCGTTTGGGGCCTGGGGGCCCTAAATTGTTTTTTTTTTTTTCCTTATATGAGTTATTACCAAGAAATACTCCTCCATGAATTTATGGATCTTGACCAAACATAGTACACATACATTCAATTATCCATATTCAAATCCCAAAGGGTCATGAACTCATAATATTCCCTCCTTTGGGTCTTGGTGCCCCATTTCATATCTCCTTATATAGGCTATATAGGCAATTGGCTTAGACAATACTAACGATCGTATGTGACTTGATAGATATAGGCCTAGTTGATTAGCAATACCTTTCATAGTCCGTATTGAAATATAAGTGCATTTAAAATTAATAATATCCAATCTATCCAGGGCTGATCTAGAATTTTCCAGACAGTTTGATAATTTAAAATGCTATATTTATGGCATTTTTAAACAGATTTTAATGGGAACATTTTTAACTCCATTATTTATCTGAGTGATTTTAATAGGACCCCCTATCTGAGGCATAACTAAAACGGTACCCTATGGAATGGGCCTCCATCACAGCCCCTCTTTTAACTGAAAGGAAAATTTGTTATAGTTTTTGCATTTGTTGTTGAATTTTTCGTGTTAAAAAAATGATTACGTAGAAAAATCATTTTTGTCACATTTAAAGGTTATTAAATTTAAAATAGAATGTCCCAAGTGTTTTTTAGTGTTCCATGGGGATAAATGGTGGGATCTAAAAGCTTACTGAAATGTTAATTTAGTTCTTTCATTTCTATACTTTTCCTGGGGATTATTAGTCTTCATACACTCGAAACAAAAAGCAGTCTGCCTAAAGGTACTTTTACCATGAAAGAGGGTTTCACGTGTTAATTGAAATGGGATTTATGTGGTTGTGGGCCGTAGATGCCGCTCCTGTTATATAGGCAAAACTGGTTGAAGATTATCAGATAGGCTCACTTAACATCTTCGTGATATTGAATGGGGTAAACTTTCCCCGTCTCATCACATTTCAGCGGAGATAAACATAAAGGGACATTAGATTTATCCATCATGGTATGAATTTCCTGAACTAACACACCAGAGAGAGTTAGAATGGAAAGCAAATTAATTCAGCTTTCGGGCTCAAAATCACCATATAGAATTAATCAAATACTCTCCTTCTTCTTCTTCTTTATTTTGAGGGCCCACGATCAATGAATTGATCATTCTGGCTCCTATGTTTCAGAGGGGTTTGCGATGTTACTGTGCATGGGTTTCAATGGGATGCTTCACTGGTTGCAAGGGCAACTCAGCAGTGGTGTTATGAACTGGGGGTTGGAATACAGGCGGCAATAGTGTCGAGTGTAGCCGCCTCAACTGTTGCTTTTGGAAGCTTGTTCCAGTCCCCTATTGTCTTCGGCAGGAATGAGGAGCTCCTGTACTTTGTTCTTGTTTTTACCACTTGTTTTTATCCTACTAATGATTCTCAATTTCCCTGTACTTCTTATATTTTATATATCTTAAAAATATTTTTGTCCAATAAGATTTAAGATCTATTTTTCACCGTAACAGTACATATATTTCCTGTAATCTGGGTTTTTCAAACTCCAACTTCTTGCAATAACAATGGAGATCACTTGAGTTTTTAACTAGTTTCTATTTCTTGTTGTATTTTCATTTATCCTGTCAGCTGAGGAAGGCTCTTAGCCAAAATGTTCATATCTTATTGTCCTGTCTTCAGATTCAAGCTTCAACATACCTTGTTCTGCTATTTCCTTTACACAGCTTGAATGTAGTCCATCATTTATTTTAGATTATTCTAGAAGCTTTGATTTTTTCTATACTCTGTTTTTAATATTATATAAATGCCATTCTCATGTTTCATTTACTTTCATTGAGTTTCCTGGAATGTTATGGAATGAGAATAATAGAAAAATTTTGGAAGTTTCTAGAAAGTTCCAAATTACTTGTCCATTATTATGGCCTAAGCTGTGTACATAAAAGAAGTTGAAGGTGCTTAGATTATGGTGGTATATACGTCTAGGTGTTTTAATGGGACCTTGGCGTTGGTAAACATGCCCATCATAATCCCACCAGGGAACAAGATCCTAAAGGGAAATGAGAAAATGTATCAAAACAGAGAATAGATCCCAAACTGGATCCCAAACTGGATCCCATACTGGAGAAAGGAATGGATCCCACTGGGGATCAGGATTTGGCAGAAAATGGGATTCCTTTGGGATCGTATTTTATAAATGTGAATTTTTTAGGAGAAAATTTAACATTTTAACTTTTTCTTGGCAATTTTTTTTTACAGGCCTCTTAATTTGGTTGTTCGCTAAAAGGCTGTAGAAGGTTTTTTTTTTTTTTTTTTTTTTTTTTTTTTTTTTTTTGGTTTCTTTCAAATGCAACCCAGGCCACGCCGGGTATATTGACTAGTTTCTATATAAATGTATGAAATTGTGTGTTTAATTTAAAATTGTTTTAAACCATTAAATTTTTTGTTAAAATTTTCTTACCATTGCAAAGGGGCTTTAATCTTTATACATGGGATTTAGAGTCTCAAATTAAGATAACTATATTAAAAAATGGATTGTATGCAATGTAATTACGTTTCTACACCTTTGATTGGTTGTATTGGGTGGTGACCCTGATGTTTATATAACTTAATGACACAATATCTATTTGAAAATTCAAACTGAATATAAAGGTAGGACATGCTTGCGTGACTGTCCTTGGAATAGACTTGCATGCATATTTAAGTAATTGTTGAAATGAAATGTATATGATTTCAGGTACCAAGTTCTGTAGGGAAATATGCAGATATTGTGGCCCAACTGGAGCAGTCCTCATTCAACCTGCCATTGATTGGACTCATCATGAAATATCTAGCTGCCAACAAGCTTGCAGACATCATTCAAAAACATAAGGTATGGCGGGGTTGGATATGATCAGTTTTCCCAGAATCTTTCTGAAATCACAGATAATAAAGTACATAGTGGAAACTTACAAATTTAAATGTAGAATTTAAGAAATTGATTTGGTGTTTCTGATGTATGTGAATATTTACATAGCAGCTATTTAAAGTAAAGGTCCACTAAATTTCACTGAGTATGTTTATTTTCACAGACTGTGTTCCTGGATATTTATATGAAGCAAGTAATTTCTAGCCGAACAGTTCCTAGTAAAGCAGTTTTGGTGAGTATTATTTTTTAATTGTACAATATATTTTTTATAAATCTCAGTGTTTATTGGTGATTGATTTTACTTTGATAACAATTTCAAAGTTTCTAAATGATAATAGTTATTACCTTATTATACATTGTGTTCTATTTTGAAGCTTAAAAGTTAATAATTCTTTCAATTTTAATAATGTGTGTTTAGCCTCTGACACTGTCATATTTTTTAATTGAATGTTTGATTTGAAATTTAAACTAAGTGGTTTCTACATAAAGTGTTCCACCTTTGTGCCAAACATTTTATAGAAATCATCAAAGAGTTGTTTTTTTAATAAATATAATCATTTCCATTTAAAATAAAAGTTGTAACTGCAGCTAAATTTTCAATATAATTGATTATATGCATACTTCTTTGAGAGAGCATTATTATAGATTACCAATAGCCTCTGAAATAACACTATTTTTGTGCAATTAAGTTTATTTTTACCCTAAAAATTTGTTAATTGCAAAAGATTTGTATAAAATAAAATCTGTTACGTGAACTATTTACAATATCAAGATCCAATTATTTCCATTGTTACACTTGTCAAGAATTAATTCAATTCTGTTACTGTAATTTTAAAGACTAGTTTATTTTTTGTTGTTGCAAAATTTGTGTTTTAAATTCTATGCCATTTTTATTTGATAGTTTAATAACACTGAGCTGCTTCGTCACGTCTCCCATGAGGAATTCAAGGACCTGATCCTACCTGCTGTACAGAAAGCAATGTTGAGAAATTCTGAAATCAGTCAAGAAAGTAAGCAGTAATTCTTGTAGGCCTGTACTATATTATTCATGTTGTTCTTTTACTCCAGCAATCTGTACAGTCAATATGTTAATCACAATAATTATCTAAAAATTTATTTTGTCTTTGAAATTTCTTTTCGAGCCCTAATTTTATAGATGGTATTGTTTTGAAAATTCTTGCTTTGGGTATCTTAACGATGTGAATTTTAAATCTCATTTTAGCTATTAGTGAGCTGATCAGCAGTGTCAAGTTAGACTTGAGTCAGTATGCCATGGACATTGTCAAGCTGTTTGCTGGTTAGTAGCATTTCTGAACAGAACCAAAAACAATTAATGTTTTATAATATTGTGCACTTTCCGTTAGCACCAATAAATAATAAATTTTGGGTTGTCAAAAGTTTCCTGCTAGATCTAAATTAGTGATAAGGTTTTAAAAACTGGAAAAATACAGTTCCTTTTAAGCTACCATTGATGTCCAAGTCATATTATATTGCAACTAATTATTGGTTTACGAAAGGGACTAAACTAACCTCTGTTACATCCAGCCCAATTTTTTATTATGAAACATTCTCATCCATCTCTCAGATTCTAACAAAACTTAAGGAATACATTTCATTTGTGATTATCATAATGTGAAATATGTATTATAAATAGTTTTTAAAACATTGAAAGCTCACTTTAAACAGTAACAGTGAGAGCTCAATATAATGTGCTAATTTTGGCAGAATAATGTGATAACATTAATGACAATATTCCATGCAAATAAATTTTGGATTTTTTAAATAGCAATGACATAAGTCAATTCATCTTTACAAACATTAGTTCATTATCTCTTGTGGTTAGAAAGGCATTGAATTAGGACTAGTTTTAAACAGGATTTGTCATTGTGTTGTATAAGAATATATACCCCATTTTTTCCTATGTACTTCAATAAAATATTTTCATGTTAATGAAAGATGTCATTTCATTAACCATGATATGAAATTGTAATTTATATCCCAGTGCATGTTAAGGCCTGGTTCCACTTGTACCTATCTATACATGATATTTTTTTATCTTAAATTCTGTTAAAACTAAGAAGATTACACTTTGGCTTCTACATTTCTCAGATAAATATTAACAAGTAAAATTAATGCACATCCCTGCATGTTTTCTGATTTCATAAAGTGATATTGTTTAGCCTTAAAACTGAATAATTTATAACTAAGTTACACACAATTTTAAAGTCCATCTACTGCATCAAGCCACATAAATAGCAGCAGGGCACACCCTTCAAAAGATGTGTTTAACAATGTGTTAAACATAGATTGTTTAGTTCTGGGAAAGGAGTGGAGATGGGAAAAATAATGCTAAACCTTGAAAGTGTACTGTCTTGTTGATTGGGCATCAGCTGTTGAATTCTTGACATGCATTCTATGTAGGACCCATTTCATCTAAAGAAGAAGCCAACAGAGTAGTGGCAGTGCAGGCCATAAGAAATCTAGCATCTCAGTGCAGTGATCCTGGAGCTGTAGAGAAGGTTGCCAATCACCTTTTCAAAGTTCTTGGGGGTATGAAGGTTTTTTAAAATTCACATACAGATTTATTATATTAATCATGGATTTTCTTTGACAATTTTTTGATCTAAGTAAAGCTAGTATACCACCCAGTGGTTCTCTAACTATTAATAATGAGCAAACACAATGAATTAAAAAATGTCCTTATATTTAAAATTGACATACCGCACAATTTTTAAATAATGCCAGATTCCTGGTCTTATTCCTAAATAATCTGTTGTTCTTATAAACCAGGTTCTGAGGGTAAGCTGACATTTGCAGACCAAAAAATCAGTGTACTTCAGGGAATTGGCAACTTGGTCTACAATACAGTTAGCGGCACCAGTTCTCTTCAGTCTCTGAGCACAACTATATCTGAGATGTTTTTACCCACTTTACAACAAGAAGGTTAGCTTCACTGTTTGTTTTTTAAAATGTATTTTTGTTTTTATTTAGTGATGTTACTACATTTAAAATCAAACAAAATCATTTTTTTTTTTTAAATGTAGATTTTTTTTTGTTCATCTGAATGTTTAAAGAAGGGTTGTAATTAAGTAACTAAAATAAATGACTTGTAGTATAGTTTGTACTTGAAGTTAAAAAATGCAACTTTGATTTACTCGGCCATTGCCAAAGTTCAAAAACAGTATTATAACTATAAGCAGCGTCCCACCCTCATGTCACTTGTAGAAAGCATCTAGCAAGTTTAATGTACTTTTAGCATATACTCTGCACAGCCAGAAAGCACCTGGCAAGATTAGTGCACTTTCAGCCTTTACTTTGCACTGCCAGAAAGCACCTGGCAAGATTAGTGCACTTTTAGCCTATAATCTGCACAGCCAGAAAGCACCTGGCAAGATTAATGTACTTTTAGCCACTACTCTGCAAGTTCAAAAATTTCTAACTTGCTATTTCAAAAAGTTTTATTGCTGAACTTACTTATGTGTGACCTATTAACACACACACACACACACCCACCCCATGCCCCATTGAAAAAAAAAAGATTTAAAAAGAAAAGAAACATGACATTACATGCCAGTTCTCTTGTTCCAATATCATGAATGAGAGGGATGGGAAAGGTGCTATTTTTCATTTCTTAAATTATTTATTAAATTATTTTGCTTCTTTTCAATCAGTCCACGAAGGAACCTTGATCCACACCTTGTCGATGCTGAGCCTATGGTGCTCAAAATTCTATACACATGTTCCTGACAAATTGTTACTTTGGTTTCCAGTAAGTCCAACAATAGTTTCAAAAGCTGAATCAAACACATGCATCAGAGCAGAAAGATATAATTTTTTGTGCTGTATAGTATTTGAAGGGCATGATACTAATTGGTTTTAGTGTTCCATGTATATAAAAAAAAGTTTGTTTTATGAACATAGTTGGTTTAGAATAGTTTTAGCCTCATTGAAAAATTTAATTGAAATAGAATATCTATTTGTTATGCAATAATTAAATAACTCTTTCCCTACGGAATTTTTTTATTGAAAAAATGTACATTTTTTTTAAGAGCGAAGAAATAGAGGTTGGGTTTATTAAAAAACATTTAAAATATTATTCTTTAGTTTATAAAACTAAACTTGGTGTCAAATGAAGGGTAATTGAAAGGACTATATGTTTGTACACTTGTTTCTTCACTTTAAATAAAAAGACTTACAGAAAAGAACCATAAAATGTAAAAATATTTTATGCTAAACCATTTTCCCCAAAACCCTATGATGTACGCAAACCTCAACTTCACTTTTATAACTCAATGCCTCTAAAATACTACTATCGGAATTATGAGATGCATCTAAATATAAATCATCTTCACTATCAAAAGAAATAGTATAAAACAATTCCAAAGCTTTTTTAACTGTTAATCGTCTAGGAAACTTACCTACAAGGGCCTAGAGTAGTCATAGCAACAGTAGAATAAAAAGACCCGAAGAAAATCGTCAAAATAATGCTTCAAATGACAACAAAGAAACCTTGGTTTCGCTTGTAAACAATGAAATACCACTCTTCTATGTAGAAGTCTTATTTAAAAATAGCTCTTAAAAAGTTTAACCAAGAAATAGCTAAGAAACAAACATGAGATTGAAACACCACTCTTCTATATTAAAGTCTTATTTAAAAATAGCTCTTAAAAGGTTTAACCATGAAATAGCTAAGAAAAAACCATGAGATTGAAACGGCGCACAGCGCGTCGCTCCGGGCTTTTGAGAACGGCGGAAGAACGCAGTGTGCGTTGTTCCGCATGGAAAGAGTTAAGAAACCTTCATGCAGTCTTAAGCTGTAGGTAAGATAATCTTTATATACTATGTCATCTATTCTATTTTACTACCACAGAAAGGAATCAGTTTGAAAACATCCACATCTGGTGTCAGAAATGCCTACATAAGGTGCATGAATGCTGCGTTTCATGGTAACTATTTGTTGTAATTGAACTTTAATTTTCAATTAAGTGATAATTCATGCACGATAGACTTCAACTAGACATTTTTATCTGATATAACTGGATCAAACTATTTTGAACCTTTCCTATATTTTGTTAATGATTGATGTGAACAGAAATTTGCTAATGTGATAGGGTCTTAAGATTTAAATTTTGTATACAGCCCTTCCATTTGCTACTTCTTCCAGGTGATACTCTCCAACAGGCAACCACTAGTGTCTTACCTATTCTAATGCAGACCTTAGATAAAGCTGAGAAACAGCCCACTTTGCCCCAGCTAATGGCAGAGGCTGTGACTGCATCTTGTCTGCTTATTAAAATTTCCATGGCAGACATTCAAGCAGGTCAGTTTGTCAATTTAATTTTATCTATTTCACTTTCCTGTTTCCATAAGGAATTTTTAAGATTTAAAATTTCTGTTGTATTTCATATAAATGTATATAAGTGCATTGACAGACATATTTTATTTAACATTAAAAAATGTAATTCATTAAATGTTTCTATTAAGTTGACTGTTGAAAAAATATGAGAAATTTATTTTAATGAGTTAAAACCTAGATTTTATATTCAATTTTTAAGTTCATTTGAGAATAATTTATCCATAGAAACCAAATTGGGCCCTTTTTGGAATATCATATTTGACAGCAAAAAACAGTACCTTGTCAATGAAAAGTTCCTTGCTTCTGCATCAGGAGAAAGTAAGTTTTATAAATGATCTTTTAAATTTTTACACATCTTTTAAAAAACAGTTGCTTTGAAATATTGTACATCACAAATATTGGTGGGCCATTTATGTTTGCGTTTATGTAATTGATAGAAATGAAAGTAGTAACAAATTAAAAAGTTTTTTTTCCCACTAGTATTTACAACAATCCTTTTTGTATCACCTGTGTCACAATCATTTTTCAGCACTTCAAAGCCTGATCTTTCTTATAGAAAGATTAATTTTGGACAATCCCACCAAGATGACAGATGAAGTAGCCAGGTAATTTTAGATTATTTTAAGACCATACCATTTAAATTTTTAAAAATTTTGACATAATTGGAAAAAATTAAATACATTTAATTTCTTTATTCATTCTACCTGATTTTTTGTTTTCTCTTTCAGACCATACTACAGGGCTCTCATTTTCTGCTTGTGTCGACGTTCATGGGCCGTGAGACATGCTGCTCAGAACACAACCAAAAAACTTCTAGCCTTGTTGGGGGGAGCCAAAACTGCCATTTCTCTGATCCAAGAGTTTCAGAGAGTTTTAGAAATACAGAAAGTAAGAAATAGGGTTCTGTTTAGTTTGAAAGATTAACGGGAGGTGCGGGTGAGAAATCGGCGAAAAGGTGAATTTTTGAGTATTTCTGGATTTTTACATATTTGGTTTCTAGAGCCATTTTTTTATATAAATAACTTTTAAAAATTTTGAAAATTATTTTAGAAAATATTGTAAAATATATTTTTTCTGACCCTATAAATGTGTAAATATTCATATTTTTACGATTATTCGGTGTTTTCAGCGATTCATTTCATGTACTAAAATTCGCTCAACCACCTCATATTTGGTATCAATGGAAAGTTTGACTTTTCCGGAATAAGATAAATATAGATTCCCGCCAATACGAAATTTACCGAACCCTTCAATCGCCTTTGTATCCAACATACAAAAAGGTGTTTTCCTGACCTACTTATGGAGTCTCCCATTTACGAATGCATAAACCTTGAACTTGGAATAAAGCAAGCATTTTGATTGGTTACAGCTGTGGAAAGTTACCAATAGTTCTACTTCCGTAAGTTCCGTTTCGAACCCTAGTAACGCCATCACTTCACCTCTAGATGCGGATGGAGCAGCTACAATCGTTATTTATTCAATGGAAGAAGTGCTTAGATTTTAAATTTAAATTTTATATAATTCAGTGATTAATGACAATACAACATTGTTATTGAAATGCCACGTAAAAGTGTTTCTAAACGTTCTCTGCATCTTGAAAATGCAAGGAAAAGACGTAAAATTGAAGGTGGGCCTGGTTCTTTGTCTCCTGTGTCTGTGGTCACTGTGGACGTGGATTTGAATCAGGCTAATTCTAATAGTAATAATAGTAACATTTTAAATAGTTCATGTAATTCAAGCACCACACCAACTACTAGTAGTCACTGTTGTACTAGTTTAAGCGCTAGTGATGGTGTAATGGCCACAACAAATGGTCCAAATAATTTTCAAGCTTCTCAACAAGCCAGCGTTTCATCGATACCAGTATCAGAACCATCTACACCAGTACAAGTGTCCTCTACCCCATGCTCTTCTCCGGGTACTTCTGCAGACAGTGAGTTAGATCTGACCCGGTCAGAGAAGAAAATAAATGCATGGATAAATCATTTCTCGGCCACAGAGCCACTTTCATCAACAGGCAACATAATTGTGAGTGTAACACAGTTACAAATACTTATTGAAGACTTTCCATGCCCAACCTGTGGGGCTAAACCACCTGTGTTAACAGCAAAAGAGAAACAAACAATGGGTATGGCTGTTACATTTGAAATTGTATGTACCTATTGTAAGGATATTATAAAAACCTGGTGGTCTTCGACAAGAGACCAAAACAAGAAAAGCTTTTTCCATAAATCATCAGGCAGTATTGGCAAGCCTCCTAAGCGGTATGGGAGCAACTCTTTTCAATAACTTTTGTGAGACATTTGATCTATCTGGAATGCACCACACGTCATTTCAGGCCCTTGCACGTATTATATATTCTTTAAACGGAGAACTTTGAGACGCTGTTTTCAGCAAAGCCGCATACGTTGTAAGGGTCGAACATAAGAAGCTTTTACATGATCAATCAGTTGAATCAGAAAATGAAACACTCGATATAGCTGTAAGCTATGATGGCACATGGCTGACGAGAGGACACACCTCTCTGATAGGGATCGGTTGTGTCATTGATGTCCTAACAGGCCTTGTTTTGGACGCCCATGTTATGTCCTCTTATTCCCAAATGTGTGAGAAGATGAGCAGCAAAAAAGCAACAGCACCAAAAGCTTACGAAGAATGGCAGAGAGAACATCTAGGTTCTGGAAAATGCAATTCAAATTTCAATGGTAATTATACATCCTTATTGATTTAATTTTATTACTATAATTCTTAATTAAAACATTTTAGGTGGATATAACAATTTCTCAATGCTCATTTTATAGTAATAATTCTTTCTATTTTTAATGAGTAGCAAACTAACATTAAATGCCTTTACTTATTTTTATTTTCAATATTTATTATTTTTAAAAGTATATTTGAAATTGTGAATATCTTAACTTTTTATTTAAATTAATTCTTTCTCATTATTTCTAGGAACTTCAGGTATGATGGAGGTTCATGCCACAAGAGTTTTGTGGATGAGGAGCATCCGACTACACAAGATGCGTTATACAACTATGTTGTCAGATGGTGACACAAAGGCCCACACAGAGTTGTGTCGCCTGAGACCTTATGGCCCTGATGTAGAAATAAAGAAAGAAGAGTGCATTAACCATGTATGCAAACGGTTAGGCTCTGCTCTACGAAATGTCGTTACCGACTCGTCCAAAAAAAAGGTAACTTTGGGGGGAAGAGGCAAGGGCAGACTTACTCAAAATGCCATAAGAAGGCTGTCGATTTATTATACAAGGGCAATAAGAGGACATAAGACTGCAGCAGATATGAAAAGGGCGATAATGGCATCCCTCCAGCATTGCTTTTCAACAGATACAAATCCACAACATACTTTGTGTCCCACTGGCGCAGACTCATACTGCTTTTATAATTCAGCGCTAGCTCGACATGAGTTTCCTGGATCACATGAACGCCATGTTCACACACCATTGGATAGGAATCTCCTGGAAAAATATCTTATTCCAATTTATGAAAGGCTTTCAGCACCAGAACTATTGGTCAGGTGTGAATTAAAAGGTACACAAAACACTAATGAAAGTTTGCATTCTGTTATATGGTCTCGATGTAGAAAAGACAATTTTTACTTGAGGCAGCGAGTGGAATTTTCAGCCTACGTAGGCGTAGCAGATTACAACTTTGGACCTTCATTTCTGCATGTTTTAAAAAGGGACATTTATGGATTAGAACAATCTGATTATTCTGACAGGCTGAAAAATAAACGAGCCAAGAAAAGACTGTTGCTAAGTCAAAATCGAAAAAAAGAAAAGGCGGACAATAGAAGAGAAAAGGTGAGAGAGGCCAGGAGGAAGAGGCAAGAGGAGCTAGAAAAAGATGAGGGAGGTCCAGCTTATGCTGCTGGACAGTTTTAGTGCCAGTTAAAATTTAAAAAATAAATTTTAAAGTCTATTTTCTATTCATTTTGTCGTTTTTTCCATTTTTCCGCAGTTTGTGTTTTTTGTCACATAAATGCTTATAACTTTTTCAATTATTATCCAAAGTAAACCATATTTTCACAGTATGTTCTTTATCCATAAATAAAGATTTGAATAACCTAACTTTTTGATATCTTTCATAGAAAAGAAAATACATTACAATCTTTCACCCCTACCCCTAAATTTTTCATAAAAAATAGTGACACATTTTGTCATTTTTTATTTTTGAAACTATAATAGCCATAGAAAAGTCCTGTTATTCAAAGTTTTATTACATGTCAAATGATCTATTTTTGAAATTTGAAAGTCATAACTTCAGACATAAAAAAGCCTTAGGGTTTTAAAATTCACACAAAAAAACAAAATGGCGGATGTTTTTATCAATTACCATGGATACCGAAGTAATTTTGTAAAAAAAAAATATTGGTTTTTACGTGGATTGATACCACCAACATGAATATTATATTTAAAATCATACCAGAAGTCAAATGTGAATTTTAGATTTTTCACCCACACCTCCCCTTAAATAATGCAAAAATTACCATTTTATTGATTTGAAAGTTAAGTGTTTTGATAATACGGCTAAGTGTAATTTTAAGAATTTTTTAAGAGTGACATAAACAATCTCATTTCCCTATGCATAGATTGGTTTGTTGGGTACTACTACTAATATCTTCAATCTCATTTAGGCATGTTTCTTTGGCTATGGGGGGGGGGGATGAGTAAGGTTTTTTTCTGTATATAGGGTGTTAGTGTGGAATTGGAATTGTGGTAGATATGTATAGTTTAACTCCTGGAAACACTTCATTGATTTAATATAAAAATTAAAATACATTTTGTACATTAAAATTTTTAATAAGAAAATGTAACATATAGTTCTTTTAAATCAGAGCAAAATGTTAGTTCTTAAGTTCTGCAAATGTATTTCATTTAACTTTAACAAAATATATAATTGCTACAGCATGGCCTTTTTGTTTCACTCAACTTTCTAGTATTGTGAACATAACACCTGTATTTTTATAATTGCATAATTCTTGATTTACTCACCTAAGATTTCAGAACTTCACCTGGCCCAGGCCAAAGAAGAAGAAAATACTAAATCGGAGGGATCTGAAAATGCAATGTTTAGCAAAGTAGTGAACCCTGCCATCATAGCATCAACTCTACAGACCATCTGTGCTGTGGAGAGGGTGGACCCTAAAGATGCTGAGACGATTGCAATGACCACCCTTATACCTGCTCATCATCCATACATTGGTATGTATTCCTTAACCACACATCACAAGTTCCCCAACCGTTAAAAGCACATGCCTCATCAAACAGAATGATAAAGTGTCATGTATATTGCAAACTGATTATAGAATAGTATGAAAAGCATTAATAACATTTTAAAAAATAAGCTATTCTGGTTCTTTATTATCACGCATCTTGAAAGTCCAAAGCAAATTTGGCTATTTACAGTTGGCTGACATTGATTTGGTAAAACTTTTTTGTCTGATCCATTAAAGATTGGGGTGAGGGCCACAGACTAGAAGGAAGATTAAAATTAGCAAAAAAGTTACCTATGTACATTATGATTGCTTGTTTATTGTTGTTTTAGTTTTTGAAAAGTAATTACTAAAATGGTAAATATAATCCAATAATTCTTAAATCGCCAGTGTATGTGAGGAAAGACTTGTGGATCACTATCATCAAGGCCTTGAACCTAGACCCAGCAATATTTGTGACAAAATATGCCCAGGAATGTTTGGCCTTGTTGAAAACAGGGGACAGACTTTCAGAGGTAACTCCTATGTACATTTAATGTTTTTCAAATAACATTTCTGTAGCTTTTTATGTGAAAAGATATCATATTTGTAAAATATAACCCTATTTATGATGATTTGGGGTTGCAGGCTGAAGAGAATGCAGTGTCCACCCTAGCTCTGGTAAGCCCTAGGGTCATCGCACCAGAGCTTGTTACATATGTCAAAGATTTACTGGCCAATCCAGCCCTGGCGCTGGTCACCAATGATGATTATGGAATCTTCCTAACACCCGACGGTGAGCTTTATGACAAAGCCATCCTTGAAAGGTATTTGAAATTTATTGGTTATTTATTATAAAATAATTATATATTTCTTATTTAAATAATTATTATGAATTCAACCAGTTTATTTTAAAAGTGCAATAGTGTTGAGAGGTTGACTTATTTTGGTTCATAATATCCTTGACAAAAATCCTATCTTTGTCTTGAAATAATTCTTTGGTAAGGAACAAATGTAAAATGGGCATTTCTTACTAGCCTTTTAATAATAGCATTTGATTTTTTAAATAGTTTTTATGAATTGTTTGTTAATGTGAAATGTTAACTTTACAGTGATAAATGTCGAATTATCTGATGAGGTAAGTGATATCAATATTTTCTTTCATGACAGTGCCCTGAAAAGTGCAGCAGGAGATCAGAACATTAGAAGAGAAAACAAACTCTACTCCTATGCTGATCAGATGGCTGAGCTAGAGATGAGAAAGGTATGAGTAAGGAACTAAATAATAAAAATAAAATGTTGTACAACTTCTCCTCTACAAATGCTGATAAAAAAGAAACATTACAAGGTTGTTTTTTAGGGGAGAAAGATGCAAACTTGAATTAAATCAGATCGAAGTATGTAGGAATTATATATTATATCATATCCACATGTGTCTACTGAAATAGTTTCACCAACCCCTTTATCATTTAAACCATTTGACCTAAATTGTCATGTCATTCCCCCCCCCCTTTTTTTTTTCTCCCTCTTTATTAAATATGATGTCTTTTTAACATAACTTGTCCCCCTTAATTGTGATGTCATCCCTCCATTTAATTGTGATGTCATCCCTCCATTAAATTGTGATGTCATCCCTCCATTAAATTGTGATGTCATCCCTCCATTAAATTGTGATGTCATCCCTCCATTTAATTGTGATGTCATCCCTCCATTAAATTGTGATGTCATCCCTCCATTTAATTGTGATGTCATCCCTCCATTAAATTGTGATGTCATCCCTCCATTAAATTGTGATGTCATCCCTCCATTTAATTGTGATGTCATCCCTCCATTAAATTGTGATGTCATCCCTCCATTAAATTGTGATGTCATCCCTCCATTTAATTGTGATGTCATCCCTCCATTAAATTGTGATGTCATCCCTCCATTAAATTGTGATGTCATCCCTCCATTAAATTGTGATGTCATTCCTCCATTAAATTGTGATGTCATCCCTCCATTAAATTGTGATGTCATCCCTCCATTAAATTGTGATGTCATTCCTCCATTAAATTGTGATGTCATCCGTCCATTAAATTGTGATGTCATTCCTCCATTAAATTGTGATGTCATCCGTCCATTAAATTGTGATGTCATTCCTCCATTAAATTGTGATGTCATCCGTCCATTAAATTGTGATGTCATTCCTCCATTAAATTGTGATGTCATCCCTCCATTAAATTGTGATGTCATTCCTCCATTAAATTGTGATGTCATCCCTCCATTAAATTGTGATGTCATTCCTCCATTAAATTGTGATGTCATCCGTCCATTAAATTGTGATGTCATTAATCAGGATATAGAGAAGAAGAAAGGCAAAAAGCCCCAAGAGGCACCAAAGCTAACAAAGAAACAAGAAGAGCAACTTGCGGCTCAGAAACAGAAAGAAGCTGACATAAGACAAAAGCTTAGAGTGGTAAGGTGTATTTCACAATGCCTTGTTTTTACAAAGTGATAGGATAATGGATCCAGGGAATCTTCTGTGTTTTAAATGATTTTAAAACATTCTGTAAGAAAATAAAATCTTTAAAAGAAAACAGGGGTGGGGGGGGGGGTCTGTAAACTCCCAATTGAATGTGCCAAAATCCATAGGTTCAAAGTAATGTATTTATCTTGAATTATCAATGATGTGCAATAATTTTGTTCTCATATTCTCATGAAATTACAAGTAGAAATATACATTAATAAATGCCTCACATGTTGAAAATTATTTTTTTTACTCTGTCATTCTGTTAGACAGGAGACATGCATGTATTTCATCATAGAAGTTATGTTATCTTTGCATCCACAGTTAAACAGAACAGTCTTGTGCTCTTGCACAATCGTCGAGGCCCTACTGCGGGTAATCAACGATGAGATCTCCACCTACGTGAAGGATGTGTATGACTCCATTGTCCCATTGCTCAAGTCACCATTGGCATCACCGCCTTGCTGCAATCTGTTTGTCAGCATGGGCCGTGCAGCATTTGAGGAGAAGAGTTTAGGTATTACTGCCAGATTGATTTTATGTTGAAGGGTTTTGGTTTGCACCTTAGTGGTACATAGATGGTTGCACTTGGCTCATTGTGCTACATAGATGGTTTCTGTTGGCTCTTTGTGGTACATAGATGGTTTCTGTTTGCTCTTTGTGGTACACAAATGGTTTCTGTTGGCTCTTTGTTGTACACAGAAGGTTTCTGTTGGCTCTTTGTGGTTCATAGATGGTTTCTTTTGGCTCTTTGTTGTACACAAATGGTTTCTGTTGGCTCTTTGTGGTACATAGATGGTTTCTGTTGGCTCTTTGTTGTACACAAATGGTTTCTGTTGGCTCTTTGTGGTACATAGATGGTTTCTGTTTGCTCTTTGTGGTACACAGGTGGTTTCTGTTGGCTCTTTGTTGTACACAGAAGGTTTCTGTTGGCTCTTTGTGGTTCATAGATGGTTTCTTTTGGCTCTTTGTTGTACACAAATGGTTTCTATTGGCTCTTTGTGGTACACAGGTGGTTTCTGTTGGCTCTTTGTGGTACATAGATGGTTTCTGTTGGCTCTTTGTGGTACATAGATGGTTTCTTTTGGCTCTTTGTTGTACACAAATGGTTTCTGTTGGCTCTTTGTGGTACATAGATGGTTTCTGTTTGCTCTTTGTGGTACACAGGTGGTTTCTGTTGGCTCTTTGTTGTACACAGAAGGTTTCTGTTGGCTCTTTGTGGTTCATAGATGGTTTCTTTTGGCTCTTTGTTGTACACAAATGGTTTCTGTTGGCTCTTTGTGGTACACAGATGGTTTTTGTTGGCTCTTTGTGGTACATAGATGGTTGCACTTGGCTCATTGTGCTACATAGATGGTTTCTGTTGGCTCTTTGTGGACATAAATGGTTTCTATTGGCTCTTTGTGGTACAAGATGGTTTCTGCTGGCTCTTTGTGGTACACAGATGGTTTCTGTTGGCTCTTTGTTGTACACAGAAGGTTTCTGTTGGCTCTTTGTGGTACATAGATGGTTTCTTTTGGCTCTTTGTTGTACACAGATGGTTTCTGTTGGCTCTTTGTGGTATATAGATGGTTTCTGTTGGCTCTTTGTGGTACAAGAAGGTTTCTGTTGGCTCTTTGTGGTACGAGATAGTTTCTGTTTGCTCTTTGTGGTACACAGATGGTTTCTTTTGGCTCTTTGTGGTATAAGATGGTTTCTGTTGGCTCTTTGTGGTACAAGATGGTTTCTGTTGGCTCTTTGTGGTACACAGATGGTTTCTGTTGGCTCTTTGTGGTATATAGATGGTTTCTGTTGGCTCTTTGTGGTACAAGATGGTTTCTGTTGGCTCTTTGTGGTACACAGATGGTTGCAGTTGGCTCTTTGTGGTACATATATGGTTTCTGTTTGCTACTTAGTGGTACAGAGTTCCTAGTTTCATAGACGGAATAGATATGTTACAAAAAGGATTCCCTTATTGCAGCTCAGTTTCTCATTCGGGTGCCTGGTAATGTCTCAGCTATTTAATGATCTGTTCAGCTGGTCTTTCCACTGTCACAGTTAAACTTAACTTTATGTACATTAGCTGCAGGAGGCATTTCAGAATGTTATTTGTGTGCACAGTCATTTAGAATATAACCTACTTGTTTTTGGAAAGTTATGGGAGGCATCATTTTTTTGTCCTGGTGCACATTCCAATCATTTGCACCATTTACAAAATTTGAGTTCCTGGAAGATTTGATTTCTATGTAAGTTGTTTTGAAGACAACCTGTTACTGTATTCAAAGGTTTGCTTTTGGTCTTCACTTATCTTATTACCAATCATGTATCACTAATTGTGTATGGTAAAGAATGGAATAAATTATGGAGATGTTGTTACATACTGCAACACCAAACAAAGACATGAGATAAAAACAAGAATGTCAACATGTTTTATAATTTGTGGTGGTTTTTTATTGAATATGTTTGAAAATTTTTTTCTTTCAATTTTAATAATAAAAAATTATATTTTTAAAATCAAGAATAATACTTCTTTATTTAGAAAAAGCTCTGCAAAGTATAATTTAATTAATGCAATTTTAGGGAACCTTGTGGCCTACGCCACACTCCGCTTGTTACAGCCAGCGTATCCCTTGAACAGAGCTTGGCTTGAGGAGAAACAATTAACCCAAACGACCAGAACTGTTGAAAGGCTATACAAACTTGCTGTTGTTGAATCAGAAGATGTGGATGAGATGACCTTGGACTATGACAAGGTTGGTCATTTTGTTTGTAATTATGTGATTCTTGTGTTGGACTCATTGATCTCAAAAACAAAAACAATTTATTTATTAAAATTAATTTGTTGTTGTTCTAAATAAAAAAAAAACAACAACATTAATATAATACCATATTTTGTTATTCTAGATAATTTTTAAAGCTTGATGAGTTTTTGACAAGTGCAATTTTTGCATTGAATAATTTAGGTTAGAATTTCCTTTCATAATTGACTCCAATCCATGTAGTTTCTTCAGCTGAAATATGTCATAGTTGATATAACATAAGATACTAGTAAGCTGTGACCTCTATGTAAAAAAAACATTTAATTAGAACATCCCTACCTCCACAGGGTCCAGTTTCTAAATGTTTTTCTGGACCAACTTTCTGCTACATCTTCTATCTGCTCCGATCTGTGTTGGAAAATGGGGGACATGCCGTCAAAGGAAATGTCGTTGCATGCAGACAGAGCCTTAAACTTATTCAAGAACATGTCAAGATGAGGCGAACATCAAAGGATCCACTTTCTATAGATAAGGTAATGTCTGAGATCTGATAACCTACAGATGTGCTATTTAGTACATGATAAATCAAACTACGTAGGAAGGAACATAACTTAAAAATCTCAGGGAACCTATGGGTTGAATCATCTTTTTATGGACATCATAGCACTTGAAAGTTAATAAATCCTGATAAAAAGGAACTCTACACAACTACAAATTAAAGTTTATAAAGCAATGATTTTTAAATATATTTTTTAACATTTGAATTTGTTTAAAATTTTTAATTTGTTAACATTGGAATTTAATTTGGATCTCAACTTATTATGAAATCTATCAAATAAAAAATAATGTTCACAGTCAGCATGAATGTTTTTAATGATGATATTGTCTACAGTTTGACCCAGACCTCCTGCCTAGACAACAGCTGCTTGAAGTGTGCCTGACGGTTGTAGGTACCTTCCCACAAGAGCTGCAACAGCTGGCCAATGACACATTGATTGAGATAGCCAGATCTGCCAATGGTGATACTGGAGCTACAGATGCTACACCTGGAGAGGTAGAGGTCTTGCTGAAGGCACTGCAAGCGCCCAGTGCAGCTGTAAGAGATATTGCTCTACAGGTATGTTTCTTGTGAGAAGATGTCTGCATTTATAATACTATATTTCAGTAATGAATAACCCCACAATAAAGCTAAATAAGGTGAAAAACCAATGGTGGTTGAAACCTTGCTTACATTTTATTGTGCTGGAACACAAATACTGAGAGAATCACTAGTTAATTTTACCAAGAAGTAATATTAATCTAATCTACTTCAGGAATAAAATTCGGTTCATGATTCCCTTCCTAGAGCACCCCTCAAGCCCGGATAGCGGCTACTTGTAGGCCGCTAAGCAGCACACTTGAAGCATCCCCTCCTGCTGAGTTAGCCCCTGCCCGCGACTCTACCGCAACCAATTGGCACTTCTGTTACAAACATATTCTTACTTAATAGGTTCATTGGCTTCGTTGTCTAGGGGTTTATTATATACACTTGACAACTATAATTCTTAGATGAAATATCTTTATTAATCAACTAATTCTTCAACTGCCGTTACTGTAATCAAAGAACAACACTCCACAACCAAATCTACAATAATAATACGTCGTATCCCTTTCCACACAATACGTCACAAGATACTAAGAATAATAGATAAAACAACACACATAATCTCAAACCAACACGCAATCACACTTTACACTCAAATCCCTAACAACTTCATTTCCGTCAAATGGCAAATTAGTATTCATGGTCCCTAACCTGTTTCTGCTGGATCTTTTTTCCAACTTTAGATAAAACTATAGTTGGTTTTAGCTTTGGGCAGATACTATGCATGACCTTTGTCTGAGCACGCAGGTCCTGTGCATGGAGCTGATGTTCCCCAGGTAGCGCTAGGAAGTCGACGGCAACTCCTCCTATCGCAGTCATGCCACTGCAGACTTGTTGACTGAGTTGTGAAGGGGTGGGGATAATATTAATAGACATTTCCATTGTGTAAATCAGGTAAGAGTCACAAACATTTGAGTCATGAAACAAAAACTTGCAATAATTTTTTTCTATTGATATGCTATTTTACAGTGTTTGTCTGAATTGAATGCAATTTTGCCACCCATGGAGGAAAATTATGAGCTGGGTCTGTCCATTGCCAAACACTTATGGATAGCGTGCAATGATACAGAGGAACCCATTCAACAGCTGGCCATTAGGTAGCATCTTCTATTATTCAAAGTATTCTTATACATTTTTTGTAACATTAATTATTGCAAATAATTTTTTTATTAATTTAATTCTTACAAATTCTTAATGTCTTGTTCAGTTTGTCTTTTTTTAAAATTATTATTTTTGTGCATTGCATGAAATAAGTGTAAATTTTGAGTGACATGTAATTCAAATCTTTAATAGTTTGAGGGAGGAGCTGGCCCTTGAGGAGCCATGTGAGGAACTCTGCAGTGCCATCGTCCTTGACACCATCCATGACCAGGAAGTCGTCCGACATGGAGCCTCCATTGCACTAGCGCAAGTGTTGGAGAGACATCCCTCAAACATCCCAGTCATCCTCAAAACTCTGCTTGACCAGTATGACACTAAGCTTTATGTAAGTTCCCTTCCAAGTTATGTGTATTACAAATCACAAAACTGAGTAGAATATAAAAATTTAAAAAACACAGATGCATTAAGATAGTCGTCTGCATTAAGATAGTCGTCTGCATTAAGATAGTCGTCTGCATTAAGATAGTCGTCTGCATTAAGATGGTTGTCTGCATTAAGATGGTTGTCTGCATTAAGATGGTCGTCTGCATTAAGATAGTTGTCTGCATTAAGATAGTTGTCTGCATTAAGATAGTTGTCTGCAATTTATAAACGTTCTAGCTGAAAGTTTTTGTTATAAAATAAGCCATTTGGTTTATCCTGTTAGTTGAAACTGCTTTTATCCCCTAACTTTGATCATGGAAAAAGCCAACTAGAAACCTTAGCAGAGTACCATCCTCTTTTCACATCATTTTTAACTGGCGCCACAGCCAGTGCTTACAAAAATTTGGTAGAACATTTGATAAAAATCATTCGACTGTCAAGAGAGATTATTGCATGGTTTGAATTAATTTGCAGTATAAACATGTTAAGAAAAAATTATTAAATAGGGATCAGGTTTTGTGTGCTTATTAATCCAAGTTATTATTTGTGTTTTCCCATCTCCTTTTTGCAGCTACCACCCCCAAAAGTAGATGAGTTTGGTCGACAAGTTGAAGAACAGCCCCCGGACATGTGGCCGTCACGTTATGGTGTTGCGTTGGCACTGAAGCAGATCTCCCCACTGCTTACTGAGAGTCAGATCCCTTCTCTCTTCTCATTTTTTGTGCCCAAAGCTCTCAGCGACAGATCGGCTGAAGTGAGGTCAGGCATGAGAGATGCAGCTTTGTCCGCCATACAATCTCATGGCAAGGTAATCATCATCTAAGAGATCATTCCCATGTTTAAAGCACATGCTTTAAAAGGAAAAACAAAATACCCTTATCCTGATAACTAGAATGACAGCTAATGATACCTGTTATGTAAAATGGTCATTAAAAATGCAATTAAACATTTATTGATTTTGCATAAAGGGAAATTTATATAAATGAGTGTGCTTCCTATTTCCGTTTCTATCAATGTGTAAACTTGTTTTTATCAGGGCTTGCTTTTAATCAGGAGTGAAAGTTGTGTAATGTTTGGACTACCATTATGTCTGATTCTGGAGAAGGAAGTGAATGGAAAAAAAATTACATTTTTAAGAAAAGTACCTATAACTTGATATTTTCTGAAAGGGTGTAGATTTAGTGTCTACAAAAACTGATGTGATAATAGATTGAACGAAATGTTCAGATTGAATGCAGAAGTTGAGTAGTAAAATTTTACTCATGGTGTCAAGGTCAATATATAACCTTACATAATATAAAAAATAATTATTTTTCAAACCATTTGATTCCTTATCCAGTGTACTTCCAGAAAACACAAATATGTGTAGGTCTCTTATTCAATTGTTATGGGATTTAGTTATTTTAGACGAGCGTGTTGAAATGCTAGAAACGGCTTGACGCCATAGAGAAAATGCACTTGACAGTTATGGGGTTAATTATAAAACCACTAGAATCAAATTTAATTAGCAAAATAAAATTTTGAAAATACGTGTGTCTCTTTTAATATGGTTGACTTTGTACAGCGCTTCGAGCCTTTGGAGATGAAGCATGATTTTCAAATAAACTTTATTATTATTATTAAAGATTATTCACCCTCATGGTAAATTTATCCTTAAACTTTTTTAATTCCCATTTTTTAAAATTTTTCATTCCAGGAAAATGTCAATATCCTTCTGCCAATGTTTGAAAAGTTTCTGATCTCAGCCCCAGATACGGCCAACTATGATCCAGTTAGGCAGAGTATTGTTATTTTGATGGGTAACCTGGCAAGACACTTGGATTCTGACAACCCTAAAGTCAAACCTATTGTTGCGCAGCTTATTGCGGCATTGTCTACCCCTTCACAAGAGGTGAGATCTCATGTATTTTATGCCCTCGATACTGTTTACTGAATGATATTTTCAATTTGGTTAGTCAATGGCATGGATAATTCTAAAGCTGTCCCTTGCCTAACAGGCTTTTAAATAGTTTTTATAGTTGATTAACAAAGTGATATGTGTCAAACACAATTCGCTATTTGTTTGTTAATTCTGTATTTCAAAACATTTTAAATGTGTAATAAAAAGCCTTGAATAGGTTGTGGGGATCAAATTGACTCTCACACAAAGAGAGAGAGAGAGGGAGGGTGTGTCTGAATATGTACCAGGGTTACAATGAAACTAGTTGGGATGATTTATTGTGCATGATAAATATATGGAGAGTAGACAAACAAGAACGCATGATTGGGAATTTCGGCCTTAACTGACTTCTAAAGCCCTTGGTTACGTTTTATCATTTCGAGTTTATGTAATATCTGCTACCTTTAAACAAAAATCTCATTGAAACATAAATGAAACATTTAATAACAATATTTTAACTTGGTTGTAGGAAATGTAAAAATGGGCTACCAGTTAAATGGTCTTCCAAATATAAGACACACTTATGAAGGATATAAATAACTCTTTTTGCTTCTCCGTTAATGGTGATGCAATGATCAATTAACTTTGAAAAAAAAGGGGGGGGGGGAGGTGTCATTAGCCTGAGATGATGGCTGTGGTGCTGGGCTAGAATGTAACATTTGTCAAAATCCACCAGAGAAAAATTGCCTTATGTAATTGCCTTATGTAATTGCCTTATGTAATTGCCTTGTGTTGCTGACCCTTCTTGTGTTCTATTTGTGTAAGGTTCAAGAGGCTGTGGCAAACTGTTTGCCAGCTTTGGTGCCCTCCATTAAAGCAGATGCCCAAGGCCTTGTAGCTAAACTTTTAAAACATCTGCTGGACTCTGAAAACTACGGGGAACGAAAGGGCGCCGCGTACGGCCTGGCGGGACTCATTAAAGGCATGGGTATATTAGCTTTGAAACAGCAAAATGTCATGGACACACTGACAGAAGCCATTCAGGACAAGAAAAATCCAAGGAAACGAGAAGGTATAATGAGCTTAACATTTCAATTTGACCTTACAGAGAAAGAAAGATTCAGTTCAATACAAATGAAAGGAGATCAAGGAGCTAGTAAACTTTATAGCTGGGTGGAACACCCTGATTCTTGAAGTAACTCAATAACAGCAAGAAATCAATTGTGATCATATTTGAATGACTATTTACGAAGTAATTATTGCTTTTATATAGGTATCCTAATTCATTTAGCTGGTTGTCTTCATTCCAAATCAGAGGTGTTCAATCTTTATGCTCCCGCAAACACCAAACAGATACACTGTTCAAGAATTAAAAAAATTATCAGCTGTGTCATTATGTAGCAGCATCCAAGCAAATTATTTCTTACTAGATTAGATTTGGTTAGATTCATAATATATGTATCGTCTTACTTCAAATGACCAAATGCCAACATTCCTGAATTAAAATATTTATATTATATAGATGATGTTATGAACATTGCATGGTAAATAAAGGTCACTGTTTATTGCTGTACTTGTGATCACCATTTAGGTGCTCTCCTGGTTTATTGCTGTACTTGTCATCACCCTTTAGGTGCTCTCCTTGTTTATTGCTGTACTTGTCATCACCCTATAGGTATTCTCCTGGTTTATTGCTGTACTTGTCATCACCCTATAGGTATTCTCCTTGTTTATTGCTGTACTTGTCATCACCCTATAGGTATTCTCCTTGTTTATTGCTGTACTTGTCATCACCATTTAGGTGCTCTCCTTGTTTATTGCACTACTTGTCATCACCCTTTAGGTGCTCTCCTTGTTTATTGCACTACTTGTCATCACCCTTTAGGTGCTCTCCTTGTTTATTGCACTACTTGTCATCACCCTTTAGGTGCTCTCCTTGTTTATTGCACTACTTGTCATCACCCTTTAGGTGCTCTCCTTGTTTATTGCACTACTTGTCATCACCCTTTAGGTGCTCTCCTTGTTTATTGCACTACTTGTCATCACCCTTTAGGTGCTCTCCTTGTTTATTGCACTACTTGTCATCTCCCTTTAGGTGCTCTCCTTGTTTATTGCACTACTTGTCATCACCCTTTAGGTGCTCTCCTTGTTTATTGCACTATTTGTCATCACCCTTTAGGTGCTCTCCTTGTTTATTGCACTATTTGTCATCACCCTTTAGGTGCTCTCCTTGTTTATTGCACTACTTATCATCACCCTTTAGGTGCTCTCCTTGTTTATTGCTGTACTTGTCATCACCCTTTAGGTGCTCTCCTTGCATTTGAGATGTTGTGCAACATGTTGGGTAGACTGTTTGAGCCTTACATAGTTCATATAATCCAGCACCTACTCTTGTGTTTTGGGGACAGCAACCAGTATGTCAGACAGGTCAGTGCACTTACACCTAATCGTCTGAAGATTTATGTAAATTTTCAGTTGATTATTTGGTTCTTACTTTACTTAACTTAAGAAGTAATTTTTGGACATTATATTTTAAATGTTTAGACATGGAATGAACAGGTCACAGATTTATTGAATGTTTAAAACATTGTATTCATCTGAATTACCTTATTAGTTCATTGGATAACACAACAGTTCATTTTTTTTGGTGACATACAAAAAATGTATGGTTTACTAATAATTAATACATTTGTTTACATAATCAGTCAACCATATTTGTTACATAATCGGTAGATTTTTTGGGTTACATCATCGGTACATTGTCTGGGTTACATAATCCTTAACATGGAGAACTATGTAATTAAAAAATCTTATAAAACGCTTTAGAGAAGATCCTTGGCTTTAATCTGTGACAGAAAGAATGTCTAAAAAAAATTGCCTTGTTTTTTAATCACTCCTTTACCACCCAAAACACTGCCTGTCATAATTACCTTTGAGACTGGTGTCAAAGTATGTAATCTTCACCTATCCACCTTTTTTTTTTAGATATGTGGGGACTGACCTATTTCATTTATCCCATGACTATTCAGGCAGCTGACGACTGTGCAAAGTCAGTTATGAGGAACCTCAGTGCTCATGGAGTAAAGCTTGTCTTGCCGTCGTTGCTGAAAGGTTTAGAGGAAGACGCATGGAGAACAAAAGCAGGTCATTGGTGGAAACATTACAAGTCTGGAGATAGTTTAAATAAATAGTGGAACAAGATATTGTTTAGGCTTAACAATAAAAGACAAGACAATTAAGCGGACATTTCGGGCCAGGTGCTTTCTACAGCAGACAGTACAACAAACAGATAAATTTAAATTTAAAAAATAAAATAATGGTTTCAAAGATGTCTGTAAAGTCCATGTAGCTAAATGTTGAGAGATTTTAAACAAACTCCTTCTATAATGAGTTCTTTCATTTGAAATAATTATAATAAAAGTCCGATATGATTATATTTTAGGTTCCCTTGAGTTTATTTTGTATGCTTAAAATATCTTCTTATATAATTAAAGATTAGGTTCCCTGCAGATGATTTGTTATTATTACAATAAAGTCTGATATGATTATATTTTAGGCTCTGTGGAGTTGCTGGGAGCCATGGCTTTCTGTGCACCAAAGCAGCTATCTGCCTGCTTACCCAGCATTGTTCCCAAGCTCACCGAAGTCTTGACAGATTCTCACCTCAAGGTACAGAAGGCTGGATCACAAGCTTTGATGCAGATTGGCTCTGTTATCAGAAACCCTGAAATTCAAGGTAGTAGGAGGGTTTATTTGTATATCAGTCATGAGGAAATAAAATAAAATGCTGTCCATGGTAAAACATCAATTTATTCAAAAATGTTAAAATACAAGATTTCTCATAATTATTTTATTTTTGGAAATGGGTTTCAATTAAACCTTTTTGAAAACATCACTTTTAACATTATATTTTAAGCTTTAATTGTGATTAGACAAAATAAAAAATTTAATGTTTCTGCTACGGCCTTATCAATCAGTACATCAAAATACATTAATAAAATTATAAATTATGTTGACCAAATGTATAAATATCCTAGCTATACTTAAAAAATAAAACAATAAGAATGGGCACTTGTGCCTGACAAAAACAAAGATCATAAGAATGGAAAGAAATTGAGTTGTACAATATAAACTTTAACTTTAATGAAATTTTGGTACTAAAATCCATTCCGAATACAATTGACTATGTTGAATCTGTACTTTACAGCTATCGTTCCCAACCTGCTGGAAGCCCTTCAAGAGCCAACAAGGAAAACCACAACATGCCTAGAAAAACTGCTTCTTACAAAGTTTGTTCATTTTGTCGATGCCCCATCACTGGCTCTTATTATGCCGGTCATCCAGCGAGCATTCCAGGACCGGACAACAGACACACGAAAAATGGCCGCTCAGATCATGGGAAACATGTATTCTTTAACAGATCAAAAAGTTTGTATAATATGTGTCTCAGCATCTGATCATTTTGTCACCTTCTATCTATCTAAACGTTAAGTCCCTATGCATTGGATCATTTTGTCACCTTCTATCTATCTAAACGTTAAGTTCCTATGCATCTGATCATTTTTTTTTACCTTGAAACCTTAAAATAAAATATTATTCAATTTTGAATCATGACCTATTTTTAAATCCTATATATTAAAAATTTCAGCATGCAGTTTTTAAAAAAAAATTATTTACTTGGAGTTTTTTTGTTTCTTTGTGTCAAAATCTTCAGAAGGCTAATTGACCCACTTCCAATCATCCTATCAAACCCAACTGAAACTTGGCACATAGACTTGTTGCCAATGACAACACATTCTTTCCAATTTTTTGCCCCAACCCCCAAAATTAGTTTTTCTTGTTTTTTTATGGGGAAGATGCATGAAATAGTATTTTTTTCAATGGGTTCTTGTTTTAGTGTGGAGATTGTGTAGCTAATGCATGTCATTTGTATTTGTGATGTATTTGTGTTTAAATATATCTTTAGTCTATTGGCTTTTGCAAAACCACTAAAAATCCATTGCTACAATCAGATAAATGATCACATACAATTAAATAAATGTAAACAAAAGGATTTACAGGAAAAAACCTTGTTTTTAGGGGCTGTTTAATTAAACATGAACTTGCCGTTCACATCATCTCTACTTCATCAAGTTATTTGCCTATAAATTAAAAGCAAATGGTGTGTTTTGCTTTTTTGATAGTTAAAGAATAACGCTTATTTAATGTTCATTAAACAGACAATTTAAAATAGCTTAAACTTCCTATAAAGTCGATTCAATTGAATTGTTCCCTCTGTGTAGGTTAAGATCAGTTATGTTACATTAGTCAAAGAGTGATCTTTTGTTGTTAGATATAACAGCAGATTTTACATTCTTTCTGAATATACTTCCTGGAATATGCAAGTCATGTTAAGATTTGACATACTTAGTTGTTTCAATAAGCTTTGTGTGAAATAGTCTAGACACTTGTGTAAAAAAAAACAACTCTAAAACTGTTTAAAGCACACTTGTAAGAGATATTCTAAAGTCATTACAAATACAATTGACTAAAATGTTCTGCTTTTTCCATCTTCAGGATCTATCCCCTTACTTGCCATCGGTCATTCCGGGCCTGAAGCAGTGTTTACTTGACCCGGTACCTGAGGTCAGGACCGTGTCGGCTCGAGCTTTAGGTGCCATGGTGAGGGGGATGGGTGAGAACACATACCAAGATCTGCTCCCGTGGCTCATGGAGAAGTTGGTCTCGGAGCAGAGCTCGGTGGACAGGTCGGGTGCCGCCCAAGGTTAGTGCTGACAATGTGATGACTGCTTGTATCATCAATTTTTTACAAAATCTATCTGGTTGGCCATCAAAATATTAAATACTTCAGAACATAGATTATCCAAACTGATTGCGTTTTGGGTCGGATAACCTATTACTTTTTGACATAACATAACTCTTCCATAAAAAGTTGTGTTAAAGAAATGGGTGCATAGAATACAATATATTCTTACCTTATACAAGTATGTTGATACAGTGCATTTGTACATATATCATTTGTTTCATATTTGATTGTGCAACAGTGGTCAGAATTTTTTTTCTGGTATTTGTAGTGTGTATGCATGCAATGCTCCATACTTGAACTTTGCCTAGGATAATAATACACATTTTTGGAAAATGAAATGCCTTGTGCTGCCAATATAATTGTCTTAAGATAGGATTTCTTGAAGAATCTACTTAACTATTTTTGCTTGTCAATATGTGTTTTGTAAATTCCAGACTTGATTTAAAATGTTTCCTTCAGGTCTTAGTGAGGTCATTGGAGGCATGGGTGAGGACAAATTAAAGAAATTGATGGGAGACATAATTCAGACAGCTGAGAGATCAGATCTCATGCCCCACGTCAGGGACGGATATATCATGACCTACATATACCTGCCTTCAGTGTTTGGGTCCACATTTGTGCAGTACGTTGGTCCAATTCTGCCTTCAATATTGCAGGTTAGTCTGTCTTTACAATTTTTTCAATGAACCAAAAGAATATTTGATATTTTAGATACAATTTTTCTCTTGTAAAGGCAGCATTGAAAAATTAATCAAAATAAACTCTTCTTCATTGCATTTATTTGACACATTCCCTCATGCCCATACCCGACCCCAAAAATACAAGAAATGGCCTTGAAAGCATAAAAATTTGATAACGTTTCACATGCGAACAGTACATTTACAACTTACACGTAACGCATAAAACCTGATAAGACATCCAAACGACAATGCCATGTCACCTCTTGCATTGCCCAGCAATCCATGACTTACACCTTAACTGCCCACCAAAGATACCAGACCACTCCCAACACTTTATATACAAACAAAGAACATCTGCAGAGTTTGTAAATCCCTCACCGTGGCCTCAGGCTAAACAGCACATGCTACAAAGGGAATGCCGCCAATGGCCACTGAATGATGATTTTCATGATGATGTATTTATTTGCGTTTGGTTATCCCATAACACAGCGCATTGATTATATCTGACCTCTCTGTGTTTGCACACCAGGCTCTTGCTGATGAAAATGAGTTTGTTCGTGATACGGCCCTCCGTGCTGGCAAGCGTATCATCAACCAGTATGCAGAAACAGCTGTGGAGCTTCTGCTACCAGAGTTGGAGAGAGGTCTGTTTGATGACAACTGGAGGATCAGGAACAGTTCTGTGCAGCTGCTCGGTGATCTCTTGTACAAGGTGTCTGGTAGGTGCCCATCGCTGGTTCATTTCAATTCAGTGGTTCTCAACCTCTTTCTGCTCATGGTCTAATTTAACATTTTTTAAAAACTTCTGTTTGCCCCTTCCTTGAAGTTAGTATAGAAATATTGCAATTTTTTTTATACATTCTTTTTTTTTCCCAAAAATTTTTCATTCCCCACAAAAATATGACCTACTTTGAGACCCACTGGTTTTATTAAGTTATTTCATAAATGTATAAATGTTGTATACATTTTGACGGTTTCAATATTTTAATGAAAGAAGGGACAAGTTCTACTGTGAATCTGCACGCAAGGGAAATTTAAAAAATGAATTTTTGATAACCTTCTGCCCATTTGTTGGAGATAAAAGATTAATAAAAGAGAATACAAAATTATTTAAAAAATAAGAAAATGCTTATTTTTATCTAGCCTTAAGTTGTTTTTAGACCTTCTGTTACCATACTTACAAGAATTTTTATAGTTCTGAAAACTTACTCTCCCAGGCGTGTCAGGAAAAATGACAACAGAAACAGCAGATGAAGATGATAACTTTGGTACAGAGACTTCCTACCAGGTAAAGTTGATACAAGAAAAATTTGTTTGGGTTGATAAAATGGTATTTATTAAATTAAAAAATAACTTTTTTTATTTAAATCAAATCCAGAATGCAAAATATTAGTACTAAAACAGCAAGAAACAAGTTATGTGAGTTTACATATCTAAAGATGTACCTTTATTTTTCTCAATTATACAGGCCATAATGAGGGCACTGGGCAGTGAACGTAGGAACAGGGTGTTGTCAGGTTTGTATATGGGTCGCTCAGACACAGCACTGATGGTCCGACAAAATGCTCTTCATGTCTGGAAGATCATAGTGGCCAACACGCCCCGAACACTGAGGGAGATTTTACCCACATTGTTTCAACTGTTACTTGGTTGCCTTGCTAGCACCAGCCATGATAAAAGAACCGTAAGTCATTTTAGCCAAGTTTCATTGTAGTTTTCACCATAATCTTTTAGTTTATAACATCCCTTTTCTTAGATTTAAACACGTGTTTTGTTGCAAAACATAAGGATCCATCTTTTTTTTTTTCTTGTGTTCAACCTAAATTTAAGTGTTTTATTTTTTTAATTGTTAATATATTTTTAAAACTAATATAAAAAGGTTAGTGTCAGAAAGCAAAGTAATGCATGGATATTTTTTTTTTGTAGAAAACCAAATACATAAAATGTTCAAGGGAATTTCTTGAGGCCAATATGTTACAATTAGAAATAATTTCTTAATCCTTTTACAAACCTTTTTCTTAACAAATAATTTATGCTCAAGGTTGCTGCCCGTACTCTGGGTGATCTTGTGCGTAAATAACAAATAATTTATTCTCAAGGTTGCTGCCCGTACTCTGGGTGATCTTGTGCGTAAATAACAAATAATTTATTCTCAAGGTTGCTGCCCGTACTCTGGGTGATCTTGTGCGTAAGCTTGGTGAAAGAGTTCTGCCAGAAATCATTCCTATCCTTGAGAGTGGCCTGGATTCAACAGAAGCTGACCAACGCCAGGGAGTTTGCATTGGGTTGTCTGAAATCATGGCTTCCACCAGCAAAGATCATGTAAGTTTATTTTGATCTCTTGCATAAAACAGTTCTGGGCTACCCATGGCAATGCTGTGGCAGCCTTATCTCCACTGTTGTTGTATATTCAGGTATCTAGGGATTAACTGGATAGACATTTTCACTGCTCCAAGTTTTCTTTACTGCCATTTGCCAAATCTGGGTGCAAATCCAAGTAAAGTATTATTTGTTCCATATACAAAGCTACAATGGATGAAACTTCAGTAGATTATCGCCCATAAAGATATTGATGTTTAATGCAATGTCCATGTATACTGCAATCTGTTAATCTAATAATACTACAACAAGAAGTAGCAAAATAAATCTTTATTTAAAAATAAAAATGTCAAAATCTTTTCAATTACTATAATATTTAAAATGAATTTTGGTCGTACTGATACAACTATTTTAGCAGAGCTGCTAAAATTATTGGTTAAAAGCTCAGATACTGTGTGAGCTCGGTCCCTAAATGGTTTCATAGGTATTAGTATATTTCATTTACCGGTAATGAAAAATTACTTACACTGGCTTATGATGCTGACCCCCAATTTTAATACTTTATAGCTCCATAATATAAGATAAGATTCCTTATGGATCCAAATAAATGGAAATGTTGTTTGATTACATTGTATATTTTCATTTTCAGCATATAAAATAAATAACTACAAATTATTTTAACCAAGACATTTTACAATGATAACAATTTAAACACAAGACATCTAAAGTATTTCTTTAGCGTAGAAATCAGCCATCAATGAACTCTCTTATTGACAATAACGACTTAATTAGTGATCATTAGTAACCAGATGGATTTGTACAGACTAGGAACAGAATTTGTATATCTTTCGGTCCTAACTTTTAAGAGTTTAGCGCAAAGAGTTAAAAAAACAACCACCACCACCACCTTCAATCCACATGATTAATCAGACACAAACAATTTGCGTAAATAAACCAATATAAAGTCAGCTTTAATAATGATCATACAGAATACAAATGTAGACGTTACGGCAAATGCCTTCATCAGTACAAAAAACAAACAAAAAAACTTCATTTAAGGATAAATTAAATTTGTTGTTCGTCAGTCGGGAGTGGACCATGACCACTTTAAGCATCAAATTTGTGCTAGTTCTGTCTGTGGGTAAGCAGATGACTAATGAGGCAGATTCCGGGACAAAATTTACATAATATATATAGAGATATTTTTATTTCAAAGTTTTCATTTATCCATTTAAAAATTATGTAAACTTGTTAAAATGCATGCGCAGCTAAGGGAGATTATTCATAATTATGTTATTTTTATAAAGTTTTTTTTTTCCATGTGCTTTGCTGGTGAACTCTAATCCACAACTTTGAAATTGAAGTAATTTAGACTGAACCGGCACAAATTTTAATGTGCTAGTTTATTAAATCTCTTTAATTTTCCAACAAATATTCTGATTTCCATTGTTAGTTTTTGCAGTGGCGGGGGCCAAATGTCTAATGCAATTACCAGTTGTTCCCTACAGCGATCTGTATGCTAACAGACTTATCCCCACTTTTGTTCTCTACCAAGGTATCTGTGTATGCTGACAGTCTCATCCCCACTGTTCGTCGTGCACTCATCGATCCCCTATCTGACGTTCGTGCTGCTGCAGCCCACACCTTTGACAACCTCCATCATAACATAGGACAGAGAGCTTTGGATGAAATTTTGCCAGACTTGCTTAAAAAACTTGTAAGTGTAACCTGGACATTTAACCTTATTCACTGTAACACCTTGTCTTGCTTTGATTTAATAAGAGATTTCAAGTACTCTAATCACTTTCTACTTAAGATGGTGCAATTCACTTAAATGATGGGTACCTTAAACTGTACAAAACATGTTGGTTTGGTTTAAAGTATAGGAGAAAGTCATCTCATGATTTTTCTATCTACAGAATGAACCTAAGATATCTGAAAGAGCACTTGATGGTTTGAAGCAGGTTATGGCTGTTAAAAGTCGTGTGGTATTGCCTTATCTTGTTCCTCAGGTAACCTAGGGAAGAAAATTGGGGGATGGAAAAAGCCACTTTTTTAACAAAATTATTTATTCTTACAGTTTATTTTGAATAACTAAATGATACATAAAGTTGTTTTTTTAAATACTGATGTGTTTCATTCATAAATGACTTAATAAAATTTGGATTTAGATTACAATAAAGAAAGAAATGTTGAATGACAGCTTTCATTCGCAAGAACTTAAATAGTGTTGCATAAATTTTGTCTCCAGCTGACTGCCTCACCAGTTAATACTCAGGCGTTGTCCTTGCTTTCGTCCGTTGCTGGTGAAGCCCTTACCAAGCATTTGGGCAAGATTCTCCCTGCCTTGATGTCTTCACTCAGTGGACGAATTGGAAAACCAGAAGAGGAACAGGTCAGTTAGTTCAGGGCTAATTTGGTCAGTTTTTTTGGTAAAAATTAGAAGACTATCTATATCCTGGCTAACCATAAATTTTAAGCTCGAAACAGGGATCAATGGAAGTATCACACACGAAACATGCGAGGTTGGGTATTAGAGTGCTGGAGAGACCAGGCCTACGCCTCCCACCAGCTAGCTAGACTCAAAGATTGCTAGAGAGACCAGGCCTACACTTCCCACCAGCTAGCTAGACTCAAAGAGTGCTGGAGAGACCAGGCCTACACTTCCCACCAGCTAGCTAGACTCAAAGAGTGCTAGAGAGACCAGGCCCACACTTCCCACCAGCTAGCTAGACTCAAAGAGTGCTGGAGAGACCAGGCCTACACTTCCCACCAGCTAGCTAGACTCAAAGAGTGCTGGAGAGACCAGGCCTACACTTCCCACCAGCTAGCTAGACTCAAAGAGTGCTGGAGAGACCAGGCCTACACTTCCCACCAGCTAGCAAGACTCAAAGAGTGCTAGAGAGACCAGGCCCACACTTCCCACCAGCTAGCTAGACTCAAAGAGTGCTAGAGAGACCAGGCCTACACTTCCCACCAGCTAGCTAGACTCAAAGAGTGCTAGAGAGACCAGGCCCACACTTCCCACCAGCTAGCTAGACTCAAAGAGTGCTGGAGAGACCAGGCCTACACTTCCCACCAGCTAGCTAGACTCAAAGAGTGCTAGAGAGACAAGGCCTACACTTCCCACCAGCTAGCTAGACTCAAAGAGTGCTTGACACTTACACAAGTGTGTAAGAAATGTTGTGGATAAACAGTGACATAGAACAAAATACATTTCTACCAGGCTTCATTTATAAAATAATTGATTAAATCAATTTGAGGAAACATCAGAGATACACACACACCTACCTTTCAAATTAAATTATTGTAACAAAAAACCAGCAGCTTATGGTCACCAATAGCCATATCAAATGCGTTATCGGGGACGCAATAAGTGTAACAAGCTCCCTTAAAACATCCTAACCACTGAACTTGAGGAATTCTGGAAGAGAAACAAGAAATCAGCTCAGCAGTTAACTTTGCAAACTGAATTAAGTTCATCAAAAAAATATTGTGAAGTGATGGTAGAGTAGTCTGAATTGAGTTATGGTGCAACTTATCACCACCTTGCACATCGAACTTAGATTGGCTAGTCATGGACTCTTTCAAGTAAAGCAGGAGCCTTTAGCATCTGCCTCCTTTTAAGGGAATGGCATCTCATGCTGTATTTGGAACCTGCCCACACCTTGTTTTCTAGTGAGCCACCCCAGAGTTAGTTGGGACACCTGCTTGATGTTTGATTGACCTTTGTCTCAGACCTTCCCAAGGGACAATTTTGGCAACTATGTGCCTGTATGTTGCCCTTTCATGCAAGCATTACCATCACCTCATGGCAGTAGAAGTGACTCTCAACTCTAAATAGTGGTTTATGCTGTAAATTTACAAAGTAAAATTTTTAAGAAAAATTTTTAAATAAATTGGTTAAGTGGTTATTAAACATATCATGTCAATAATTTCAACGATTTAAATGAAATTGTGCTGTACAAATGTATTCTGGTTCATTTTATATCAGATTTTAAAATCTTTTTAGATGAACCTTTTTTATAAATGGGACTTGGACACCCTTAACACTCTTGTGGGAGTTGTCCCCCTTTCATTAGCCATTTTTATCTCCCTTGTAATATAAACTGTAACCGTGAATGCTTGGATTAAAAAGAAAACACATTTTATTCAAATTATTTCATAATAATTTTGCATTTAAGATAAATCTGTTTCTGTTTGGGTATATTTTTTATTTAATTTTTTTTAGGAGTTAGAATACTGCAAATCTGTTGTACTGTCTGTAGAAGATGACTTGGGTATACGCACCATCATGGAGGACCTCCTCTCTGTAATCACCCACAATTCTGATGCACCTGTGTGCACAGCTGCTGTGCTCATTCTAAACATGTTCTGTGCCAATACCTCAGCCAACGTCACAGAATACTTGCCACATCTGTTCCGTGGCTTGATTGGTCTGTTTGTTCGCACCGATGAACGCTTACTCTTGGCAGCCTGGAACTGCTTGGATGCCATAACAAAGGTAGATTTAACTGATTGTATTAACTTTAATCATGATGGCTCGTTGGGTCTTAATGATCTAGTCACAAATAGGTGAATTTGTCTGAGTTCAATATCATTTAGTTACACCACAAAGCTCAGTTGCTAAAAGATATTACATTTTTCAAAGACTTTTCTGTTGCCTGATGTAAATTAACTTTGGTAAAACATGTAACCAATTAATGATAGTTGGCCTTTTGTGACAGGGAATGCTTGAGATGACCGACCATTGTCCTGCACACAGGCTGCCATAAGTGCATTATTGTTACTAGATAATCTTTTATTCTGTAAACAGAAAATTGATTTGACTGAAACAGAGGAGCATATTGCAAGTGTAAGACAAGCCCTTAAATTCACCTTGTCAGATTTCAAAGGAAAAGAGTTACCTGGATTTAGCATTCCCAAAAAGGTTGGTAGTAGAACAATTTTTACATAATAATAACTTTGCTTGTCTTTTTCTTCTTGTCAATAATTTAAAATAAAAAATAAATATATATTTATTTATGCTTGACCATGTTGCATACACAGAAAGTTTGTGGGGTTTTTTATATATCAGGTTTAATTGCCGTCAAACCCCTATAGAATTGCCTAAGTGTACACATTAAGGTATTAACTGACCTATTATACAACTGTTGTCAAATATAAATTTATTATTTTCGTTGTGTACATTACTATATTTTGAGTAAAACAATTATGGCCACACGTCTTTAGTTTAACAAAATTAAATAATATAAATTGTTTAAAAAAAATTTCCCCAGGGCATAGCTCCAGTTTTACCAATATTCCGGGAGGGTCTCCTCAATGGAGGAGCTGAAGTAAAGGAAGCTGCCGCTCTTGGTCTTGGTGAGGTCATCTCCGTGACCGGTGCTGAGGCCTTGAAGCCTTCTGTGGTGAACATCACTGGGCCCTTGATTAGAATTTTAGGTGACAGGTTTGCATGGACACTCAAAGTTGCTGTGCTGGATACACTGTCAATGCTCTTGGTCAAGGTAGGGAAACAATTTTCTATTTTTGTAACCATTCAATTTTGACTTCGTAAAAACTATAAAACAAAATAAACAAAGAATGAATACTCAAAGAGGGAATACTCAAAGAGGGAATACTCGAGGAATGAATACTCAAAGAGTGAATGCTCAAAGAAAGAATACTCAAAGAATGAATACCGAAAGAATGAATACTCAAAGAGTGAATACTCAAGAGTGAATATTTAAAGAATGCATACTCAAAAGGAGGAAAACTAAAGAGAGCCACTACTCAAAGAATGAATACTGAAAATGTCACATGGGAAATGGCGGCGGTGGGCCGCCAAGCATGAGCTCTTAATGCCTTCCCCACGGCACACACCCACATGGGCCAAACGCCGGGTTTCCCCGTCTCCAGACAGTGCGGGGACATGCTGGGAACCTCCCCCCTGGCCTGGGAATGTCTGGTCGACCGAGAGCGCTACGTTTAAAGTGAACAATGCATTTAAAGCGTTCGCAGCCCACTCTCCCTAGAATCTGGGTGGGTTTGCTTCCCCTCTGGAGGACTGGTTTTGAGTTACCACCCCCCACAACCCATGGAGTCTTTCGGTTGGGACGAAAAAGCTGGGACGAAACGGTTACCTTGGAGCAGAAAATCCTGTGTGGGCTGCCCCGAGTTTCCTCGGAGATGCAAAGAGTCAAGACTACAAGAATGAATACTCAAAGAGCTGAACATTTTGAAACCTCAATTTTTTCATTTTCTATAAACTTTTAAGAATGTTAGTTTTGCACAATTCCATACCTTCATATTGAATCCTCTGAACTTCATTTCATCCTTACCTATAAAAGTCTCTTTGAGAACTTTGTAGTTGTATTTACACTTATATAAGTGCTATTAAGGGCCAACTTATATAACTGCTATTAAGGGCCACATATGTAAGAGCTAATAAGGGCCAACTTATATAAGTGCTATTTAGAGCCAACATTAATCCCGCCAGACAAATCCAATGTTCCTTCTTTAAACTGCTCTACATCAAATATTATTCAAGGACCTGTCAGATTTTAACTTTTTAGAATTTGAGAAAGTTATGTTTTAAAAAATGACCTTTATATATGTTTTAAAAAATGACCTTTATATATTGGAACAGACAGACAATGCTCCTGGATAGAGGAATAAAGTGTGTAACTATAGTGTCAGGCATTAAGGATAAATAAGGATGAACCAGTTTTTTTTTTTCCAATTCTTTTGTGGTTTCAAAACATTTTGTTCTCAAGCAATGTGTTTTGATACTCCATTTGGATAGACTATTTTGATACTGCAAATATTTTAAATTTAGCAAGTTTAATGCTACATTTAATTTAAATCTTTTTTTTTCATAGAAATATTTAAAAATGAGAGACATATGTGCCTGGTGTGCATGTCTTGGATTCAATTTCAATCTTTCATTATAAAACTGCAAGGATTGAAAAAAAAATAAAATCTTTTAGATTTATGTCATCTTGTTTCCATCCTTTTAACTACAACACAAAAATAAGAATCCAAAAGATTAGAGGAAGAGAATATTTAAATGATTTGTTTGTCTCATAAAACTGCCTTCTCAGGTTGGTGTCATGCTGAAGCCATTCTTACCTCAACTCCAAACCACTTTTGTCAAAGCCATCAATGATCCCAATCGTACAGTTAGACTCAGGGCGGCCTCAGCTTTGGGAAAACTTATATTGATTCACACCAGGGTGGATTCTCTCTTCAATGAACTCATCGCTGGTTTCAAGAGCACAGAAGATTACAGTATCAAGTGAGTTGGTCCAATACAATGTGTTGTTGCATTCATGTTTTTTTAATCATGATCATAACTCCTTGACGACATAGTTCGTCTGAAAATGACTTATGGTGCATCTAAACACATAGTAGTGCAGACAGAACTAAATTAATTTCAAAACTAACAACCAATTAGTCTTGTGGATATTGACTTGTAATTTTTTTCACACCATACGTTGTTTATTATATCTGTTGAGGGTTAGTTTTGTTGCTATATGTTCTCAGCGCCATGAGGCTTGTGATGTATTGGTGACTTGATTTTATGTATCGGTGACATAGTGTCAAGACTGCCTTTGAGTATGGGCAATTCATTTGGTAGTTACTGTCTGGTTTTTAGAAAGGGTTGTGATTGTTACCCTCTAGCAAGTAGCGCATATTTGAATTATTGTGTCTTCTCTTATGCCTTTTTAACCCCGTCTGGGGCATAGGCCATCCACAAGAATTTCCCATTCATCACGGCCCTGTGCTTTCCTTTCCAGTTGCTTTCAGGTGTATCCCATATTTTGCGTGTCTGCCTCTAGCTGGCGTCTCCATGTATTCTTTGGCCTTCCTCTCTTTCTTGTTCCCTGTGGATTCCATGTTAGAGACATTGGGGGGTGATGCTATCTGGGGGTTTTTGGATTATTGTTTAACAATGATAAATAACTTGGATAGACATTTACGTTGTTCTTGGAATAGGACTTGCGTTCATTTTTAATGTGCCAGTAAAAAGGGAAGAGAGCAGTTACATCACTGTCCCACTTGCATCTAAAATATTAGTATTTATCTATCTCACTTGTTATCATTAATTGGATGGCAAAATGATTCAAACACGCTTTCATTAAGACATAGTTTTATTCCACTGGAAGTAAGCATTTTTCTATTACATTATTAGTGCAGTCAAAATAAGGATCTACTGAAAAAAAGATGTATTATCATTAGCCTGACTTATTTTGCACTCTGTATGTAACCCATTTTCAAAAACTTTCTAAAGTATTATTTCATTGAAAAAATTTAAGTTAAAAATTAATCCTTTTTGCACATTGTGGTTAAAAAAAATGTAGCAAGGTTGTTTTAAAGTGCTGCCTGCATCTCATTGATCATTTCATTGGTTTGGTCTCTCTAGAGATACATTTGTACAGGCTATCCGTGCCTGCCTCCAGGGAGCTGGTTCAAAAATTGCAGACGCTGGCCGCAAGCAGTTGACTCAAACACTCGTGGCCCTCATTGCATCTACAGAAGACAGCACTCGAATGACAGCAGCTGGCTGTTTGGGCACCTTGTGTGCCTCCCTTCCTGATGTCGAACTTTCTGATCTGATGATTCAACATCTTTTAGGTAAGATTTTTTTTAAATTCAGAAATTTATTGTCAGAAATTTTTTTTTAGGGCTGCGTTCCCTAAAGGGTGGTACATGGACTGACACCTTTCTGCGAGCTTAACATTGCTGGCTCAAGCAACATCAATATTTATGGTCAAATGAAGAAAATATAATAAATTAATCTGGCACAGGCCCCTGGTACATTTTGGAAACTTGTCCACCGGTCCGCCAAACTTAAAATTTGGGAACCACTGTTGTATAGTTTAACACTTACATTACCAAGGCCTACCTGATTCATTTCCCGTCTATACTAAGCCTGTATTGCAATGGGTAAAAGAAGGAAATAGTGGAACGGGGTATGTTGGAGCTAGAAGTGAAAGGACAATAAAAAGATCCGGTGAAAGGAATTGTTTTGCAAACCAAACAAAAAACAAGGAAATAGACATGAGTTAAGAACCTTTGTGTTGGTAGTGCCCTATGGTGTAGACAAATGCTAGAGGCGGAAGTGTTATATTATTGGCATGAGTTTGGTTATCCAAAACCAAACATCTGTACTGGCCAAAAGATGACACAGAAATAAGGATGTGACAAATCATTTTTAAAATCATTATAACTAGACGGCATAGCATTTTTTGGGGGGTTTTTCTTGGCACTGTTCTTGAGTGTTTCTGTATACATCATTCAAACCTTCTGACTTTCTCATCAAATGTATCTATAATATGGGTTATATGTGGAATGGCGTGAAGAGTCACTAAATGTAGGCTACATTTACTTAAAACAAGGTTACCAAAAAAGAGAAAGGATCTACTGTGTCAGACTTAAAAAGCTTAATTTTGAAAATGCTTTGATAACAACCTGATAAAAACAACTTATTATTTGTACCTAAGGCATTAATTGTGTTTAGCCCATTAGCTTAACAAAATTGTAACAATTCAGTTTCGTGAGTTTTTATTTGGAGTCAACAATATTTCATCTCTCTTCCAACTGAATTAAATCTTTGTCGTTTTAATTCTCAGACACAGACCCAAGCCTGGACTGGACATTGCGCCATGGACGTAGCATGGCTCTGAGTGTAGCACTGAAGGACGCACCAGAGAAAGTCCTGATGACGTCTCTGAGGAAAAGTGTTGAGTCAACCATTGGAAAACTAGTAGCAGCTGATAGAGTGAGTTTCTTGTTCAGTGCTGCATAACAATGCAATTTACATGACTGTCTTTTATGTTATGTTGCGTTCAGTTCCCAAAAGCCAGTTCTTAACTTTTTAATGGCAATATTCCAAGGCAATCTCTGTTGGAACTTGCCCATATGTACAGCTTTCCATTACCCTCTACTATAGTCTTCCTAAATCAGATTATGGAGAAAATAATTTCTTTACCATCGAGATGGCAGCACCAGATCGAGGGAACTCTGGGAAATATCACAGCTGCCTCAGCACCATGATCAGGCTATGGACAACTTGCCTCAGTACTATGATCTTAAGTGTTGCTAGAAAAAAAGATGTAGACAATAATTTAAATAAAAAAGAATGGAAATCAATTTATAGTTAGCATGCTTTAAATGTCTTACTTTATTTGACCTCTTCAGAAATGCTCACCAGGAATTTTTAATAGTGTCAATTCAATTTTTATCAATATATTCCACCACCCCTTTTTCCAGATTCCTATAAGTCTCAGTGGTCTGAGGGCTGCTGGCTACCTACTACAATATCTCTTGAAAAATGACAGTAGCTCACCCTCTGTGGGAGAATTTGAGACAATTCTTGTCAAGGTTTGAACAAATTTTAATATTCTTAGAAAATGACTTATGGCCCCAACATTTTTCATTCTATGGACTTTATTTCAACATTATTCAACATTTCTACACATTGAATGAATCCTGTCTGGACAGAATTAAATATTAACACACATCCAACTTAAATTTTGTGTTTGTGGGTGTTCATACACTACTAAAACCAATGCTGCAACCTCTATTTCATTGCCGTATTCAAGATAATGCTCTGGCATCAGTTGATCTCTCTGTCAATTTAATTGTTACTGCTGTTTCAGAGTATGAAGGCGGAATCCAATGATGTCAAAATTTTGGTGGCCCAGATCATCTCTTTCTTAGCTGATCAGCAGGAAGGAAGGTTTCCTGGGGATGTGCAGCTGGTGCCAGCTCTAGTGATGGGAACCAAGGAGAAAAACTCCATGGTCAAGTCCAGCTGCGAAGGGGCCCTTGTGCATCTCTTGAGGTTGAGGACAGGAGACCAGTTGTATCAGGTACATCAGTTGTTAGAAGTGTTGCTGGAATGACACATCCTAATTCTGAGTAGCCCAATTTTACTGGGGTTACGACTGTAACCGCTCACACTGTTGTTGTTAATGCAGGGGTGATAGTTAGCCAAATCTAGAACACAACAGTCACATCCACATCAAGACATCATCAACGTTGTCAAATGAATTACAGAGTCACATGATAATCAAATCGGCACTTTATTCCAAATAAGACCGTATACACATGATAAATAAATAACGTCCCCATCAGTGCAGGATTTCCATGAATATATTTATATTCACTTCTCTGTATTAAATAAATATCTTTCTACCATCCTCACAATTATTACACACTTTACAATAGCACAGAATCAACACAACCTCTTCCAACATGGATGCCTAAACCTGTCCGTTATATCGCTACAAAATTGTGTCTCAAATGATAAGTCTTAACATCAATTTAGCATGCATAAAGTCATACTGTTACAAAGACATGTAAAGAATCCATTTTGTTTTGATAATAGTATACTTTTATCAAAATGCTGCCATTCTATAGATGATAACCTGTTATCTGCAAGCTCATCTTTGTCTTTAGAATTATTGGCAGATTCTTAAATGTCTGAAAACATAATTGACATATGTTACATTTTATAAATTTAAATCTTTGGCACAATATGCATTTAACATTGGTTATATTTATATGTTTGACTTACAAATATTTATTAGATGTAATTCACTTCCAACAATGCAGAAGTTTTCAAATGAAACCAGCAAATGCTCCATTTCTTCTAGCATCGTCTCAATACAAGCTGGGAAATTAAGCTTTCTGTTTGATACTTTTTTAACTTGAGAGTGCAAATATTCAATTTATTACATTATTTTGATTTAATGGTAATATTTTTTTAAAACAATATTAGTTTCAGAAATGAATTTCTGTAGAACCCAGGCTAATGAACTTAATCCGATCTATGACTCCTTTCTTAAACCGAAAACTTTCACTGACCTAAATAATTTTTATTTTGGAATCAATGTAAATTCAAGTAATCTGTTCTAGCCCAACATTTTAGTTGTGTTTCTTTAATATAAAATATCATTTGATTTGACCTAGCAGCCTCTCCATGTCTTACAACACAACGAGTTCCACTTCTTCGGCAAAGTTGATCAATCCACTCTCTACTCAATTTCAAGTCTTCAGTTTATGATCCATTTTCATTTATTCAAATTAACAATAATTTTTCTACTTTTTTTTAACACTTTAGACCTTAGCTTCATTTAGCTACATCAGTGTGACATCAGCAGCCTTTATGCCTCTTTTTATTTTGGATTTGTAGAGATGGTCGATTTTGCCATGTTGTATTGCTTGGGGATGTAGGAAAATATCATATTTAAATATAATTTCTTTATTTACTGCCATACTAACAGGATCCCTTTGAATAACATTTTTCTCCTTGTGTGCCATAATGAGGGATAAACTACAGAAAATCATTGTTATTGAACACAGCCTTTGAACAATTGATGTTTGCTGGCAACACACCAAAGCACATTTGAGCTAGGGGGAATGTGTGTTTTGTGGACAGGCACAGTCATCTGCTCGTAACTCCAATTATCATTCATTAACAAATTTTGTTTGATTGTACTATTGGACACAAATTTTGTTTGTTAACCGATTTGTTCATTAATCCGAGGCTCCACTGTAGTTACGAAAGTAAAATTACTAACGTTAGCTGGAGTTATCCTTTTAAACCTTTATTTCTTCAGATCATTATTTATTTACTAGATATAGCCTGCCAAACATTGGCGACAGCAATGCGTAAACTTCCCATCTACTAAAGTTACTTGACAAAAACGTGAACTCTATTTTGCTACACCACCCTCCCCTCCCCCTGCCTCCCCCCCCCCTACCTTTTCATGATACGTCACTGCACACTTTTTATTTCACTCCCATGAACTCTATAAATATACCCGACCCGCGGCTTAGCAGACGCCGTGAGCTTGTTGGGGTGTGCGCGTGGCTGGCAAGCAAGGGTGGTCTAGGAGGGGAGGGGGGGCGGTAGCCCCACCGCAGTGCGCATGTCTCGAGACCAATGATGGGCAGGCAAGGAAAGGGAGGGTAGGGTTTGCCTGCGTCGTGCTTGCTCTTGCGTATGTATATATAGCCTGCGTGGTCGTTGTCTTCTTGTTTGCCCTACTTCTGGCGAATTATATATATAGATTGTACTATTGGACACAATTTAAAATTTAGCTCTACTTATAGTTGCAGGTTGGGTGGAAACAGAAAAAAAATTTTTAGCTTAGCACTAATAGATTTTGTACCAAAAGTGAAATTCTGACGCTATTTGAGATTTTCATGGCAATGGCCACATGACATCACTTGATTTCTGGAATGAAACCGATTAGCTTTATGAATGTGATTTGTTCAGGAATAATAAATCAATCTGTTTAATTGAGAATTACCCAGTTTAATTTACACTAATAACATTTGACTATTTCATTGACAGGAAATGCTCTCCTCTCTTGACTTGGGCATGCAGGATTCTCTCAAAGAAGTTGTTTCCCGTTCTCTGAGAAAAATTGCTTCACAGCCTGAATCCCCAGTGGAGGAAATTGATGACACACTCTTGAGATGATTATTGAAACGGTTTGAAAGGGACAGAAGAAACCAATTGTGTTTGATTTTAACTTTTTCCCTGGCATCAGTTTGTATTTATATGATGGTAATTTTATTTTACTGCAAAGTCTTTATGTCATTAGCAAGGGAATGTAATTTTGTTGTTTGGCTCTTTGTCAAAATTCGGCACTGAGCTGATGTTGCATTTATGCATGCGTGACTGAATGAATACGAGTTGAATAAAAGCGTCAGAGAATTATACATTTTTTTTTAATCAAAGAAAAAATTGCCATTTACAAATGAACTTTTGGGGAACATGGTGGCAAAATATTTGATATATGATATTTTCCCAGGTTGTTTGTTTATTTACTTCATTTCTGTTAATTTTTTAAATATTAAGTTAATATAAAGCTTTCTTTAGAACGGTAGCAATATTTTAACAAACATAAAATCTTATCAACTGAGTTAAACCCTAATATTCATCCACTGCCTTCTTCTTCATCATTTGGCATTGAGGTATCAACTCAAGATTTCTGGGACCTTTTTTTTTATCCTCCTTTTGTTGTGTCCAATTTTCAAGCTCAAATTTTAATTAATAATGTGTTTAATGACCATTAGAGATTGTTAGTGAGTTGTTTGTCATATCTTGTATTCATCCCAACCCTCATTGAGGCACTGTACATTAAATATTCTTGTTTTTAAATTAAACCTCAAGGAGATATTGAAAATAAGGTGATTATAGTTGCGTCAAACAAAAAATGTGCACATATTTGTTTTATTTCAGTTTTTTTATTGTGTGAACAATTTTAGTTATTTCTTGATTTGCATATTTCCTGTATTTTCATCTATAAAAAGATAATTTAAAGGGTTTTAGGGGCCTGTTGCCTGTTGGCTAAGTGTAGTGAAATGAAACAAGGTTCACTAGTAAATATAACTTGACTATGTTATCGATAATATCTTGAACCCCTTGGAATTGAGATCATTACATGTTCTTTCTTTTTTTTTTATGTCTTGAAGATTAATTTAAGATGTTTAATGATATCCTGTGTGATGTCTGAAGGAAATATAAGATGGATTTTGTAAGCAAAGAAAATAAAAAAAAATTACTGATAGGCTTACTACATGTTTTGCTGACATATTTAATCTTCAAGATAGAATTTATTTAAAAAAGTTTTAATTTAAACAAAAGCTAATTAAAATATTTTACCACTTTATACCGATTTATTGTTGGTTTCGAAATATTTATTGAGTATTCGCCTATAGGGTCTTCCTAGAGGGCCCATAAGAGCCATTGATGCTGTTCGTTATAAAAAATTGTCATTGTGAGAATAAAAACCATCATCTAATTGAGGTATTTTTAATGAACCATGAGCAAGGCCATTGACAAAAAGTTTTCACTGTTTGTTTGATTTATTTAAATTTGCATGTCTGCTAAAGCTTTTCAGGACTTCAATGCTGGAGCAGTGTTGCACCCCACATGTTTGTTTCCTTTAATAGAAAGTTTAAACTAAAAATTCTTCTCTAGCTATTCAGGTGCATGCCGAGTTTATTGGAGGGTTATACGATTTCGTACGACTTGAGAATCAGTAAGTTGTACCAAAGATAGAATCAACTATACAAACTGAGAAAAAAAACTATATTAGAGTAATCTCACACAGATTTAACAAATTGTAACTGAAAAAATACTGTTTATTTTAAAAAATCAAACTTCATGCATAAACTTACTTAGGTACCGGTAAGTTATTTATCAAAATAAATAAATAAGCCAAAAATGAACCAGCCATATGCAATTAACACCTATATATTTCTATTTGCAGCTTTATTTTAAACTTTAAGAATTAATGCATCTGTGAGCTTAATAAATTGATACAGAAAATGAAATAATTTTCATGGTAAAAAAATCAAGGGTTGTCATAAATTATTTTTAAATGATTTATTTTATGCACAAATACAACCAAGTCCCATTCTATCCCCCATTTTCCAAATTCTTATTAAATTTATTTAAAAAAATTATATTCATAGTTAGCTTAAAACTCGTGGAAATGTGGTATTTCTTTTTGCAAGACAAGTATTGTAAGTGAACTACGGTGATCAAGTTAGACATATTTTATTTAGGCATTTTTTTATAGCGCTTAACCTTACAGCTCTAAGCGCTTTACAATTATTAAAAATATGTAAACTATTTAAACTGCTAAAGAAAGATAAAAATGAAAAACCAGAGACACTACAATAGTAACTACAATGTGAAAAATGACTATAGAAACAGTAGCTTAAACATTAAAATGGCTATAAAAACGAGTACACTTTGGCACGTTTTGGCCTATACTACAGGATCAACCCGAGACAGAAAATGAGGCAGGGCAAGGAGGGTGCATCACAGGTCATAGGCAGACCTAAACTGATATTCCACATCAGTGATGCCTCCTCCTCCTGTAATAAAAATTACAGCTACGCATACTATTTGTTTTTCTGACAGATTTAATCTTCAAGATAAAATTAATAATAAAAAAAATTTTTGATTTTTTATACACATTTATTGTTGGTTTCAAAATATTTATTGAGTATTTGAATTTTCCTTGCAAGATTCTGTTTAACCGCCATTAACTTAAATTTTTTAATGTACATCAAATAATGTTTAACCCACGAACTGTGGCATGCATCATTCTGTGGTGTGGAGCTTTTCAGAGCGTTTTGAGTGGCATTTGAAATTTCATTAAATGACATAGAAATATTGATACAAGACCCTTATAAGTATATATTTTTAGAAAGGTAAATGGATGGAGTAAAAGTTGACCATATTGCCCACCCAGTAAAAAAAATTTACTCAGTGTCCCTGACCTTGGAGTTCTCAAGAAAAAAAAGTGACAAAATGTCTTGCTTTCAAGTGCTCATAACATCATTAATTTTTATAGATGCACTTAAAACACAAATCTAAATGTTGTAGCCAATTCATTTATCTTTTAGAAAATGTATAGTTTGCTATGGTTTTGATTGCAATTAAACCTCTGAAAGCAATTTTAGTAGTTTTAGGTCATTTATATTAGAAACAGGGACCACTGCTAAAACCAAATACAAAATCTCAGGCAAAATAGTTATTATTGACTATTTATTAAACATTTAAAAAGGAACTATGGAACTGTTTTGGGTTGTTTAACTATAAAATTTATTAGTTCTGAACTATAGTCTGTAGCTTCTGTGACTAAAATTCAGTCAGTCCTTACCCAACCTCCGGGCCTGGCTCGAAGTCTAACAGTAGCCTCAGTAGGCCTACTTCTGTATCAGTATAAAATTCACGAGAAGAATAATCTCAACTGATTAACATCCGTCATGGGGAATGTTAAATCATCATAAATATCACTTAAAACCTCTCCTAAAAAGCTTTCAAACATATTTCTATTAGTTCTTGCACTGAGTGACCCCAGCCATGGCTTCAACCATTTTAGCTTTAAAAAAAAATAGCGATATAAAACTCCGATTAAAAAGTATTTATTTTCAAGTTATCAAGAAACAGCTTGAACCGGAAGATGATTTAATTATTAATAAAAGGACGTGGCGATAATTCCGGTTAAATATTGGATTGCAAGTTGCTATCGGACCGTGTCTTTATCGGCAGCCACAGTACAGAGCGAGAATGTCAGCCGTTTTTTTCGGCCGACCACAGTTTGTGGGTTAATAAGAAGAAAGAAACATTAAAAATATTAATTTTAAACACACTTTTTTTTTGGCATAGCTGTTGAGGCACTAGCAGTATTAGATTTATTAGGTTGCTGGTATTGGGAACTGAGTGTTAGATGCAATTACCCATTAAATATCATTTACCGGTACATAAATTGAACAAACTTTGTTTTACTCCTTTCTAAAATTAATTTCGTATACATATAGAAAATAAATAAACACGCTTGTTTTCATTTCACAATTTTTATTTCATTGTAAAAAAAACAAACATTGTGAAAATAATGACAAGGCCAAATTTTATTATGGATTTTATTACCTACACTTTATACAACTAATGAATGCAACATTTGGGCAATTACTCATGACAGTGATATTTAGAGATACCTTTAGAAGAAATTCATCATTGAACACACACCTTCACTCAGTTTAACAGTGATACTTAGCAGAAATTCATCATGATTTAACACACTCCTTCACATTCAGTATGTATATATTTCTTTTATTACTTCATTACTCAATTTTCACCACAAAACACATAATTCAAATTCTTCCCTTCTATTCAAGCAGTAGCGCTGAAGTTGTTTGACATGTTCATTTCTGAGTGGTCATCAATATCATAAATAGTGTTGACAAATGACACAAAGTACTAGAACTTATGTTGTCTGAATCATGTCTAACTGCTCCTTGTATTCTGTGTATAAACGTTGAAACTTGAGATCCGCTCCAATATTGGTTAAGTTGTTACGTAAGATGGTGTGCTTATCTAGACCCTGAAACAGTAATGTATCAATATTAAAGAAGAGGTTTGAACTGCTTGTACAGATACACAAATGACATAAAGTTCATAGTGTTATTAAGTTATTTTTGGATGAACTTTAACTTATACTAAAAGCTTGTTTCAGTTTTTTTAAAGAATTCAAATTTTAATTACTTTCTTTTTTCTTTTTTTTAAAAATATTCTCTCCCCCCCCCCCAGTTTTGGGTTTTTGACAGAAATAGAAATGTTCAAAATTAAAAAAAAAATTTTTATATTTTATTATATTAATTTATTTTTGGATGAACTTTAACTTATACTAAAAGCTTGTTTTAGTTTTTTTAAAAAATTCAAATTTTAATTACTTTCTTTTTTCTTTTTTTTAAAAATATTCTCCCCCCCCCCCCCCAGTATTGGGATTTTGACAGAAATAGAAATGTTCAAAATTGAACAACAAATTGTTATATTTTACTGTACAAAATATACGAAAATCAACATTTTATACACACATAGCGAATATTGTTCATAGAGTTAAAGAGCAAATAAAACATCTATCCATAAGACTTTTTCTCCCAGTTGGGTTAAAAATATTTGGACAATACTGATTTCACTTCAATTATTGAAATCATTAAATACTAGAATCTGAATTACTACAGCTAGCATACTTAACCAATAAATTATCTATAAGAACATATAAATTGCAATCAAATTCATTATCTGAGGCCATTTTTGACAAAATTACTATTGATCCGTGTAAAAGAAATCAAAATTTGATGGAAATCGGACAAGCTATCTTCATTCATTTTAGTTCAAAATTCGCAATCGTATTCATTTATGAATGAAGTAAACATGCATGTCTGGCAAAAGGGAGATTATTCATGAATTTTTCTTGTTGCTATGTTATATGGATGCCTTTTGGCAATGTGTCTTTGATAAAACGGTTAAAATCGTTCATGTGGATATAAAGTGTTAGGATTATTTTAAAAAAACATATACATATTTGAAACACAATTTAATTTAACTTAAAAATTTAACAAGAAAAGTATGCAAGCTGTCATACCAGTATGTGTTGAGACCAAGCTTTTCGACTCTTTGATCTGTAGAGTGGACCTAAAAGTTCATCACAAATTTCTCTCAGCTTGTCTTCAATACCTGGAAGAAGAAAAAACAAGCTATCTATTCATACACATGCAAAATAATTTTCAGAAAATAGACAATTATTTGGGTATAAAATCAAACCATTAGGTTAAAAAATGCTAAAATACTAGTTAAAAAAAGTCTCGTTAGAAAAAGTCTAAAAGAAAAGACTAAATCTTTAGACATTCAAATTCCATTGAGTACAAAGATAAATAAGAACAATCATTTGGTATTCAATATGTTCATTGATTTAAGAAATTAACAAAATAGAAATTACAGTTGAAAGAAGGGGGCATATAAATTTAGTTCTGAAGAGCATATAGTAGGAAAACTCACCTTCCTGGGCCAGGTAACGTATGTAGGTCTCCAACCAGAACAGATACTCGCTAGATGACTTCAGGGCTAGGCTTGAAGCCATCTGTGACTCCAAATGACTCAAAGTTATGGATTGCTGAATACCTGGGTTGGACTGGAATGATCTGGATGCCTGGTCACTGGATCTGGTCAAACAAAACCTCAAATTAATTTCAAGTCAGGATATGTTTTGTTTTGTTTTAAATATTGATTAGTCAGCAAGTCTGATATTCGGTTCTCTTAATATTTGATCAACAGCCCATAAACTATTGCATTTGTAATTCTAAGGACACTGGAAAGTTGCACAAATTTTTGCCAAATGAACCAAATGGTCAGACTAAGCTAATGAGTAGATTAGTACTTCTTGTTCTACAATTATAAACCAATTTCAATGAAGTACCGTATTGAAACTGGCATACGTTTGAAAAAAAAAATTTTTTTGGATTAAATATTTATAATTTCTTGGTCAAAATCTTTGGTGGCGATTATTTTAATGATTCTTCATGGCATATTTTTCAGTTCATTTTTGTTTGGGCATGTTCTGATAAATTAATTCTTTCGTTCATACTGATTGAAACATCACTAATGACCAATGTCAATATGAAGTTGCATTATGAAGAATTTTATTGATTTAATTTACTGATTGATCCTTGAATCCTCCAAATGTTTCAGATGTTTAAAAACATAATTAAGAATGAGTGAAAAAACCCAACTGAACTGACCTTGCTGCTTTCTGCAATGAGTCCAGTGGACCAATCGGTCTGTGTTTGACTGGTGTGCACTGGTGGTGATTGGAGAAACTTTGAAGCTTGTCTTCTGCATTGCTGACCAGAACCCTGGGGAGGATTCCTTTATTTTTTATTACATGAGGTGGATGGCAAATGTTGGTTTTTGAAAAAAGTAAATTAAAAATTCATAATTTAAATGAATTTAAAACATTACATTTATTTCTTTATTTATAGCTTTATTCAGAAAACAGTAGTTTATTTTTATTTTATCTAGTATCAGTTTTATCTGAACTTAATAGTTATTTTCTTTCTCTTAAAATGAATTATAACACTGCGTTAAAAGTATAAATTATGTAAATTATGTTAGGGCCGGTAATGGAATTGGAGATATATTATTGTAGTCAGAATTTATCCTCAAACCCAATTTCAATAAATTGAAGATTAGATTCATGAAATATTCTTTTATATTTCAATTACTTGGAAAACATTGCACGAGGAGAATGTGGTGGGGAGGTGGGGAAAGAGGTGGGGGGTGCGCATAGCGTGAGTCTTGTACAAGGAACTCAAGTCACAGCCATTACAATTTTGTCTGCCTTAAAATTTAATGTACGAACATATTGTTATTTTTATCATAAATGATAACTCGTTTCAAAAATTTAATATATTAAATTATTTTTTTTAAACAAGTGTTTAAACAAAAATTGATTTCCGTTTTATGTCTACTAGAAGAAAATGTTGGTTTTACTCACCAGTCACCAATATTTAAGGAGAAGCAGTAAGACTTTTTGTTGGCCAGTGTAACTAACGGGACACCATCTGTGGTTAACTGAAACTGATCAACAGTGTCTCGCTCTAGGAGTTGGGGAAAAAAAAGAAGGAAATATCACAATGAATTTTTAAAATAAAGGAGGTATTCCTCAAAAGATAACCAGATTTATGGAAAGATCGCACTTGATCTTGAAAATTCACACTTTTTACTGATGCTACTAAAATTTGACATTTAGATTTCATGCAACTCATGTGACGGAAATCAAAGAAATTCTTTTAATTTTCCAGATACCTTCATGTTAGAAACTTCAAATGTCCTAAGAACCCTTTGTTTAAACTGTAACTGAAAATGGGTGCATATTTTTTTCCTATTTGTGCAGAACATATGCTGATGAACAATCCTCAAATTTTAATCTGACACAAAATTTTATTAAGGTTTAAAATGTTCCAGAAAGATGACTTATTTACCTGACATGACAGCAAGGAGAGATTCTCTTCTAACTTCCTCCTTCAACAAATGACAATTCCTGGAATTATAACACCCACATCTATCAAATCTTTCAGAATAAACTTTAATGGACTGACAATGATAAAAATTGTTACAAAAATAAAGAGGAAAATGGTGATACATATTTGTTAAAATTGGAATTGCATCAATTTATGCAGCTGAATATTGGCATTTCTGTACCTTCCTGTAAACATGAATAACTACTTAGTGACTATATCTGCCGCCGCATTGATTTTCATCAGGTCTGATCAGTGATTCATGCATATAAATATTTACATACATCAAATGTATCCTTACCATACAAACACAAGACCCTTGGTGGTAACAATCATAACATAATGACCCTTGCACGTGAAATATGCCGGAGGTGCTCCAACAATGAGGTAAGGCATCAGCCTTCTACCTCCTTTGCTGTATACTGAAACCGTTCCATCAACACAAGCGGCACACATGACATGCCTGGATAAAATAAACACATGATATGGTTGGATAAAATAAAAACATGACATTTCAAGATAAAATAATAACTTGTATCATTTTTGCTATCTCGTTATTTTATTGTTAAGACACAGAAGAAAGTGAATGTCTCCATCTGATATGATACATCAGTTCTGATATCAAGTAAAATAAGTTTTCAACATACTCAGAGCCAGCCACAGCACTAATCTTTGATGTCAACATCTGATCCCACATGACCTTGCCCCCGAGCATACACCTCAACCTATGGACTTTGGCCGCTCCTAATTCAAGGCCATTCTCCACCTCTAACACAAGCGCATGTGTACCTCCCATCTGACCTTTGACCTGGAACACAGATATACTTATTTGAAGTAAATTTGAAAAAAATATAAATATGTGTATTAAGTATATATACATTCTGAAATTTCATCAGACAAACATATTTTTTGTTTTGAACATATGAGATGGTATAAAAGCTTAAATTCTCTTGTCCTCATAAAAATAAGCCATACCTGAACAATAAGAAAGAAGTACTATTTTTACAGCTATGAATTCATAAGGATAACTGATAGCAAACTGAACTGATTACATAGTCTCATAAATGGAAGGATTTCATCAAATGTGGAAACCAAGTTGGTTAAATCACTGCTTTTACTTACTGTCAGTGTATCTACGGTAATAGGTATAGCAATAGGTATAGCATATAAGTCACTGTAAGCAATCAAACTTTTTAACACTGTGATAGATAAATTACACACCCCTTCCCACCCCGGGGTGGCGTCAGACGCCCTCTAATAAAGTTAATACAAATGGCTGTGAATAATGCCCTAAGTAGCTGGGACGAAACGGTTGCCTAGGAATACTCCTGGCAGGCCACCCATGCCTCATACCCTTCAACCGCAACTAGTAAAAAAAAAAAAGGGGGGGGGGATGTGACTAAAAGACTAAAATAGTCTCCATACAAACAATTTTATTCATAATTCCCCAGCTTTGAGTGTCCTTGAAAGCTTTAGGAATCAAAGAGATTTTCAAACCCTTTGATATACAGAGATCAATATTGATTGTGGGAGACTTTCCAAAATGTAATTCCAGATATTCAACTCACCACTTTGGAAACTGTTTTCTCAATGGTCAGAGCAGGTAAATGAAGGTCAGGCAACATAGACACAACCCTTGCTTCTCTCTGCATACAAAATTTTTAAAAATTATTGTTTTGTAACAATTAGCATAAAATCTTAAAAAGAATTTTTTTAAAATATATATTTACCAAGTATAGCTCCTTTAAGTACACATAAAATATTGTAGAATAAATACAGGCTATTTTACTAGGTTGAAATTCATAAATTTCCTAACCTAGCCAATATCATAAAAAAAACTGTTAATTTATTTTTTACTTTATTTGTTTTAAAAAAGTATGTTAAGACATTCATGAAATAAGCAGAGGAAGTGAATAACAACATAATTTAAAACAAATGAAACATACATGAGCTTATGTGGCTCACTCTATGGGTAAGTGTATTTATCAAAATCCAAAGACTGGCATTTGTTATTAATGGAAAAAAAATATTTTTAAGAAGTTTTTTATCGTGCACTTGTAAAGACAGATTTCTTTTCACAACAGATACCCTTTGTTTTTTCTACCTGCGTGCCTGGAGCAGACCCCAGTGAAGTGATTCCTGAAGGTGCATCTGTTCTAGTTACATTGATGGTGCTGACTGCTTCTGCAGCAGCGGCAGCCATTGCTGCCTCACGCGCGGCCTGGTCCATCTTACTGGGTCGACCACGTTTGCCAGATCTTTCCAATAAAATGTTCACTCGTTAAAATTTCATTTGTGACAGAAGTTCAAGGAAATTATTATACACGTCTGCCTCAAAATAAAAATGTATTTTCAATTAATTTCAGAGTTTAATTTTTTAAAATTATTTATACCAGTACAGCTTGTGGTCAATGTTCCCTCTAAGATTTGTTGGTTCGTGTGCAAAAGCGTACAGTTGTTTGCAAAGTTTTGCAGCATCCATTTTTTTATGTGCAAAATTGTACAGCCCACAAAAACAAACACACACTTTCATGGAAATCTGCTGTGCGGATACTCAAAACTGCTGCGCGGCGTCTGTGAGATAGGGCCGCGCAGCTTAAAGGGAATGTTGCTTGTGGTATCTGACACTGAACCCAGGGTCCCAAAATCTGGGTTCTGTATATGACCCTGACCCAAGATTTCACTTCTGGTACATGACCTTGGTCTAAATATCAGAATTCTGGTACATAACTGTGACTCAAGGTCCCAAAATCTGATCAGAGTCTGGCAAATGAAACATAGTGTTATTGCAGACAAAATAGATCAGATTCTGGCAAATAAAAATAGTGTTATTGCAGACAAAATAGATCAGATTCTGGCAAATGAAACATAGTGTTATTGAAGATAAAATAGATCAGTTTCTGGCAAATGAAACATAGTGTTATTGTAGACAAAATAGATCAGACTCTGGCAAATGAAACATGGTGTTATTGCAGATAAAATAGATCAGATTCTAGCAAATGAATCATGGTGTTATTGAAGACAAAATAGATCAGATTCTGGCGAATGAATCATGGTGTTATTGCAGACAAAATAGATCAGATTCTGGCAGATGAATCATGGTGTTATTGCAGACAAAATAGATCAGATTCTGGCAAATGAATCATGGCGTTATTGCAGACAAAATAGATCAGATTCTGGCAGATGAATCATGGTGTTATTGCAGATAAAATAGATCAGACTCTGGCAGATGAACCATGGTTTTATTTTTGATAAAATAGATAATGTCATTAACTAAAATTTATTTCTGTTGTATTTTAACAGGTTTCGATTGATCAGGGAATTGGTAGGCCGCCCTACATTCAAGAAATTTTTGCCAAAACTTATACCACCATCAAACCTCCTATGCACCCAAGGATCTTGTTATATATTGAAATGAGACTCCAACTTGTTATAGTCTGGATCAATTTAAACACTACAACCTTTGTTAAACTCCAAGTGGGCAGTCCATTTTTTTCTATCTAGTATTAACTAGTAGTAAGATTCTAGGTGGTTTCAAAACAGACTTTCACAACACAAAGGAAATTCTAGGTGGTTTCAAAACAGACTTTCACAACACAAAGGAAATTCTAGGTGGTTTCAAAACAGACTTTCACAACACAAAGGAAATTCTAGGTGGTTTCAAAACAGACTTTCACAACACAAAGGAAATTCTAGGTGGTTTCAAAACAGACTTTCACAACACAAAGGAAATTCTAGGTGGTTTCAAAACAGACTTTCACAACACAAAGGAAATTCTAGGTGGTTTCAAAACAGACTTTCACAACACAAAGGAAATTCTAGGTGGTTTCAAAACAGACTTTCACAACACAAAGGAAATTCTAGGTGGTTTCAAAACAGACTTTCACAACACAAAGGAAATTCTAGGTGGTTTCAAAACAGACTTTCACAACACAAAGGAAATTCTATCATTTACTTTCTTATTTCAATGAAAAGAATTTTTTCGAAGACAGAGAGAAAACATTTAAAACCTTTGAGGTTTCAGATTGATATAAAATTCAGGCTGAATAATATGAGAAGAAATAAGTCAATGCCCCACTGGTGACTGATATAGAAACATAATTAATGAATTCATGTTTTTATAATTACCAAATATTAACAAACTAAAGGTTTCAAGGTTACTGTTGTGTAGTATAACAAAGAAACGATATGAATGCGATACATGTAACAACTTGTCTTCTTACATTTTAAAGTACCACAAACACTATGTATGGGGTACCATATAACTCTTGTCTCCTAACATTGCACAGTACAAGACATTAACATTGTGAATGGGGTACCCTGTACTTCTTGTCTCCTAACATTGTACAGTACAAGACATTAACACTGTCAATGGGGTAAGCTGTACTTCTTGTCTCCTAACATCGTACAGTACAAGACATTAACTATATGTATGGGCTACCCTTTGTCTCCTAACATTGTACAGTACAAGACATTAACACTGTAAATGGGGTACTCTTTACTTCTTGTCTCCTAACATTGTACAGTACAAGACATTAACACTGTGAATGGGTACTCTTTACTTCTTGTCTCCTAACATTGTACAGTACAAGACACTAACACTGTACCTGTACCTCTTGTCTTCCAGCTTGTGCTTCAGACTGCCAGTAGACAGGCGAGATTTTAACTTGTCTTTAATCAATATTCCGTTTTTTACACTTTCGGATTCTTTTTCTGGCGCCTTGAGCTTCTCTGTGACAGCTGCCGTTGGAGTTTTGTCTGTGGTGACTGTTTGTGGAGTTTTATCCGGTTTTTCCGTCACGGCTGTTTTATCAGTTCTGAGGTAAAATGGTTGATTGGTAAGTAACAATTAACCAAGGCAAACATGGAGCATTTGTTAAGGTTGGGGTGAAGTAACGGTTAACACAGAAATCAAAACATATAGAGTTATTCAGAGTCCAGTAGTTTATATAGAGTAGTTTAAAGTCAGTTATCCATAAAGAGTAGTTCAGAGTCAGTTGTGTAGTGTTCATCAAATTAAGTGGAAATTGAGAACTTACTTACAGTACTTACATGGTTAGCATATCTGTTCTGAGCTTAAGCTGTCAAGTACTTACATGGTTAGCATATCTGTTCTGAGCTTAAGCTGTCAAGTACTTACATGGTTGACATATCTGTTCTGAGCTTAAGCTGTCAAGTACTTACATGGTTGGCATATCAGTTCTGAGCTTAAGCTGTCCAGTACTTACATGGTTAACATATCTGTTCTGAGCTTAAGCTGTCCAGTACTTACATGGTTGGCATATCAGTTCTGAGCTTAAGCTGTCCAGTACTTACATGGTTAACATATCTGTTCTGAGCTTAAGCTGTCCAGTACTTACATGGTTGGTATATCAGTTCTGAGCTTAAGCTGTCAAGTAGTTACATGGTTGGTGTATCAGTTCTGAGCTTAAGCTGTCCAGTACTTACATGGTTAACATATCTGTTCTGAGCTTAAGCTGTCCAGTACTTACATGGTTGGTATATCAGTTCTGAGCTTAAGCTGTCAAGTAGTTACATGGTTGGTGTATCAGTTCTGAGCTTAAGCTGTCCAGTACTTACATGGTTGGTATATCAGTTCTGAGCTTAAGCTGTCAAGTAGTTACATGGTTGGTGTATCAGTTCTGAGCTTAAGCTGTCCAGTACTTACATGGTTAACATATCTGTTCTGAGCTTAAGCTGTCCAGTACTTACATGGTTGGCATATCAGTTCTGAGCTTAAGCTGTCAAGTAGTTACATGGTTGGCATATCTGTTCTGAGCTTAAGCTGTCAAGTACTTACATGTTTGGCATATCTGTCCTGAGCTTAAGCTGTCCAGTACTTACATGGTTGGCATATCAGTTCTGAGCTTAAGCTGTCCAGTACTTGCATGGTTAACATATCAGTTCTGAGCTTAAGCTGTCCAGTACTTACATGGTTAGCATATCTTTTCTGAGCTTAAGCTTTCCAGTACTTACATGGTTGGTTGTTTTTCCATCATGTTCTCATATTGTGTTCTACTCTTTGGTGTCTCCATGATTGAGTCAGGCAAAGGTCTCTGTCAGCAACAAGAAACATCAGACATTTCAATTACTGGAAATCATTTACAGTCTATGTTAAGATGGTTTCGTTTTCTCATAATATATCCAAGTTAGTGGATTACAAGGAAAATAATATCCTCCCTGTAAATAAGAAATAATCAATACAAGAATGATGTAACTGAAGCTTTTCCTTTACAAAGGGCTTTTCCGCGACAAATTAGCATTTGATTCAACTACCTGGACATCATCGCTGAGTGGACCAAACACATCCCTGACAACCGATGCCATCGATGGGATCTCAGCTGTTTGTGGTGGGGAGGGCATCGACTTGGAGCCTGATGAAGGGGAGAGCATTCCAGGAGCTGTAACTCTGTTCTGCCTCTCCACCACAATTTTGCTCTTCTCAGAGGATGTGTGGAACTCAATGTTGGAGTTGGATGAGAATGGAAGGGGGACCTCACTGTTGAAACATGAAGAGAGTCAATAAAGCAAGAAAGATTTTTAGGAAATTTACCATAAAAAATGTCCTTATTTTCTAAATAACATCAAATTTCAGTGATGGTGGCTTAACATAAGGATGTGAAAAATATGTCATACTATATCTTTATACAGCCTAAAACAAAACAATATTAGAAATGATTACTTACCCTTTGCTCTTAGATTTAAAAATAGTCAAGAAAAATCCTCAGTGTAATTTACTAGTAAGCTTTACTGTAGTCAAATAGAATTAAGTTAGAAGACTCACCCGACTTCTGGCTGAGGTGCAAGAAATATAGGTGTAATCCTGCGTCTACCATCAGCGGTTCGAGTCTCAATTTGCTTATCTGTGGGCTGGGGGAGAAAATAAACAGTTCATGAATTCAACACTTATATAATTTACAAAGACTGTTCTTTACCACTTTCAAAATTGTAGCTTTATTTTCTAAAAATAATGTGCAAAGGTTGGTGTAAATATAATGTTATGTAGATGAAGTTTTTACGTCATGAAATCTAGCAGACACCAAGCAAGCTCAAGACCGCAATTAAGGTGTGGCTAAATAAAAATAGTCTCTTGCCCTAAATAAAATGAATAGTCTGTATCTATTAGAATTCTGTAGAAGAATCTGGAGCGAACTGGAAAGGAAAACAATGTGTAAGGCGATTCTAGGTACATCAGTAGAACAGACTATAAAAAGGGGACACGATCGATTTTTGTACAAGCATTTATCACAAGATATTTTAACTTTATGGGAGGACAGATGAGAGTTATTTTGACAGTGTGTTATCCTCGATAGAGCTGTGTTTACTGTATATGTGTGAATTCCTATTCATCGTTGTTCCTTTTTTGCACATTGTATTTTCATCAACTTTGTACAGTTACAAGAAAAACAGTACTCTGCGAGTCAAAGATTTTAATTGTATTTCTTTTATTTTGTAAGTTATTAGTAACTTAATAAAACTTATTAACTGTAATCAGCCCTGGTTTGAGTGTCGCATTCTTTGTTATTGTATCTATCATTTGGTATCGTCTTTAGTTATGTACTGTTGAAGAACGAGCCTTACACTTAAATAAGAGATTAATTTCTCCATACAGATAGCAGTACATAACAATAAATGTCATAAAAACCAATGGTCCTTCAACTGGTTTCTTACAAGATATTTTCATGGCTTGCCAAATATTAGTTCTCATTCCTTCAACCTGAACACAGTCCTCTCCATATTAAAAAAATACTATTGGCTTAAACTTTAAGTACTCTAATAACTATAAGTAACAACTTTATGTAGTGTCCATATAAAACCTTCAAGTAGTGACTATATAACAATAACTTTAAGTAAACACTTTATATAGTGACCATATAAGAACTGTATGTAGTGACGGTTAACAAATTTATGTAGTGACCATATAACAATAACTATATGTAACAGCTTTATGTAGTGACCATATAAAAACTTTATGTAGTGACCATATAACAATAACTATAAGTTAACACTTTATATAGTGACCATGTAACAACTTTATAAAGTGACCATACAACAACATTATGTAGCGACTGGATTGGCGAGGTGTAAATGATAACAAAATTATTGTAAAAAAATTCAAAGAATTGAAACATAAAAATGAATCTGAGAAAGTTCATGAGTTGATTTTTAACAACATATCCACAGGGCTTTACATAATATTAATAAATATGATAATGATGGGAATCAGAGTACTTTTTAATCATAAAAAAGCAATATACAAATTCTTTAAGAGACTTACTTCAATTTTAAATTCTTTAAGTTTTCAGAATTTAATTGCTGTTTTTTTTAAAAGTTTAATTCAAATATACCATTGTTAGAGAAATGTTTCCATTTATTTAAAGCCTCAATAGGCAAAGGCAATTAAAAGTTTACAAATTTTAAGTACCTTAAATGGAGCTCTCTCAGCACTGGAGGACATCTGAGATGACATATTACTGTGTTTTTTTGGTGTGAGACTGAGCATGGAGTCGCCACCCGTGTTTTTCTGCTGCTGTAGATTCAACATTGCTGCCGACTCAATGATCTGACTTCCCTTAGTGACTGCAGCATGAAGAGATATCCCCTTCCCGTAAATGTTTTCAAGTAAATTTGTCTGAAAAAATATTGAGAAGTTGATGAGAACATAGAGCCTTGTCAGCCAATTCACTGGCCAGGAGATGGCAAATATTCTTGTTATATGGACTTAGTAAGAGGATAGTTGAAATAATTTTATGCTTAGTTTTCTCATGTCATCATTTTAGATCAGGACAAAGAGGTAAAGACTTTTATTTTCAATTGCATGTACTTCATTTTCACTTATAAATGATGCTTTAATGTGATAAGAAAACATGTACTACAAAGAAAGACTAGATGTTTCTCACCACTTCATCGCTGGACAAGGGATGACCGATTTCTTCTTTCGAGAAATCTAAGAAGGCCACAGATCCATCTATTGAGCAACACATCAATTCTAACCCATTTTGACTCCTAAGGAAAAGACATGGCAAACAACTTGTTCACTTCAGACCAAGAAATATTCTTCAACTCAAAAATCAGTAGATGGAATGGCTATTATGATTTTTTTTTAAATTTTCCATTCCCTTTGATTAAAAATGGATTGATTAGTAGCTGTTATGAGATTGAAGATCAAATTTTTACAGTTAAATAATAGCTGCTATGTGATTGAATATAAAACTGTGTACAGTTAAATACTAGCAGCTATGTGAATGGAGCTTAAGTTTGATAACACAATAAGTTATAAGCAAGCTTTGCTTTACTCACCATGACAAATCTAATATAGAATTCTCAAACAAATCGTGCATCACAACCAAAGGTCTTTTTAAGGCTGTCAACTAAAGAAATGAAAATGAAATAACACTTCTTTTTAAAAAATTCACACAGTTTATAAACATACTAAAAATTGTTTATTTAGCAAGATATTTTTTTTAAAATGATGGACTGCAATTGTATACATTTTATATACCGATAAGAATAGATAATAAAATATAATATAAGAACTATACCCATATTGATAGTGATCTGTCTTTACTGCCAATAGCACAACATGAGTATTGCTGTGACTGGAGAGGGAAAAAAATTAAAAAATACAGATTTACAGTTCTGCTATGTAAAGTAAACGAAGGTCAAGGTCACACAGGTGATTAAATTGTAATTTTACTGTAAAAATGTCTTTTAGAACCTGTATACAGTACAGGCACCTGTTTTCTTCAAGTATAACTAGTTAAACTGGCACAGGAAAATCCTATGAATGAGATAATGAATTTAATGTATTCGCCATTAATGTCAACTTAAGAATCAATGGGTTAGGGCTACAGATAACTGTGTTTATGGTAAATGGGGGTGGTCTAGTTATGTTTGTGTCATAAAATGTTTCTATACTTCAGACTATGTACGGCGTCATTAAATTAACGGTGGGCTTACCTTTTCACTTTTAAACTTTTTGGAGAAGATGTTGGGATTGAATCTCTGAGATTAGAAAATATGGAAGAACAATATGAGAATTAAAGCAGTGGATCATCCTAAAGGAGAAAAATTATTCCATCAAAATAATGATTAAGATTATATGTTAATGATTGGCTTACAAGCAGAATAATTAACTAGTAAGGTATCAAAACACGTTTTTCATGCCTCTTAAAATTTAAATTATCCAACAACATACCACAACTGTGACAGCTTTACGATGGCCTACAAAATCAAGGCTGGCCTTGAAACCTGCCCTTTCAATAATCTGTGCCGTTGGTCCAGAGTTGTTCATAGCGTGAGCTGACACGATGTGGTGACCGTCTGGAGACCAGTTCAGCCTTAAGGAATGAGTTGTGCCACCACACTGAGGAAAGAAAAAAAAGATTTCAGGAAAATGGGTTTCTTTTAACCTGATCTGCTTGCAGGTTAGTTTTCTAAAGCATTTCTTTTTTCAAACAATGAGAATAAAAGTATTTTGTTTTGAAATAAACTTATTAGCTTATAACCTTCAAGCACATTAAACAAATAATATGGATTTTTGTATAATTATAATGAAATGCAAGCAAAAGATACAAATGTTTTTCATATTGTTTAATTTGAATGAAAAACTCACTTCTTTAAAAGGCTCTGTGATCACAGCTTCCTGTTGCCAATCCATGGTCCTCCAAATTCTAAGAGTGCGGTCATCTGACTAGAATAATGATGGTTCAAGTCTTATTTTATAATTTTTTTTTTAAAAATATTTTGGCGTCTCGTTTAAACCCAATTGACGCTCTTTAATAGTAGTCTAAGATCTTCCTTGAAATAAAGCCCAATCTGATGGTATTGGATATGGCAGACATTAAAAAGGGATATTTGTTAACACTCATTAACTAAGATTTTTAAGGTAACTTAATCCTCTCATGCCATAAGCTCCCCTTTTACCTCCCAAATTCTCCCTAGCGCCTGCCTACAAGCCATGTGGATAGTCAAATGTGACGCTCTTTAAGGCAGCCTAGAAACCCAACTACCATAAATTCATCTACTAAAATTTACTGCACCACTTGTGATTGAAGCTCTTTTTTAAAAGAGAAATCTGTATGTTTTTTTTTCTTTGTTCATTAAAAAGTTATGAGAGTTCAGCATTGCTCTCCAAGCTCATTTGTGACAAGTCACTCAGCTTACAAGACTAGCAAGTTTAGATGAGGAAGCATTCGAACAAATCAATGAAGAATTTATTGAAATTCATGCAGAAATTAATGATGATTTTACAGCGGAAGATATATCTGAAACAGACGCTAAAAATCAATACCTTTACACCGTCATCTGGTAGATAATACTAGCAGGCTATGGTGACCATGGTGAATTTTTGAATATGTAGCAATATTCAATATTATAATTAAAAGGTTATTCAGTTATTCTCTAAATAACATTATTTGGGGATTATAATGTCTCATTTATTTTTATATTTAAAAACAATACCATTTCTTATTTTATACTTATGTCTCTTTTAAAAAATAACAAAGATTTTAAAACGGAGCTATGGTCCTTTGTTTAGAAAAAATGCTTTTCTGAAAAGACAAACTCCTTTTCTGGTATTTTAATCTAATAGACCTGTTTACCCGCAGTGTTATAATTCATTTTAAGAGAAAGAAAACAACTATTAAGTCCAGATAAAACTAATACCAGACCTGTTTATCCCCAAACTCTTAAAATCGTACAATAGCATCACAAAATCGTTTAATACGTTATACTTATAGTAAAAAATAAACATACAGTATATACAATCTATACACCTCAAAATCGTACATTGTACGCCAAAATCGAAATAGTAAACAGGTCTGATCTAAGACATAAATGGAGAGCTTGAATAGACTATTATTATAATTTAAGAACTGAACATTTTAATAATTTTAAAAAAAATAACAAAACTTTTCACAATTTGTTAAATACTGAGTTATATCTCTACCTGGGAAGCTACATATTTGCCAACTGGATCCCAAGTGACGCCTTTGACTAGCCCAGAATGACCCTTTAAAGTAGTTAACTGCTCTGGAAGACGAGACATGTCAAATAATAGTATAATGCATGTTATTTCTAGTCCTCATTGAAATATATCAATTAAAACAAAACAAATTGTTATGAAAATTGATTGAAATGGAATTTTGTATATTATGTGTATAACAATAGAAGCATATAAAGGATTTATAAATTTCATTAAAAACAATGGATCAAATTTAACTGCATTTTAAAATACAAGGCATCAAATGTGTATAGGTCTAATTTAACGCTCTTCTGATTTATTACCTTTAAGAATAGAAAGTCTTAGACGGAGGGGAAAAAAATAACACATCATAACTATTCTAATTAACCCTTTGACATTTATCACAAAGAATTTATAACCTGGAAATTTAAGTGCATTCCAGATGGCAACAGTATTGTCAACGCTGCAAGAAGCTAACCACACATCTTGTGGGGACCAGCTCAGATCTAACACATCTGAAAGAGAATTGAAAAAATGGCACAAGCATGACAAAAGGGTGGATTGGGTGCCATATAAATTAGGAAAAAAAATAATTAAATTTTGGATAAAAATTGATCTGTTTTGTAAATTTATTACTTGTTTCGGTTTACAAAATGATTATAAAGTTTAACTGTTCAATTTTTTTTTGTAGTGGAAACTAAGTCTTACATTTTGTGTGAGGAACCTGGTTTTTTAAAATTGATGCCATATGGTACAACAGGTTCAGTTATTGTATGAATTATTAGTGGACTTCAAACTTGTACTCAATAATATCTGAAGCCGTTAGCAAAAAAAAAAAAAATGTAGGACCAGCCTGATTTAACAGGAAATGAAATGTAATAGATGTTAGTCTAAACTGAACTTTTGTTTTTAAAACTGAATAGCAGATTATTGTGGGGAAAACCTACCGTAACATTTTTATGATGAAAACTATCATTTAGGAAATTTTACATTTTTGATTTTATACCCAAAACAAAAGCCCTTAATTTTAGGTATAAGGTAAAGAAAGATTAAATACAAGATAAATATTAAGATATAATAAATTTGTCTAAGTAACAATAAGTGCTAACTAGATGCTTTCCAGCTCATCAATACCTCCAGAATGACCCCTCAGTGTAAATACTGGTCTCCACTGTTCATGAATTACTACACTGCCAGTTGAACCAAATGCTTTTGATGGTCCAGCACCACGACTTGTCTGCCAAATCATAATGAGCTTGTCGTCCCCACCTGATGCCAAAAATTTGCCACTGTGTGACCATCGAACACAGTTTACACAAGCTGAGGAAGTTGATTGTTATAAGATGATTAATTAACGGAGCACAGAAAGATCAAAAGGAAAAAAAATATATTAAAATATATATGAGTTATTTTATTAATGATAAGTTATTTGGGTGGAGTCCACAGCTACAACTAAGATTTTTTACATTAGGTTTTCTAAAATATTAATCAGTTCTTGCTGTTTATTCATTACCAAAATGATTATCCATTTGGCACAACATTTTAGGTACTTTTTCATCGTTCTCAAGAGACTTATTCCTTAAGGGCTCCATATTCCAAATAACAATTTTTCCATAGTCATCACCTGTAATGTAGAAAGTGATATACAATGTTAGCTGAAACATTATCTCAAAGTGAAAATGGTTTTCTCCTTATGTACACACCCTCAAACAAGAACACTATTATGTCTTAAATTTCCCCAAACTAACTAAACGCAGCTACATGTTTAAAATGGCTAAATAAAGTTTTTAACGCAAACGTAACGTGAACCCATACATTTTTTTAAGCTGACAAGTATCAAGATAAAATATTAGTGTTAAGTTATCCAATAGAGGGTGGTTCTCGTTTTGATGTTAAAATAAAGTTGAATACAAGACTAATATTAAATTAGAGAACCAAACTGCCTATCTTCACAAAAGTTTTGCATGAATTTTAAACTCTTCCAAGGCACCAAAATTGCTAACTGACGTTTGTCAAACCAGACAAGTTTTTAATAATTAATGTAAAATATTAACATTAAATGAAAAAATAAAACCAAAGTGTTAATTTACCTTGGCCACCAGTTGCACATCGAGACCCATCAGGATGAATGTCCACAGAGAATATTGGTTTATCTGCATTGAAAATTATTTTTAAATATTAACAATTGTATATATCAATTAATCATTCATAAAAGGGGCCTGTTAGCTTTTAACGAATCTATACAATTAGCCATGTAACTTGTCCCATTTCTTTATGAAATAGTGAAACGAGGTATGTGGAAGCTTGAAAAAAGGTAACAGGACAAAAAACAAGGACGTTTCGGCATAAAGCCTTCATCAGCCAACAATAGAAATGAAAATACAACAATCATTATTACAATTCTTTAGCAGGGTTTAACTTTTGTACAAGTCCCTCACAACCCATACATAACCTAATCACCCTTATTCCTCCTCTGTGATGCTTTGACCAATTCAGAAATATTTGTAGTTAAAATTTCATATACCTTTGTCTTTTAAAAAAAATTGCTTGTTGCTGCCCTGAATAAAGAAAAATAAGAAGAAATCTCTCGCCAATTAATCAACGTTTTTCTTAATAAGGTTCCTTTATATCCAAATAAATTATTTTCCTGGAAAGGCTTACAGTTGATTATTTACTTATAAGCAGGTAGAATACAATTTCTTTTAAGTGTACATTTTTTTTTAACTGCTGAGTCAATGCACCTTTAGTAATAATACATGATTAACTTTGCCATGTTTACAATATTCATAATATACCTTTTATTTTTATCTATTTAAAATCGAAGTGCCTACATGTCCGGCGACTGGACAAATAATTTTCAAGAATTATTCCTCCGGCGACCAGGTCACATGACCTTCAAAACAAAGTTGGGTGAGATATCTGTCCGTCAGCCTTGCCACATGTTCACTTATAGTCGATCATAAAACTGGCATCGGAGTTGCATGGGGGGGGGCACAAGTATTATAATACACTTCATTTCAAGAAATAAGTGGGGGGGGGAAGCAATGCAACTAGAAGGAAAAAATACTGTGAGCGAGAGAGAATGGATAAAAATGATAGTGAGGGTGATAAATAAGGCGGGGAGGTAGAAAGTTCACAAAGACCCTACATCTTAATATAGGGCCAAAATACTTTGCTGTTGGGGTAGCCTACTTCTCACACAATTTTAATAGCTTAAAATAAAACTTTTTTGACAGTAGATCTATTGACAGTCAACTGGCAAGTATTGGTCATATTTTCTTTGGTTCATATTTTAAATTTAGGCTACTAGGTAGAGCTTTATAAGATAGGCTATTTAAACCAAGATAACTGACTTTTTAAAAAAAATTGTGACGTGAACTCTTGTCACATGACATGTCTGCCGGAATAATAACACATACTATGCGTCCAGCGGGCACATGACATGCCTGCCGGAAGAATACCTCCTGCACTATTTGTCCAGTCGCCAGACGTGTAGACACTGCCATTTAAAAATTATTAGTTTCTTATTTCTTACTTGTTTCTTTGCCGGTAACTCAAGACTTTACTAAAGTCTAAAACTATACTTAAGTTAATCTCAAGAAATTTGCACACGCCCTGTCTCTGAATTGTCACTCCTTATGAGCCTCCATTGACATTGGGTTGGCTCAAACTCAAACTGTCAAACTCAATTCATGATCATTGCATGAATTCACACTTTCACATTATTCTCACACTTTCTAGGCCTCGTCGCTGTCTTTTTAGTTTAGCTGACAGTGGTTTCAAATAGTGTTATTATTTCAAAGATCTGCATATAGTGAAGATTACGTAGAAATTTAAACTTAAACAATAGAGTAGAAAGTAGATTTTTTTTAAAAAATTAGAACTTACCATCGTGATTTATCCATCCCGGCTTTACAACCCTCATTTTACTTCAACTGAAGTAGTGCCTGTGTAAAAAGCAAATATTTTAAGGATTCTCCTTTCAAAGCCAAGTTATCTATAGCTTACTAAATGCTTAAATTACTTAAATGCTTTAGCCCAAGCATCTTAAAAAATTTCTTTGCTTTTTATTGACAGAACTTAAGAGTGATCGGACGTTAAAACATCTATTTTTATTACAGCTAAACAACGTTAAAAAACTAGACTTATGAAAGTCATACAGCCGAAACGGAATAAATAATGAGAGCATGAACGACTGAAAGAGTTGTTTTTGTGTGTGTGTGTGTTTCTATTTCACTTTTCAAAGTTGAAATCATGAATATATAAGTTTCAGTTTATTTAATTCATTTTAAAACTTCATTTACAGGATAAATTGTAATAATGATTGCTTGCAGTTGCAGTCAGCAAAACAGAAGTTAAAAGTTAAAGTCACTGGGACGACTGGGAAGAGTGGGTTTTGCCTTGCTCCAACCCGTATTTCCGGGAACAATGGATTAACGTTTTCATCAAACCGAGATAAATTAATATGAGAATATATTATAAACTGGGTTAAAATATAAAAGAGTTTATTTTTTATTGATGTTGAATTGTTATTACTAGTTGAAGAGGCGTCACTAGGGTTTCATTAGAGTCACCCACTGCAGTAAACTCATCGTGTCACCAACCACCCACTTTCAGGATCCCCCCCAGACCTTCACCGAGTAATTCTTAACCTAATCATAACGCTTGTAGTAGTGTCTGCAATTTAAGTATTAAAGCAGCAAAAGACAAAAGAATAAAAACAGAGAATTTGAAGAAGCCGCGTTTAAAAAAAACGAAACAAATGCAACAAAATTACTCTTCATTGAAACATAAACTTATGGCTAAAACGTTACTTTCGTGGTCTTAAAATATGCAAACATGTCAATCACACTTCATCAAACATGTCAATCACACTTCATCAAACATGTCATTCACTTCAGCAAATATGTCAATCACACTTCATCAAACATGTCAATCACTTCAGCAAATATGTCAATCACTTCATGCAATGTCAATCACTTCAGCAAACATGTCAATCACTTCAGCAAATATGTCAATCACTTCATGCAATGTCAATCACTTCAGCAAATATGTCAATCACACTTCATCAAACATGTCAATCACTTCAGCAAATATGTAAATCGCTTCATGCAACATGTCAATCACTTCAACAAATATGTCAATCACACTTCATCAAACATGCCAATCATTTTACCAAATATGTCAATCACTTCATGCAACATGTCAATCACTTCAGCAAACATGTCAAGCCCTTCAGCAAACATGTCAAACATGTCAATCACTTCATCAAACATGTCAATGACTTCATAAAAACGAACATTTTTGTGTACCTTATCACTTTCAATTTACAAGATCGCATGAGCAGAAAGACTGGACTTGTCCATGGTTGGTCGTAGAGTCGTAAATAGTTCAAATTATAAGTTTCAAGGTTTAATGAGAGGTTTGAGAGAGATTCTATAAAGTACCATTCAGATATGAATTTCAAAACTTCGAATGTTGACCAAGCTTTGTCTTAGTCGAAATATGTAAGCCTACATCCAGGGGCCTTGGTATTTGTACTAAAAGTTCCCTTTCAGAAAAAATATCCATAGAAAGCGGTTGTTTTGGGAATGGACACCAGTCGCTCTTCTTCTTTTGCCAATAGAAGACTCTAAGCTTTGACAGCCTCAAAGATATCGGGGACTTCCTTGATGGCTCTTGATATGAACCGGAGTTCATATTGAAAATGATGACTATGCTCAAACATCACGTCTGGTGTGTTCTGATTGGATCCCTGTCATTTTCTTCACCCCCATCTAGACTTCCCATGTACCCCCTCCGAAACTGACTGCTTTTTGACACCCTGCTCTAATGAACTTCCTCCGATCCGACTGCTCCAATGATACCCTGCTCTAATGAACTTCCTCCGAGTCTGACTGCTCTAATGACACCCTGCTCTAATGAGCTACCTCCGAGTCTGACTGCTCTAATGATACCCTGCTCTAATGAACTTCCTCCGAGTCTGACTGCTCTAATGACACACTGCTCTAATGAACTTCCTCCGAGTCGGACTGCTCTAATGACACCCTGCTCTAATGAACTTCCTCCGAGTCTGACTGCTCTAATGAACTTCCTCCGAGTCTGACTGCTCTAATGACACCCTGCTCTAATGAACTTCCTCCGAGTCTGACTGCTCTAATGATACCCTGCTCTAATAAACTTCCTCCCAGTCTGACTGCTCTAATGACACCGTGCTCTAAAGACACCCTGCTCTAGTTGAAACCTTCTAAGTTGTAAATTGTTTTGTTTTTAACCTACCAATGATAAAATCTAGCGAGTCCTGTTCTATTGGCACCATTTTCTGGTGGCACCCTGCTCTGTCTAGTGAGTTCTCTTCTGTTGGCACCCTGCTCTGGTGGCACCCTGCTCTGTCTAGTGAGTTATGTTCTGTTGGCACCCCTTGCTGGTCTGGTGACACCCGGCTCTATTTAGTGAGACCAGTCCTGGTGGCAACCTGCTATGGTGTTTATCTGTTCTGTTGGCGCCTTTCTCTGGTGGCCTCCTGCTCTGTCTAGTGAGCCCTGTTCTGTTGGCACACTTCTCTGGTGGCATCCTGCTCTGTCTAGTGAGTCCTGTTATGTTGGCCACCTTCTTTGGTGGCACCCTGCTCTGTCTAGTGAGTTCGTTATTTTGCCTCCCTCCGCTGGTGACACCCTGCTCTATCTAGTAAGACCAGTTGTGGTGGCAACCTGCTCTGGTGTTTATCTGTTCTGCTGGTGGAACCCTGCAATGATGACAACCTGCTCTGGTCACGCCTAGATCTGGTGGCGCCCTTCTCTGGTTGCGCCCTTCTCTGGTGACAACCTGCTTTGGTGACACCCTGCTTTAGTGACACCCTTCTTTGGTGACACCCTGCTTTGTTGACACCCTGCATTAGTGACACCCTGCTTTGGTGACACCCTGCTTTAGTGGCACCCTGGTTTTGGTGACACCCTGCTCTGGTGACAACCTGCTTTGGTGAAACCTTGCTTTAGTGACACCCTTTTTTGGTGACACCCTGCTTTGGTGACACCCTGCTTTAGTAACACCCTGCTTTGGTGACACACTTGCTCTGGTGACAACCTGCTCAGGTGTTACTTCATTTTCTAATGCTTATCCATGGTTTAAAAAAAGGTAGTTAAATACAATGATCGCATCAAATATGTCGTTAACAACACTACTGAAAATCTAGTTTTAATGTTTTCATTTACTAATTTCGCGGTTAGTGTCGCTTCACTTATGTATATATGTGGTCGTAACTAGACAGGAACATGTGTACTACTAGAGTTACTGAGCTGAAGAATTCAGTGCAGTAAACTAAACTTTACAGGTTCTGACTTACAGCGTCCATTGGTAACACTCTGTGACTTGCTGACATTCAAATGATATTTTTTCTTTAATTTTATCCTTAGCGTGTCTCGCCCGCCTTTTAGTGAACTGGGGAAATGTCCCGAGAAGTCTTTTGCTCTAATAAAAATCGTGCCGGATCGCAGGAGAGAAACTTTAGTGTCCATTAAAGTGTGGAGACTGCAGTGTTCAGTTATGATGACATCACCACGACAAAACATAGATGTAATCACAACGACACATTGATGGAATCACAACGACACAACATTGATGTAATCACAACGACACATTGATGGCATCAACACGTCAAAAACATTTATGTAATCATAATTACACATTGATGGCATCAACACGACACAACATTGATGTAATCACCACGACACTTTGTTGGCACCACCACGACACGACATTGATATAATCACCACGACACATTGAGGGCATCAACACGACATAACATTAATGTAATCACAACGACACTGTGATGGCATCACCACGACACACCATTGATGTAATTACAACGACACATTGACTGCAACTCCACGACACAAAATTGATATAATCACCACGACATATTGAAAAGGCATCAACACGACACAACATTGATGTAATCACAACGACACATTGATGACATCATCACGACACACCATTGATGTAATCAACTCGACACTTTGATGGCATCACCACGACACAGCATTGATGTAATCACAACGACAAATTGATGGCATCAACACGACACAAAATTCATGTAATCACGATGACACTTTGATGGCATCAAAACGACACAAAATTGATGTAATCACAATAATACTTTGATGGCACCACCACGACACTTTAATGGCATCACCACTACCAAACATTGATGTAATTACCACGACACATTGATGGCATCAACACCACACAGCACTGATGTAATCACAACGACACCTTGATGGCATCAACAAGACTCAACATTGATGTTATCACCACGAAACATTGATGGCATCACCACGACACAACATTGATGTTATCACAACGACACAATGCTTGCGTCACCACGACACAACATTGATTTAATCACCACGACACTTTGATGGCACCACCACGACACTTTGATGGCATCCCCACGACACAACATTGATGTAATCACAACGACACATTGAGGGCATCAACACGACTCAACATTGATTTAATCACAAAGAAACTTTGATGGCATCACCACGACACTTTGATGGTATCACCATGACATAACATTGATGTAATCACCACGACACTTTGATGGCACCACCACGACACATTTATGGCACCACCACGACACATTGATGGCATCAAAACGACACAGCACTGATGTAATCACAACGACACTTTGATGGTATCAACACGACACAACATTGATGTAATCACCACGACACTTTGATGGCACCAGCGCAGCACAACATTGATGTAATCACCACGACACAACATTGATGGCATCACCACGACACAACATTGATGTCATCACCACGACACAACATTGATGTCATCACCACGACACAACATGGATGTCATCACCACGACACAACATTGATGTAATCACCACGATACTTTGATGGCATCATCACGACACAACATTGATGTAATCACCACGACACTTTGATGGCACCAACGCAGCACAACATTGATGTAATCACCACGACACAACATTGATGTTATCACAACGACACAATGCTTGCGTCACCACGACACAACATTGATGTATTTACCACGATACTTTGATGGCATCACC